GTGCGGTGGTTGGGCAACCGGCTGCGGTGCAACGTGTCGCGGGTTCGATTCCCGCACGGAACAACACTTTGTGTGATCCACAAATTGTCGAGTCTGGGTGTCATGTGTATGTGAACTTGTATGTTTGTAAACGCACCCACGACACAGGAGAAAATCCTAGGGTGGGGCAATGTTTTTTTTAAAAAAAAAAACTTTATAACAATTTCAGGTATTAAGAAAATGTTAATTTCTCGTCTATAAAAGAACAAAGTAACATTGAGTTGAGAATTAGCGAAACTTTTGTGTTTAAATTAACATAATTATGATTCCGCGGGATCTTCTCATTAAGGGATACTTCAGTGGCCATTAGACTTCTTCTAATTTTCGTTTTTACGGTTCTTTAATTCAAAAGAAAAATCTTTACAGCTTTTACAGAATTGAGTTGTGAACATGTTGAGTTTTCCAGATATGACTACGTGATCAAAGGGGTCTCGGGTTCGGTTCTTTGGTCGGATAGACCAGACCTTTTTTTTTAAGGGAGGAAAATCATCGAATGACTGCGCCCGCCTGGGTGATGCGGGAGGGAGTGTCAGACTCTTACAAAAGTCAAAAAAAGTCAAAATCATTTATTTTATTTAGGCCAGAATGGCACTTTTGGACGTCAACAAAAAGAAAATTAAAAGTGAAGCTATTTGCTCATTCCAAGGTGTAGATTCCTATGGAGAAGAACGAGCAAGAAACTTCATAGGTTACTCTTTTTCAATCAGGTTCAAAATACAATTTACTAGTTACATAGTTTTGCTGTTTGGATTGTGCGAGAACAATGTAACACCATAATCCAGTCAAAGTGATTGAAAAAGAAAATAACCTTAAAGACAATAAAAAATACAGTCTGGAGCTGACCAGTCCCAGTTGACGGCGCCCGTTCACGAACATGAGACGTACACCAGCACCGCCCAACTCAACCATATTGTAGGGAATCGAGCGATCTACTGCACGCACCACCGCCAATGAGACCTTTGAGTGAGCTTACTGACTAAAAACCACCCCGTTCCTTCTCCTGCACGTCGAGCCGGAGCCCCGGTTACCCGTTAGGTTCTCCGTGACATAGACCAGACCATAGTGGGCTATTTTCAATGTTGCGAAATTTTGCTAAGTTACATTATGTACGTCCGCCTTTCTTTTGAACTTTCTTGGGATGTACTCTACGGTGGGAGAGTCATGCATCAGCACGAATGGGCCGGCTCGACCGGAGTGATACCACAGTCCTCACAGAAAACCAACGTAAAACAATACTTGCGTTGTGTTTCGTCGTGTGAGTGAGGTTACCAGAGGCCCAATTACCCCCAGTCCCCAGTCTTCCCAATCCCCGAATGCTCCACAATCCTCAAATTCCAAAATACCGGTAACGCATTTGTAACGTCTTGGTGTTTCAGGTGTTCATGGGCGGCGCTGATTACTTACCATCAGGTGATTCGTCTGGTCGTTTACCGGCTTATCCCATAAAAAATAAAACAAAAAGGAAAAGCATTTATTTTACAATACCCTAAGGACATCCACGATTCAACGAACTTAGAATACCATTTTGATATTTCTTAGAAAGCACTTAAATCTTCATTTTTACTGATAACAAAATGAGAGTGACTTCACTTAATGACGAAATTATTTGTTTTATTAAAAGGTAATTTGAAAGAAGTGTTTTCTTTTTATATCATACCTAATACCTTTAAACAAGCAATAAGGTAGTTGCCAGGGAATGAAAATTAAAAATCTAATTAGTCCGTCAGTTAGATAATGAAAAAATATTAGACACGTATTTTTTTATTTTCTCGTTTAAAGTTACAATACTTAGATAAAATGGAGTTAAGTTTTTTTTATAAATAAATTGAATTTCTCCACGGACTCGTGTCCGTGCCCTTGTCATATTACAAGCACATAATTGTCATGGTCAAATATTTTTTTTTATAAATATCTTATATATCTTTAACGCTTATCATGCATATGTGGGTTCCATACTAAAATATGGTATACTATTCTGGGGAAATTCTACTGATAAAGAAAAAGCTTTTAAAGCACAAAAAAAGTGTCTTAGAAGTATGACGGGACTTAAACAGACTGAGTCATGCAAAGACATGTTCAGGAGATTAAAAATTTTAACTCTGCCTTCATTATTTATCTATGAAGCCGCAATAATGGTAAAAAGTGATATCAACAAATATGAAATGCTTAGAAGTACACGACATAAAAATGAATTATCAGAAATTAGATGTAGGACAATTAAATTCAAATCTAGTGTATTTGGAATTGGAGTGAAAATTTATAATAAGATACCAAATAGTATGAAGAATATTTCAGCTATCAATCTCTTTAAACTTAAACTAAAGCAGTTCTTGATAAATAAAGCATATTACACAATAAAGGACTATTTAAATGACAAGACACTGGGATAGCTGCATTCTGACAAACTGATAGTAAATGTATATTCAATATTCAACGTACAACAATTTTATGTATAATTTTGACTTATATTCATGAATTTTAATTTTTGATTTCTTTATTTATGGACTTCATCATTAGGCATTTGACAAATGTTAATATTTGGACCAATGTGGTACAACTTGACCACTGACTAATTACCCGATTAATATTGTCTAAAAAATTAAAGTTGACTAAATGTTTCAATAAATTTAATATAATAATTTGACCAAGGTTTAATAAATTAATGTAATAATTCAGTTAAATTCGATAATGTAAGGTAATGTAAGGACTTGTCATATTTTATATTGTAATGATTTAACTGATGCAACAAAAAAAAATAAATTTTGAGACTTAGAATAATCCAAATAACATAAACTATTGTACACCTTATAGGTATGTTACTATGCTACTATTATACCTCTAATATATATAACATCTATTGTCAACATGTAACAAACAATAAATGAATTTGAATCTTACGTGCTACGCCTACCACTATCACTACACACAATACTTTATGTTGTTACCTAATTATTATAGTCTTATTATCTTAGACTAACCCTACTGAATCAGCCCACCAGCACGATGAACGAGCCGACCTGTTCCAGCAGAAGGCACCCGTTCACGGGTATGACGTGTAGGCCAGCAATCGGTCCGATCAACCATTTCGTAGGGAACGGAAGGACCCAGCCCACAGCGCCACCGACTGGAGTTAAGTTTAGGAGTGGAAGGTCGTTACGTCACTAAGTGCTACAAAATGTAGCGTATTGTGACGTCACACGATATTTCAGATCAATATAATATAGTCGAAAGTATTTAATTTTGTGAGAAAAGAAAAAATACGTGTCTAATGTTTTAAATTAATCTACCACGCAGACATTAAAATAAAATTTAGGCAACTACTCTATTGTTATATACATATATATGTATATAGCCAACGATTTCGGAAACGTCACCATCGATTTTCTTGAAGTGTGTATCGACTTCAAAAAATGAAGTTGAATGTTCGGGTGATTGTTTTTTTTTCATTGGTTTCGGGCGCGATAAACCGGTCTGGCTAGGTTTCATTTTCAGAAAATGTCTTATTGTTTTCATTTAATAAAAATCTTTAATAGAATACGAATATAACATCACGCCTTTTATCCTCGAAGGGGTAGGCAGAGGTAGTGCAGGGTGTGTACTACACATTATGCCACTGTACAATGTAACACCCACTTTTCACTATTTATGTTATGAGTCCCATGTAATAGGGGGTGAGCCTATTGTCATTATAACAGGCACAATTCTAAACTCCGTGCTACTACTGAGAATTTTTAAAACCCAGTAGTATAACGCCCGACCTGGGAATCGAGCCCGAGACCCCTTCCCAGCAGTCGCACTTGCGACCACTCGGCCAAGTCCCGCATTTTATACAAATTTAAAAGTAAACTTACAATTGTTTCCATCTCTGCATTAAGCCCGAGGCGTATTGGTCGATAGTCCTGTTGAATACTGCTGGATCGACTCAACTACAAATAATTAATATGCAATATGATATTTTATTAGAACTACACACGTCGATTAGCGTAGTTAGGTGATACGGAAGCGTTTGTTGCCCAGTATAAATTGACCATTCAGAGTAGTGTTGTTCCCAGAGCTGAGCTTAGAAAGTAAAAGTAGGAACGGGGTGGTGTTTAGTCCTTAAGTGTCTGACACTCCGTCATTCCTCATCCATGGCAGAAGTCGTTTGATTGTAGTCGAGTTTTTTCGCATTACTGCAAGAATTTTTCTTCTTCTCCTCTTATAATATCTTCTGATTCACTTCGTTGCGGGAACCAAGACAGTTACTCATGTCCCTGGGACGCGCCGGACTTCAATGTTTCGATGTTTTCATGGTTGTATCTACTGTAGATCCTGGCTTACAGGAGTTGCAGCGGTTTTGGGAGGTTGTGGCGGGCTTGTCCCATTAAAAAAAATTACTGCAAGAATTTGAAAAAACTCTCGAAAATAGAATTTAAAAAAAAAGGTTCTTGTAATAAAAAAAATTAATACCTGTGAAAGAAAGAAAAAACATTTAACGTGTCTAAATTAAACGCTTTTATGCCCTTTGCGGAACGCTACCATAGGTACAGCGTTTTATATTTCCAGCGGAGTTATTTAAACAAACATTTTGGATATATAAACGTAGAATATTAGCTATAAATTAAATATTTAGGTATGTCAGATACTGATAAAATTGTATTCCATGACTCCCAAGTTTAATTCTGCTCTTTAATAAGAAAATTCATTTCTTCTCCAGATTAATAAGATTAATAAGATAAAAAGAAAAAAATATCTCCAGATTAATATATTAACATATTGTTTTATTCAGATTATGTTAAACAATGTAAAAACATAACGCATTCGCTCACAAACACAAATGTCAATTGTCAGTTGTCAACATAACCTTAAAAGTGCATGACATTATTTTTCGTAAAAATACGAAACTATTTGCATTTATATAAACTAAAACTGCAACCAAGCATTTAACTTTACCTTTAAATTAATATTACAGCTACCACAAAATGAATTTAGCGCGTAAAGTCTGCACAGTCCACCATAGTTATGTCACCAAAAACCTTTACCGAAAGTTCCGATTTTCTGCAATAAACTATGATAATTCAAGTGCAACACAGCCACAGGTAAAAGAAGAAAAGTTCAACTTCGAAGACATCAACACTCTAGAACGAACTGAGCGTCGCAAAGCTCAAATTCAGCCTTTTATGAAGGATGTATTCACGTCTATATTCAACAAAGAATTACTGGCTTATCCCGAGATTTTAAACAAAGAGGAGACTGAATCTTTAGAGAAACGTATCGATGCTATAACCAACGTGTTTGAGAACCCACATAAAACAGCTGAGGATCGTAGAAATGTGTTAAAAAACACCAAAATATATGCTGCGCCTGTAAGTCTCACAAGAAATGGTTTAGCTGCCAATATAACGGAGAGTTTAAGGTATTTAGAGGCAATAGCCGGTGATTTCCAACTTGGCCAAGAGATAAGTGACCACTGGGTAGCCCTCCGGGCTCTGCAAGAAGGTTTATCTCAAGAGCAATTGTCTATGATCCTTGATGATCTGATATCCGGTGATAATCCAGTGTCTCTAGCTATTAAAGAGAGGGTTGCTGAGAGGATCTCACAAGCGGACTTCAGGACTACTGCTGAAATGGATAGCCAAGGTTAGTTATTGATTTTTTTGTACACAAGAAAAATTAATTCATTTAAACTGTCAAACACCAAGCGGTCACCGGTGACCGCAACCTATTGTTCTTTAATTGTGTCTATAAATACCGTACTCGATGAGTTAAATAGAATAAAAAAATAATTACTTTACAAAATTCTTTTATTTAAATTATATGACAAGTATTATAATTTGGCCAGAGTCTGTATTTCCTGAAGAGTCTTCAAGGCCCGAGTAAATAGGTTGCTTATGTGACGACAGGCTCCATCATAAATTGCAACATCACTTACAACCAGGCGAGATAGTAATCTAACGTCGGCCCATCAAATATAAACAAAAAAACAACTATCGTGATGTTTGTGTGACATAAATAAACTTTTAAATAGTTTTAGGGAACAGAGAGTATAGTTCCCTAAGATTGGAAAAGGAGGATCCTCCGACCAGGCGAGGTGATCGTGCCTGGCGGGTTTTCTGCCCAACAGTTGTTCGTTGGGATTTTCTATCTGTGTTTATTCGCTTGTAAACTTTGCATGTGCGATGTAGGATTCTTGTGACGTCATCCGTCGACATGTGACATGCATCGCCACATAGTAAAGAAATGTAACACTTGCCCTACAAATATTAACCCCTATATCCCCAAGCAACCACCGGTGACCGCTCTCCACTAACTACATTATAGACCTTATTTCCAATGTTTAGAGACTACTTTTGTATAAACAAATTTAGGGGATGATTTTCAAACATTTTCAACGGGTTAATCGGTGTCAGTTTTGACTATCTCATAATTATTCTGTAATCATTTTTGTATAAAAACTATTAAAATGGCTAGTACATACATGAGCGGCCTCTTATTTAGATATTTCAATTTGGTTAAGTGTCAGAGAGCCATGCTTCGACACGAATAGGCCGGCTCAACCGGAGTAATACCACGGCCGAGCAGAAAACCGACGTGAAGCAACTACAACAAAGCTTGCCTTGTGTTTCGTCGTGTGAGTGACGTTACAAGCCCCTCCCGCCTTCCACAATCCCTGAATCCCCAACAATCCTCAAACTCCTAATCTCGAAAGGGCCAGTAACGCACTTGTAATGCCTCTGGTATTCCAAGTGTCCATTACATTGCTTACCATCAGGTGATCCGTCTGCTCGTCTACCGACTTATACCATAAAAATAAAAATAATGTACCTACACTGTACACATACATACATACTCCTCTCATCTCCCAAAGGGGTAGGCAGAGATAATAATAGAGATATAACCTTGTCATCATCCCAATTGGCGTTGCATAAACGCCAATTGGGATGATGACAAGGTTATAAAATTTTACATGATGACAAAGGTATAAAAATTTAACATCTAATTAGTCCGTAAGTTAGGTAAAGAAAAAATAGTAAACACGTATTTTTTTTATTTTGTCGTATAAAACAATACTTAGATAAAACGAATTAAAGCTTAGGAGTGGGGGCTAAAACGTCATTTCTACGTATAAAATGTACATACATAGAAGTGACGTCACGCGACATTTCAAATCAATATATTGTCGAAAGTATTCGTTTCTGTAAGAAAATAAAAAGTACGTGTCTAATGATTTAAAATAATCTACCAGACGGACATTAAAATAAAATTTAGGCATCTACCCTATTGCTGCATAATATGGCACAAATATTTCACAAAACTAAACCATGAATAAATATTATAATAATTTTACAGGAATATGGTACATCAATGGTGAGAAGGTCTGCAATTACAGCAACGGTTACATCTTGGTGCTGGCTTCGTATGAGTGCTCACAGTTGAGAGCATTCCTCATTCATCCCGGAGCAGCCGGAGTCAGTTCTAACGGAGCTTTCGTTTCTTTTAAGAAGACTCCAGGTATGATTGTCATAATATTTAGGTAATAATATGATCTTTAAAAAATTCCTATTTTGGTGTTACATTGTTATCGCACAATCGAACCAATAAAACTGTGTAACTGGAGAATTGTATTGTGAACCTGATTTGAAAAGAGTAACCTATGGAGTTTCTTGCTCGTTCTTCTCCATAGGAATTTACTATCCAGGATCCGGCCGAATACATTACCATCCGGTATCCGATCAGATAGTAAATAATGGCCGGATAAGCCGGATACCGGATAGTAACCGAATATTCGGTGCATCTCAAATTTGTATGTTTGTAAACACATCCACGACACAGGAGAAAATCCTAGTGTGGGGCAACGTTTAAAATAAAATAAAATAAAATGACATTAGACTATGACTAATGATATTGATATTAGACTAATGATATTAGACTACTAAATAACTATTTAATCTCCATTCCAGCGACTCCACTGGAATTGATAAAAGATGACAAGTTAGCGAAGATCCTCGGACTGTCGCGTCTGTTCGCGGCTGTCCTCTGCCGCTGCCAACTGTCTGCTGCTGTCCAGAGCGTGATAGACTACACGAGGCCCAGAGCTTTCTCTGGTAAGTTAGCATCATGACTTTTAAATTATTATGTTTTCGGCTTACTCACGTAATAATTTGACGAGGAACTCGACTAGTAGGCGACTGTCGCGCCAGTAGTAGTACTGCGCGTCGTTGGTCGCGAAACGCTGCTCATGAATATGAGCCTCTAGCATGGCTTGACACTAGTCGAGTTCCTCGTCAAATTATTACGTGAGTAAGCCGAAAATCTATATATATAAAAGAAAGTCGTGTTAGTTACACCACTTATAACTCAAGAATGGCAAAATAGATTTGGCTGAAAATTGGTGGGGAGGTAGCTTAGAGCCAGGAGACCGACATAGGACACTTTTTAACCATTTTTTTTTTACTTTTACCGAAAATCACGAACGGGGACGGGAAAAAATGGGATTACGCGTACGAAGTCGCGGGCAGAAGCTAGTATAATAAAATATTTAGTATGTCTCACGAAAGTTACAATACAAATATTACAGTTTTTGTTTAGCAACGGTTGAAATGGAGCCTACTGTATTTTTGCTCACCAAATTGCTCAAATGTATTTAAAAAATAATTTATCGACCAATCACAGCTGCTGCTCCATTAATAAATGATTTCAATCCAATCTCCCCAATCCCTGAATCCCCAACGATCCTCAGACCCCAAAAGGCCGGTAACGCACTTGTAACGCCTCTGGTGTTTCAGGTGTCCATGGGCGACGCCGATTGCTTACTATCAGGTGATCCGTCTGCTCGTTTACCGGCTAAAGCCATAAAAAATGGTTCTTTAGTTTAGGTACTTCTATGGAATATCTGTAAAAAAATCTAGATAGATTCAGATGTCTTTGAATAAATACTTGACTTGAGCAAAAAGAAATATGTAGGTTACATTCTTCAGACTATTTATTGATATCTTCCAGGATGTTCAAACTTCGTTCGACCTAACTCGAGACCTTTTACTTGTTACTCACACTTACTTACTCACTTTTGCAACAAGATGACTGTAAGCAAAGCATCTCAAGTTCAAATCTTAAATCAGACACATTTTCAAAACATTATTTCACCCTCCTAAACGTAAGCCCCTAGGCCCCCAATAAGCATACTAGCGTCACCTTTACAGGGAAACCTTTAGCAGAGCTGATAACAATACAGTCTGGCAATGCGTTACTTGATATCGATGCGGGTGAAAGCGCACACTCCGTGATGTTACTGAGAATCTTCGAATATAATTCAATATCATTATTCAAATGTTCTTTAAAGTTACTCTTAATTATTAAAAACGCCTAGCGTTCGATTCTTGGGTCGGACAGTGTCTTTTACTTTAACCGCTTTAACGTAAGCCCCTAGGCCCCCAATAAGCACACAAGCGCCACTTTACAGGCAAACCTCTAGCGGAGCTGGCAACGATACAGTCCAGTGTTGGGAATGCGTTGCTTGATATTTACGCGAGTGAAAGCGCTGAGTACTTCACTGCTGGACTCCTGGATGGATATGCTGACCCTGATGCTGAGGTGGAAGTGGCTATGTGCAGGTAAATAGTGCTTTTTTACATTTATACAAGGTATCGTTTTAAAGCCGCATCATTTTCTAGGAGGTAACTCGGATATCGATTCCGAGTCCGAATTAATAAAAAAAAATTGTAGGTAAATATTTTTTTTTTTTAAATACGGATATCCGTATCCGTGCAAAGTACACGCCGCCGTCTTGTAACTAGCTTTATAACGCGACTTAACACACACAAACTCAAAAACGTAATTGATATTATTCCTAATTCCATAAAACTCCAATAAGAAACATTGCTGTCGCTTATTCTGAAATACTATCGAACTTAAACGATTTATTATAGCCGTATTTTTAACTATTGGCCCGAAACTTTCTCTTACATTGAACCTTTATGACTTCTGTGACATGCCCCCGAGAAATGACACGGCTTCAAAACTACACTTGTATATCACACTAATATAATAAATGAAGCCGTCAATCACGCTGAAACTTACGATACGACCTTCAAACCTTCAAGAAAAGAGCGTATTCCTTTTTAAAAGCCCGGCAACGCACCTGTAGCTCCTCTGGTGTTCCGGGTGTCCATGGGCGGCGCTGATCGCTTACCATCAGGTGATCCGTCTGCTCGTTTGTCTCCTATTCCATAAAAAAAAAAACTACTGAAGGGATTTTGATGAAATTTTGTATACAGGCAGGGTATAGGCTGTCTTACGTGAGACGATACCCCGATTACGATATGATTCCTATTAAATGGTCCCATGGGATAAAACAAGAGTCATATTCTATGCGATCGTAATCGCGGGCAACAGCTAGTATTGTATAAACAGTCAACATAACATAACGGGGATAAACCCCGAAGAGAAAGACAGAGGTGCACACAGAAGTAACACCCACTTTTCCCTATTTATGTTATGAGTTCCATGTAATAGGGGGTGAGCCTATTGCCATATACCGGGCACATTTTCAAATCTGTGATTTTTTAAACCCAGTAATACTTTGCCCGACTCGAATCGAACCCGAGACCCCTTGCCCGGCAGTCGCACTTGCGACCAGTCGACCAACGAGGCATATAAATAGTCATAAGGCCGATTTTTCTAACAATAGATAAATTTTATCTTAGGAATAAATTCGAATCCCACCAAAAACATTCTGTAAAAAACTAGCCAAGTCTCGGTGGAGCTGCTAGTTTATTTCTAAAAAGTAATGAATTATAACAAAGTCGTGCCAAATCTAAGGTTCCTTATTGCAATTTCTTCATTATTATAGTTAATGTTGTGTGACTTTGCCGTTGAAGGGTACACATGGCCCAATAAACCCAGGCGTGTCTGTTTTCCGCTAAACGGAGTCGGTTCCCACTGACTCCTACTTTCCGAGGTGTGTCCGATCCGATGGGTGACCGTCTCGGGCTTCTCGGCGTAACTCTGACGCCCACTCTCAATTTTGGCTCGTATATCGAGACAAAGGCGCAACTAGCTGGTAGAAAGTTGGGTGTCATGAGACGGTACTTCACGCCGGAGCAGTTGCTCACTCTTTACCAAACACAAGTTCGGTCTTGTATGGAGTACTGCTCCCATCTTTGGGATGGCTCAGCGAAATACCAGTTAGAAGCCCTCGAATCCATCGAGAGGCGTGCCAAGAAGCCCATCAATGACGATTCGCTTGTGGAGGCTCGGCTACAAAGCCTCGAACACAGGCGCAAAATCGCAAGCCTTTCGGTCTTCTATCGGATACATTTCGGTGAGTGTGCGTGGGAATTGCACAAACTTATTCCCCCTAGTCCATTTCACCACCACACCACCAGACGAACGGCGGGACGCCACCCTTATATGGTGGACATTCCACCCATTCGAACGAAGCGTTTCGCGTCAAGCTCCTCATGCGAACCGCTAAGGAATGGAATTCCTTGCCAGAGGCTGTGTTTCCCGTCAAATATGACTTGGGTGTCTTCAAGTCCCGAGTGAACAGGTTGCTCATAGGTAGGCGTGCTCCATCGTCGGCCACATCATCGCTTACCATCAGGCGAGATGGTGGTCAAACGTCGACCTATAAAGAATAAAAAAAAAATTAAAAAAAAACATGGGTATAAAACCAGGTGCTCCATGACACCATTGCACCAATCTGTCGCCAGAACCGCTACCCATTGACGATCGAAAATTGCCACTTGGAAAACGTGGTATTATCCAAAAAATGGTTCCAGTAAAGGATGGTACGGCAGTGTTTGCTTCGCGCTCGACTTGGCGAGGGCACTACCATGCCCCCAGATATTTGACAATCCTCCATACTAAAAACTGTGTCGCGGAGAACCTAACGGGTAACCGGGGCTCCGGCTCGACGTGCAGGAGAAGGAACGGGGTGGTTTTTAGTCAGTAAGAGTCTGACACTCCCTCCCGCCTCACCCAGGCGGGAACAGTCATTGGATGATTTTCCCCCCTTAAAAAATAACTTAACGTTATGATAGAGGGATTAAAGGTATTTTAGATAATAATATATTTTCAGAAACTTCATAGCTAACCACGGCTTGACGTCGATGCTCCAATTGCTAAATATCCCAGCGCTGGACAAGGAGGAGGAATGCAAACATTTGCTGGACAACATGCGACATATAGCCACCAGGGGAGAGACCCTCGACAGTATTAACATGTTTATTGGTAAGATCTTACATTCATCATTCAATTACACACACAACGTCACGCCTTTTATCCCCGAAGGGGTGGGCAGAGGTGCACACAGAAGTAACACCCACTTTTCACTATTTATGTTATGAGTCCCATGTAATAGGGGGTGAGCCTATTGCCAAATAACTATGAAAATATCGATACTATGAAAATTTTCCCAATATCTATTCACCCCTCTTCTGTCTCTATTCACCACTTGATCCCTATCCACCCCATTTTACGGTACCGAGCACATTTCCAGACTCCGTGCTACTACTGAGATTTTTTTTAAAACCCGGTTAGACTTTGTCCGACCCGGGAATCGAACCCGAGACCTCTTGCCCGGCAGTCGCACTTGCGATCACACGGCCAACGAAGCAGTAATTTTACAAAAACATATATCTACATATCCTTTTTTCAGCGCTAAACGGCATCCATCACGCCGGCAAGGTAATGTCGGAAGAGGTGAAACAGATCAGGAACCCACTGATGCATCCAGCTTTCATATTCAAGAAGGTTTTAGCTAATAGACATCAGGTAAGTCTCTCTTCATTTCGTCATAAGCCTATAAGTGCAGTTGCGGAGAACCTAACGGGTAACCTGGGCTCCGGCTCGACGTGCAGGAGAAGGAACGGGGTGGTTTTTAGTCAGTAAGAGTCTGACACTCCCTCCCGCCTCACCCAGGCGGGAGTAGTCATTCGATGATATTCCCCCCTTAAAAAGAAAAAAAAAGCCTATAAGTGCCCTTGTCTGTTCAGCAAATGCCTCTTCTCGAACAAAGAAGGAATGAGCATCAATCACCACACTTGCTCAAAATAAATTGGCGAGTTCAAACTTATAATTTGGACATTACTAGCGAGCGACCCACCCCGACATATAAACCTTTCTTAAGAATCACTCTATCAATTAAAAAAACCGATCTATCTATTAAAAATTAAATAGTTGGAGCGTTATCTCAAACTGTTTAAAAAAAAAGCAATGTACAGTTTTGACTTTCAAACAATTTTATTTTATGTAAGTGTGGGAGAGCCATGCTTCGGCACGAATGGGTCGACTCGACCGGAGTGATACCACGGCCGAGCAGAAAACCGACGTGAAACAACGCTTGCGTTGTTTCGTAGTATGAATGAGGTTACCGGAGGCTCAATTCCCTATTCCCCGTCTCCCGAATCCCCGAATCCTCCACAATCATCAAATTCCCAATTCCCAAAAGGCTGGTAACGCACTTGTAACGCCTTAGTGTTTCGGGTGTCCATGGGCGACGCCGATTGCTTACCATCAGGTGATCCGTCTGCTCGTTTACCGGATAAGCTATAAAAAAAAGTAGGCTGTGACATAGAAATAGATAACTATAACAATTATATGTATGAACTTTACCTACTTCTACAAAAATAACCACTTTTTAACACTTTTCCAGGAAAAAGACGATCCAAAACTGACCCTGTACCTGGCGGAATATCTTCACCCCACATTAAAGCAGCCTTCAGAACAGCTGGAGTACTGTGTTCTTCGGATGAGGTTCGCCTGCGAGACTCTTATGGCGAGACACGGCGTCAAAATCGCTTCGGCTTACACGTAAGTGGAGTGGTGATTATGGATTTTGATAAGTGGTGATTATGTTTTGCGGAGTGGTGGTTATGGGTTATGAGGAGTGGTGATTATGAGATTTGTGGGGCGGTGATTATGGTTTTAGAGAAGTGGTGATTATGTTTTGCGGAGTGGGGATTACTGATGAAATTGTTTTTTATTTTTTTCATTTGAGATGTTCAAGTAGTTGTAGATTTTTTCGTGAGAATCAAAGCTGCTATCATTTGCGTAGCAGTACATAATTAAACACATTTTTCCAAAAAAATATTACTTTTTAAGTAATTATAAACTGTAATTTATTGTCTAAATTGTTGATTAACATAACATAACATCACGCCTTCTATCCCCGAAAGGGTAGGCAAAGGTGCACATTACGGCACTTAATGCCACTGTACAATGTAACACCCACTTTTCAATATTTATGTTATGAGTCCCATGTAATAGGGGGTGAGCCAATTGCTATATACCGGGCACATTTCAAGACTTCGTGGTACTACTGAGATTTTTTAAAAACTCAGTAATACTTTGCCCTACCCGGAAATCGAACCCGAAACCCCGTGCGATCACTCAATTAAATGTGAATATTAAATTGAAATTGTTAATTTTTCAGAGAACTGAATCGATTGGCTGAAGCGGGGACTGAGATATTGGTTATGTCAGCAGTCTTAGCGAGGGCATCAAGGTACCTATGTCACATTTAATACACCTAATTCACCTCTATAACTATTTACGTATCACATAAAGCATGATCATTACATAGGCATATTGTCAGCGTCACGTTCGATGCTCTGATTGGTTTGTTAATTGGATCCAGCCAATCACAGCGTCGAACGCGTACTCGTTACGATTACTTTAAATGTAATATAAACTCGTACTAATTCTTCTGTTTTAATTTTTCAACTCAATGTTTTTATTACTTCCACTGTCACACCTTTATTGTCTTGTTTATATTTTACTAGCTTTTACCCGCGGCTTCGCTCGCGTCATACAAGGATAAAAAGCCAATGTGACATATACCAATACACACAGCGCCATCTATACCAATACTTTTGTTTTCCCTCGGGAATATCAAATTTTTCAGGGATAAAAAGTACCCTATTATTTAATCCGGACTTGTAACTTTACGTCTGCAAAATTTCAAAGCAATCGGTTTAGTAGTTACGGCGTGAAGGTGGAACAAACAAACAAACTCACTTTCAGATTTATAATATTAGTAAGGATTTATACTGCATCGTGCCTGGTGCTGAATAAATGTTTTATCTTTCTTCTTTCTTTTATAGAAAATTAATAAAAAAACTTTTGTGACATACTAAATGTTTCTGTGTTACATATACCATTATATCTACCTATTACACCTACTGTTGCACATCTCTGTATCACCCCATGGTTGACTGTTAGAGAATGCCACCCGGCATTAAGTCCGCCATCGTATGTTTATTATACAGAAGTGTTAATAAATAAATAAATGAATTATTATGTTTTCGGCTTACTCACATAATCATTTGATGAGGAACTCGACTAGTTTCAAGCCATGCTAGAGGCTCATATTCATGAGCAGCAATCCGCGACCGGCGACGCGGCGACTGTCGCTGCTACTGGCTACTTGAGGGCTCGTACACATAGCTGCTATGTGATGCGAATTCGCAACGCAGATAAGGATATATCTTTATATATATAATTCTTCTGTGAGTGTGTATGTCACTGAACTTCTCTCAAACGACTTGACCGAATGAAATTTTTTGTGTGTGTTCAAGGGGATCTGGGAATGGTTTAGATTCACAAATCAGCCCGGCAGATGGCGCTGCAGTCGATGTTTAGGTTATAACAGCTGAACTAATTTGAATGAATTTTTGTTTATACATTCAAGTGGATATGCAGGACAACGTCTGTCGGGTCCGCTGGTATAAAATAAGATTTTGATGCGCGATGCGAATCAATTCGCAAGTTCTTGCGATGTGTAGAGGGAGCTCGCACATTTCTGCGATGCGACGTCGCATCGCAGTTTGTGTACGAGCGCTGAGTCAGTCGCGGTGTGCCCCCCGCGGCCCGCGCCCCCCGCGGCCCGCAGCGCCCCCTGTGTGTGGCGCGCGACACCGCCGCTACGTTACACCCGCTCGCCGGCGGCTGCGTAGTGTGCGGTTCGAATCCCGGGTCGACGCAAAAACAATATCTCACACCGCACTCACTGTGTTACACTCCAGACCCGCAGTTGGATGGGGCCCAACAGGGCTAATACCGATTCGGAGTCGCGGAGAACCTAACGGGTAACCGGGGCTCCGGCTCGACGTGCAGGAAAAGGAACGGGGTGGTTTTTAGTCAGTAAGAGTCTGACACTCCCTCCCGCCTCACCAGGGCGGTAGCAGTCATTCGATGACTTTCCACCCTTAAAAACAAATAAAAAAAGACCCGCAGCGTTGTAGTCAGACGCAGATTTTAGACTCGGCTTCCAGGCAGGTGGCAGTGCCCAGCCATCGGAATGCTGTAAATCATGGAATGCTGCTCATGAATATGAGCCTCTAGCATGGCTTCAAATTAATCGAATTCCTCGTCAAATAATTACGTGTGTCAGCCAAAAACGTAATAATTAACACAAAGTATAGTTGCGTGCGATATTCGAACCCGCGATACGGTACACACAATACAGCCATTGCGCAAAACTGTGAAGTAAAAACTATCCTTACTAATATTATAAATCGGAAAGTGAATTTGTTTGTTTGTTCCGCTTTAACACCGTAACTACTAAACCGATTGCTTTGAATTTTTGCAGACGTGAAGTTAGAAGTCTGGATTAAATAATAGGGTACTTTTTATCCCGGAAAAATTTGATTTTCTCGAGGGAAAACGAAATTATTGGTATAGATGGCGCTGTGTGTATTGGTATATGTCACATAGACTACTTTTTATCCTTTTGTGACGCGAGCGAAGGCGTGGGTAAAAGCTAGTGCTTTATAATTCAATCCCCAAAGTCCAGTGCTGGAGTTTATGCTTCCTCTATATAAGTGGGTTTGTCAGAATCCCCACACTTGGGGGACTTTTTTATGAAAGAACACAGTTTTTAAAGTTAAAGTTTATTGGGAACCGCTGCTGTTCTAATAACTGTCAAACATTATAATACTTTAGTCTGGGTATGTGACACCCACGAGAATGTTAGCGGTGGTGACAATATATTCTACTTTACAATCACCCCGCGACTTATGAACATTAAAGGTGCGGACTGCACGGTTGGCGTCGTGGCTGGGTAACTGGCTGCCGCGCAACGTGTCGCGGATTCGATTCCCGCACGGAGCAACTCTTTGTATCTACAGATTGTTGTTTCGGGTCTGGGTGTCATGGAATTTGTATGTTTGTAAACGCACGAGAAAATCCTAGTGTGGGGCAACATTTCGTATAAAAGATAAAAGAATAACAAAACATAATCTTTTATCTCTGCAGGGGTAGGCAGAGGTGCACATTTCGGCACTTAATGCCACTGTACAATGTAACACCCACTTTTCACTATTCATGTTATGAGTCCCATGTAATAGGGGGTGAGCCTATAACCATATACAGGGCACATTTCCAGACTCCGTGCTACCACTGAGAATTTTTTAAACAACACATTAATACTTTGCCCGACGCGGCAATCGAACCCGAGACCTTTTACCCGGCAGTCGCACATGCTACCACTCGACCAATGAGGCACTCATGAAAGAATTAAACTGTCAAACACCGAGCGGTCACCGGTGACCGCAACCTATTGTTCTTTAATTGTGTCTATAATGACGGTACTCGACGAGTTAATAACCTATTTGTCTTGATTCACAGAGCATACTGCATTGGCTTAAGAAATGCTGAAGTGGAAATGAAACTCGCCGCCTGTTTTGTGGAGAAAACTCGAGATAAAGTAAGAAAATTGATCAAAGAAATAGATGATGGCGAATATCTGAACTTGGACTTTTTTACTACCCAATTTGGTAGGAAAGCGCTCGACAGTAATGCTACCAATCCTACCTTGGTAGAAAAAGCTACCGCGAGAGTGTTTTGGTAGAATTTATAATAATTAGGATTATTTTTTCTCACTAGATGGCACTAAATTATTTAAGTTTCTGTTAAATAAGTGCTATTACTTAACTAAAGAATTTCTTGATGACAAAGATTGCGAAAACATTGTTGTAGAATAGTATATAAATAATATAACATAACATAACGCCTTTTATCCCCGAAGGGGTAGGCACACAGAAGTAACACCCACTTTTCACTATTTATGTTATGAGTCCCATGTAATAGGGGGTGAGCCTATTGCCATATACTGGGCACTATTCCAGACTCCGTGCTACTACTGAGATTTTTTAAAAACCCAGTTTTACTTTGCTCGACCCGGGAATCGAACCCGAGACCCCTTGCCCAGCAGTCGCACTTGCGACCACTCGGCCAACGAGGCAGTCAAAGTAGTATATATATAAGTAGATAATAAGTGTAATATTTGAACACCGATTCGGTAGAATGTATGAGACATTAATTAACATAAAAAAACACCTATTGTAACTATATTCTGACAAATATTTGTTTCTTTCTTTTTTATGTTGCGTCAGGTCATATCTTTATATATATAATTCTTTTGTGAGTGTGTATGTCACTGAACTTCTCTCAAACGACTGGACCGATTTTGATGAATTTTTTGTGTGTGTTCAAGGGGATCTGGGAATGGTTTAGATTCACAAATCAGCCCGGCAGATGGCGCTGCAGTCGGTTTCTAGGTTATTTATCCTAAACAGCTGAACTAATTTGAATGAATTTTTGTTTATACATTCAAGTGGATATGCAGGACAACGTCTGTCGGGTCCGCTAGTTAGGTTTATATAAATCCGCTATATATAAAAATGAAACCCATTTAACCGATTTAGCTGATTTTTTTTTTGTTGTGTTTGTTATTGTCAGGAGAAGATTCTTATGATAGAAAAAAAATCCTGAAAATCTTATGGGAACGGGATTTCGCGTACGAAGTCGGGGGCAGAAGCTAGTAATTCAATAAAAATATGACAAACAAATGGTTCAATGCCATCTAGTGAGCAAAAAACTAATCCATATTATACTGTATTTAAGAACTGGTTTAGTTGTTATTTTGTAAATAAATAAAACTACTTTATGATGTTATATGATGTTTTATTGATTGACCTTAATTCTATAAAAGCTTGCTTAAAGATATCCCATCTACCATCAGTTGACTGGACATCTACACTACACGAGTCACTGTTTACACGTGAACATTAGCTCATGACGATACCAGCGTACGTGTGTCACTAGACAGTGAACCTCGCTACCATCAGTTGACTGGACATCTACACTACACGAGTCACTGTTTACATGTGAACATTAGCTCATGACGATACCAGCGTACGTGTGTCACTGGACAGTGAACCTCGCTACCATCAGTTGACTGGACATCTACACTACACGAGCCACTGTTTACATGTGAACATTAGCTTATGACGATACCAGCGTACGTGTGTCACTGGACAGTGAACCTCGCTACCATCAGTTGACTGGGCATCTACTGTTCAATTTGAAACATCAAATATGTCTTATCTATCGATCCTGTAGTGAAGGTAGATGCTAAAACTACAATAAATTAAGAACTACCTACAAAAAGTGAAGGGGATAGTAATTGGGCCTCTAGGTAATAGGGTAGATGCCTAATTTTTATTTTAAAGTCCGTCTGGTAGATTATTTTAATTCATTAGACACGTATTTTTTATTTTCTTACGGAAACGAATACTTTCGACGATATATTGATTTGAAATGTCGCGTGACGTCACTTCTATGTACATTTTATACGTAGAAATGACGTTTTGGCCCCCACTCCTAAACTTTGACTCGTTTTATCTAAGTATTGTTTTATTATACGACAAAATAAAAAATACGTGTCTAATATTTTTTCATTACCCAACAAACGGACTATTTTTTTTATTGTTTTATTTTACCATCCCAATTGATCTAGTTTATTTCAGCTTCGTCTAATAAAAGCGTGTTTTAAAGTGCTCTAAATACTCTACATCACCACTAAGGCCTATAATCCTTTGGAAAAACACTGATATAGGACACGCCCTTTTCGGAAACCGGTTTGAAACTATCACCAAATGTGACATTTTTGGCGACATTACCCCTCTTACCAAGCTTCCCCCTTTTTCGAATTTTCGCCACAGACTGGGCTACTTTAGATTCTAGACTAGACTTTGATTCAAAGGCTACTTTTTCAGGCTTCGAATTAAAGGTCTGGACTTTATTCTTTTCCTTTCGTTTGTAGTAGAATACTTCCCATGCTAAAGTCAGCATCGCTAGTCCTAAGCCGAAGAGCGTTGCTATGAATACTCCACCTGTGAAAGAAAAATGTTATTCAATAACTTACAACACTTTTATTTGCCATAATCGCGCTTGACAGGCACGATAGAGACCACAATTTACCTCTATAAGGAGGATTTTACGAATGGGCCGGCTCGACCGGAGTGATACCACGCCACCACGGCCTCACAGAAAACGGACGTGAAGCAACGCTTGCGTTATGTTTCGTCGTGTGAGTGAGGTTACCGGAGGCCCAATTACCCTCCCCTTCCCCAATCTTCCCAATCCCTGAATCCCCAACGATCCTCAAACTCCTAATCCCCAAAGGGCCGGTAACGCACTTGTATCGCCTCTGGTGTTCCAGGTGTCCATGGACGATGCCGATTGCTTACCATCAGGTGATCCGTCTGCTCGTTTACAGGCTTATGCCATAAAAAAAGCGTGTGCAAGGAGTTGAGGACTTTTTCATCAAAAATGGAAATTCTTATAAATGGCTGCTTTTTCATTTCTGTCGTTTAGTATACCTAAAAAAAAGGTGAAAATTATCTAGGCACTTTTTATCTAAAGCTTCAGATTGGCCTGAAAATGAGCCCTAAAGGTCAGTTGGCAGAGAATTAAAAAAGCGTTTTTCAAAAGTCCCAAATCTCTTGCACACCCTCTGGACGCCCCGGCAACCCGTTAAGCCTTCCACGGCTCCGTATTAGGCATCAGCCCTACTGGGCCCCATCTGTGGTGGTCTGATGGCAAGGTTAATCAACGCTACTGTGTGTGTGGTCTCTGTTAAATCAGTCGGTCGATTAATAACGCATGCGATGGGTCTTCCTGTCCGATGTTATCGAAGGTCCACTCAACAGTATAAATGCCCACTGCTAAACAAAGCCTTTTCTCACACGGAGAAGGTTTGAGCATTAATCACTACGCTTGCTCAATGTGGGTTGGCAATTACCAACTGATATTTAGAAACTATAAGCCCAGTTTTTCTCACAATGTTTTCCTTCACCGTTTGTCAGTGTTGTCTAGATAATCTTAGAAAATACATATAACTCGGAAAAAGTCACATTGGTACTTGCCGTTGGTAGGTTTCAAACCCTTGCATTCCCATGCACCTTTATGCATGAGAACCGGGCGTCTTAAACCTCCGGATCTCCACGACACACATCGAAGGTCCGAATTCCCCCATTTCCGAAAAATTCAATCGCAAAGCAGTGCGCTATAGAATTTTTCTTCGTTGGTGTTCCAGGTGTCCATGGGCGACACCGATTGCTTACTATCAGGTGATCCATCTGCTCGTTTACCCTCTATCTCATAAAATACATTTTAGCTTACCCAAGCTCTCAAGAGTGATTCCTTCAGACTCATCAGCATCCGGACAGGCTTGTCTTGCCGACTCGTTCCAATATCTAGAAAATAAAAAGACTATAATATGTACCTACTAGCTTTTACCCGCGGCTGCGCTCGCGTCACAAAAGGATAAAAAGCCAATGTGACATATACCAATACACACAGCGCCATCTATACCAATACTTTTATTTTTTTCCTCGGGAATATCAATACCCGGGATAAAAAGTAGGTACCCTATTATTTAATCCAGGCTTCTAAATTTACGTCTGCAAAATTTCAAAGCAATCGGTTTAGTAGTTACGGCGTTAAAGTGGAACAAACAAACAAACTCACTTTCCGATTTATAATATAAGTAAGGATAAAACTCTCCGGTTACCGGTAACTGAGTGACTGACAGATAACACGCAGCCGAAACTAAATACTTGTCATAAAAATTAAAAAACTGCGTTTAAAAACCGACTTTGAAAACTAAAGACAAACGAAAAATAAAAACTAAAATGGAAAAAATAACTATTATTGGTCATACGTACTTATAACTTACACACCCACTGATAGGTTAGAAGTCGGTGCCACAAACCCATAACAAAATATAAAGTACCTAGTTTACCATCATCTGATTTTTTTTAAAAAAACATTGCCCTGCACTTGGATTTTCTCCTGTGTCGTGGGTGCGTTTACAAACATACAAGTTCACATACACAATGACACCCAGACCCGAAACAACAATTTGTGGATCACACAAAGTGTTGTTCCATGCGGGAATCGAACCCGCGACACGTTGCACTGTTGCCCAGCCACCGCATCAACCGTGCAGATTTCCTTATCATGGGACCATTTTGGGACTATCTCCTTTCCAACAAAAAAAGAATTATCGAAATCGGTTCATGAATAACGGAATATCCACGAACAGACATAAAAAAGCATATATACGGTCGAATTTAGAACCTCCTCCTTTTTTTGAAGTCGGTTATAAATGAAGAACTATATTGGAGATTGCCTTGGAGAGTGTATGGTGTCTGATGACCATCCCTCTGTATAAGAGGGTCATTCCAGTAGAAGAGCAGCTCTAAGTGCTGAAATCTCTCCCTCCCCGAATTGCATGCTGACAGGCGAAACATAGAGTACTATTATTATGTATGCTTCATCCTGTAGGTATTATGTACTTATTACCTATGTTTGCAATAAATAAATTTGACTTTGACTTCCCCCCTACCCCTTCACCCCTCATAATTCTTCTAGTGTTGTGGGAGTCTATGTGATACATCTGATCATTGGCCCCTTATCCCATGAAAAAAGGCCATTCCTACTGCACTTATTTTTTAGAGTGATGGTAAAAACACTCACTTAGAAGCCAGCTGTTCCAAGAACCTCTCCTTCTGCAGCTCCAGCAGTGCTCTAGACAGGTCTTCCTGCAACCTGGACCCTTGCTGGACAGCTATAGCGTACGGCTGCTCAGCGAATACCTCGCCCACTTCCGTCAAATTGCAATTCCTTGTTACTTCGTATCTGAAAAATATTTTTACGTCCCAAGCTTTGGAATTATGCACCGGGGTGGTCTTTAGTCATGTTTTATGGGACAAGCCCGCCACAACCTCCCATAACCGCTGCAACTCCTGTAAGCCAGGATCTACAGTAAATACAACCATGAAAACACCGGAACACTGAAGTCCGGCGCGTCCCAGAGACATGAGTAACTGTCTTGGTTCCCGCAACGAAGTGAATCAGAAGATATTATAAGAGGAGAAGAAGAAAAACTATAGTTTCCACTTCCCTCGGTGAATTACTGCAGGAGACAGAATGAATTAAGCCTAAAGGCACAAAGAAGAGACTGTACAGCTGGGTGAAGCCCAGTCGCCAAGCACCACGGAAATTTGACTAAAAAACGAAGTGGGTCCTATGTGTGAGCTGTTATACTTGCTTCCAATAATAGGTATGGCAAAAGCGCCTAAACGCACGGAAATTTGTTCTAGATTCCATAAGGTCCGTATAGTAAGCTACACCTGACGAAACAATTAAATTATTCAACATAGTGTTACGTTCATATTGCCAGAGATCACACTCCCAGAGTATGTGATGGGCCGACTGCTCGTATTGCAACTCCACTGTCGAACATTGGCACCATGGTGAATCAATAAGTTTAAATGAGAACAATTTGCTTTTAAAGTTGCCGTGGCCAGTAAGAAATTGGGCAACACAGTGATCCACCTCCAACCATGTCCTCTCCAGCCGCTCATGCACGGATGGGAAGAACTGATATAGGTGGCGGCCCTTAAAAGAAGATGCCCATCTACCCTGCCATTCAGGTATAAGCTCATCCCAAACGTCCGTTATTGGCTTAAACAATCTAGCAATTTTATTTCTATCACGTTGTGCTAGAAAGCTTGCTGACAAATTAGGTCTCGCACTGTAGTACATAGCAGCATGTCGCTGCACCTCAAAATCTACCGGAAGTACGCCCGCGACCACAGGTGTTGTTTAGTCAGTAAGAGTCTGACACTCTATCTTGCATCACCCAAGGTGGAAGGAGTCAATGGATGATTTTGCACTCAGGCTTTAAAATTATTCCCCCAATCAACTCCAAAATTCCTAATCCAGAGACACCTGGGTGCCTTCATATCTTACGTATGGGCAGGCGTGCTCCATCGTTGGCCACATCATCGCTTACCACCAGGCGAAATGGACAAACGACGACCTATTAAGCACAAAAATATTCTCCAAATCCCCAAAAGGCCGGCAACGCACTCGTAACACCTCTGATATTCCGGATGTTCATGGGTGTGAGCAGCGCCGATTGCTTACCATCAGGTGATCCGTAAGCTGGTTTGCGAACCTACTCAATTGGGGGAGGACTGTGGGAGGCAGTGGTCAGAGTGTGGCTGTACGCATGATGATAATATTAATTAATAACTATGAGGAAAATTTTTTTTATTATTAAATAGTTCACTCTACTTACTCACTCACTCACTCTCCTACTCACTTACTCCCATACTCACTCACTCACTCATTCACTCACGCACTCACTCTCTCACTCACTCACTCATTCACTCACTCATTCACTCACTCATGCGCCCACTTACTCATTCACTCACTTACTCATTCACTCACTTACTCATTCACTCACTTACTCATTCACTCACTTACTCATTCACTCACTCACTTACTCACTCCCTCACTTACTCACTCACTCCATCACTCACTCACACACTCATTCACTCATTCATTCACTTACTCACTCACTCACTTACTCACTCGCTCACTTACTCACTGACTTACTTTATTTCAGCCGAATCGTGTATGAAAGCGAAGTCCGCGTCCGTGTGTTCGTTCACTTGTTGGAAACCAGTCTTTGCGTCCGGTACGGGTTCTAGAAATGTCAAAAATCTACTCAGTATCTACTTAAGATACCTAATCGTAAGACAAGCATTTATTATACACATTACATCACTTTTGTCAGAGGTTGACATTATGCCACTGTGTAATGTAACACCCACTTTTCACTATTTATGTTATGAGTCCCATGTAATAGAGGGTGAGCCTATTGTGCACGCATTTATATCATTTGAATTAAACAGAGTGTCAAGCACGAATAACTATCGCATTCGTAACGTAACATTATCGAGCGGGTTCGGCGCTTTGATTGGCCGGCTCAAGTGAACCAACCAATCAGAACGCTTAACTCGCTCGATACTGTTACAATACGAATGCGATAGTTATTCGTGCTTGGCCCTCAGTATTTATGGTCATGCAAACTAAACGTGTATACAAAATTTTAGCTCAATGGTATCATCTGCTGCAAGATTCAACTTCACCATATAGGTAGTGTAAGTTACAGTATGAAATTTATACAAGCTAATAAGAACTAAAGATGCAATGAATACTTGTTTGGCCGGATACCGGATACCGGATATTCGGCCTGACCACCAGCCGAATATTCGGTTTTCGGCCGCTGAATATTCGGCCGGCAGTGTGATATCTACATTTTGAGTTTCGTAGGTGCGTATGTCGCCTACCGCCACGCCGGTCGCCGTGCTGGTTTTGACTTGTTATTATAAAAAGTTAAAATTGTTTAAAATAATAAAAAGATTCAATTACAACTGTGTCTTTATTTAAATTTCATTTATAAAATCTACCAAGTTTACTATCCGATATCCGGCCGGATAGTACATTACCATCCGATTTATTTATTATTATTTATTTATATAATAAAGGTAAGTACAATCTAACGCTATGTCCAACAAAATCCTTACTTCCTTACTTCCTTACTTTACTTACTTACCTCTATATTATAAATCGGAAAGTGAGTTTGTTTGTTTGTTCCACTTTAACGCCGTAACTACTAAACCGATTGCTTTGAATTTTTGCAGATGTATAGTTAGAAGTCCGGATTAAATAATAGGGTACTTTTTATCCCGGAAAAATTTGATATTCCCGAGGAAAAACAAAAGTATTGGTATAGATGGCGCTGTGTGTATTGGTATATGTCACATTGGCTTTTTATCCTTTTGTGACGCGATCGAAGCCGCGGGTAAAAGCTAGTTATATTTAAATAGTTTGACTGTTGGATCTTCTATATTTGTTTTAAATTACTATTTATTATGATGATGGTTAAAATTCCGGCCAGATAGTAAAAAACGGCCGGATAAGCCGGATACCGGATAGTAACTGAATATTCGGTGCATCTCTAATAAGAACATTCGTTAAATACCTAATTACTAAACACGTATGACTTGTAAAAAACTAAATTCATTTAAAAACGTTGTGTAGGGAAGCACTGGGAAGGGATCTCATAAATCCCTACGTGGTAGCCCGGAGGTTAAGACTTCTCATGCATGAGGCACCCTCAAGCGAGAAGCGGGCAAGCGCGGGCGGGTTCGAAACCTACCAACAGCAAGTATCAATGTGACATTTACCCAGTTACATGTACTTTCTAAGATTATATAGACACCACTGACAAACGGTGAAGGAAAACATCGTGAGGAAACCTGGGCTTACAATTTCTAATTATAAGTTTGTAATCGCCAACCCGCATTGAGCAAGCGTGGTGATTAATGCTGAAATATTCTCCGTGTGAGAAGAGGCCTTTGCTCTGCAGTGGGTACTAATAAGCTGTTGATGATGAAATCTCTAAAAACACAAGGTAGTTAATATAAACCGCTGAGGAGTTCCCTCGACTGTCTATCGGCTCCATCATCAGGTCGACTCCAGACCCTTATCAAATTGTAGTGTTTAATATTACATAATAGACGCATTACTCGTCCATAGAATTTTCAAAGGTTCCCCTCGGTTTCCCTAGGATCCCATCATCAGATCCTGATCTCATAGAAATGGGACCATCTCGGGAGTATACCCTTTCAAACAAAACAAGAATTTTGGAAATCGGTTCACAAATGGCGGAGTACTGCGCGAACAAACAAAAAAAAAAACAATCAGCCGAACATAGTACCTCCTCCTTTTTTTGAAGTCGGTAGAAAATGAAGCTACTTACGAGAAGCATTGATAGCCAATAGTATATGTCCATACTGCTCCCTGATTGGGTAGTCCCAGACCCTGTACTGCGCCTGATCTGACGTCGCATTCAATGTTATTTCTTTCCAAACCCTGGACATAAACAGTAATATTTAATAGACCAAGTAGGCAGCTAGTTGGTCTCAAGTTCGATTCCTGAGCCGGACAAAGAATGTAGGTACTAATGGGATATTTTAGGGTTTTCAAAAACTCAGGAACAGCACGTAAATTGATTGGTTAATAACATAACATCACACCTTTTATCGCCTAAGGGGTAGGCAGAGGTGCACATTATGGTATCACACATAGGTATAATGTAACACCCACTTTTCACTTTTCGCCGTATACCGGACACAATTGGGTAGTTTCCAGGGTATCAAAATTAAATCTAATTAGTCCGTCAGTTTGATAATGAAAAAATACTAGACACGTATTTTTCTATTTTCTCGTATTGATGCAATACTTAGATACAATGGTTTAGGAGTGAGAGGTTGTTACGTCATAACGTGCTATAAAATGTGGCACAATGTGACGTCACACGACATTTCAAATCATTGTATCGTCGAAAGCATTTAATTTTGTGAGAAAAGAAAAAATACGTGTCTAAAGTTTTAAATTAATGTACCAGACGGACATTAACTTGACGGACATTAAAATGAACTTTATCCTGGAACAAGAAATTGTCGATATCGTTCCCAACTACGTAAGAATTTTTCCAAAATCTTTTACAATTGGGATGATGACAGGGTATGAAAATTAAAAATATAGTTAGCCCGTAAGGTAATGAAAAAATATTAGACACGCCTATCGTATAATAAAACAGCACTTTGATAAAACGAATCAAAGTTTAGGAGTGGGGGCTAAAACGTCATTTCTACGTATAAAATGTACATAGAAGTGACGTCACGCGACATTTCAAATCAATATATCGACGAAAGTATTCGTTTCCGTAAGAAAATAAAAAATACGTGTCGAATGATTTAAAATAATCTACCAGACGGACGTTAAATAAAAATTAGGCATCTACCCTATTCACCTGTAAAGAGTATCCTCCGCAAACTTCATATTGACGAAGTATTGATGCACTGATGAACCTTCCACGACCGTGTAGTTGATGCGGGACTGTCGAGCTAACTGCTCCAAGGAGGACACTGGTGTCTGAAAATGAAAATAGTTAGACATAAGTATGAAACGAAGTGAACATTCGATTATCACTTTTTTTCTTCTTCTCCTCTTATAATATCTTCTGATTCACTTCGTTGCGGGAACCAAGACAGTTACTCATGTCCCTGGGACGTTGGACTTCAGTGTTCCGGTGTTTTCATGGTTGTATCTACTGTAGATCCTGGCTTACAGGAGTTGCAGCAGTTTTGGAAAGTTGTAGCGGGCTTGTTCGATAAAAAAAATCGATTATCACTACATAGTTTAAAACAAAGGCGCTATCCGCCGTCTGTCTGTCCCTATGTATGGTTCTGTCTGTCATCATCCTTGTTATGCAATGTTCAAAAGTGACTATTTCAGATTGGTGATGATAATGGTGGATCTGGAAGTCAATGGAAGAGGCGTATGTTTAGGAGTGGACGTGTTGTGGCTGATACTATATGATGATGACGATGATGATGATGATGAAAGGTTGTCTGGAAGAAATCGCCGCGTGTGATAAGACCGCCCATTGTACTCAAATTACTATTGCAATGTTTTTTTTTTCTGTGCGTGCAATCCTTACTAATATTATAAATCGGAAAGTGAGTTTGTTTGTTCCGATTTCACGCCGTAACTACTAAACCGATTGCTTTGAATTTTTGCAGACGTAAAGTTAGAAGTCTGGATTAAATAATAGGGTACTTTTTATCCCGGAAAAATGTGAGGGAAAACAAAAGTATTGGTATAGATGGCGCTGTGTGTACTGGTATATGTCACATAGGCTACTTTTTATCCTTTTGTGACGTGAGCGAAGCCGCGGGTAAAAGCTAGTAAATAAATAAAATGATTATAAAAGCATCACCTGCATCCTCTCTACAGTCAAGAAGGCAGCCAGGTTAGCAGTGAATGTGGCCAACATCAGCACCACAAACAGCCAGTAGGCAGCTACAAGCGTTCTTCCGGATAAAGCTTTTGGAGCCTCCCCACCGCCTTGTGGAGTGAACGAGGTCAGGGCAAACCAAAAGCTTTCTTTGAGGGTGAATTCCCTAAAAACGTAATAAAAATATTACGTCATAATTATGGAATAACAATGTGACTCACATCTGTAAAAACCTATACAACATAACATAACATTATCATAACTCCACGCCTTTAATCCCCGAAGGGGTAGGCAGAGGTGTACATTATGCCTCTGTACAATGTAACACCCACTTTTCAGTATTTATGTTATGAGTCCCATGTAATGGGGGGTGAGCTTATTGTCATATACCGGGCACTATTCCAGTCCCCGTGCTATGACTGAGAATTTTATTTTTTTAAAAACCCAGTAATACTTTGCCCGAACCGGGAATCGAAACCGGGACGCCTTGCCCGGCAGTCGCACTTGCGACCACTCGGTCAATGATGCAGTTGCAGTCTATACAACATAAATAAAAAATAATAGCTCTCTAAAGGTAATAATTTCAGAAAATTTACAATAGTCATCAAAAATTACGATAGTCAAAGCAGTCAATAAACACCTAAACAGTCACTGAAAAAGATATAGAAGCCGTAAAAGTCACAACAGTCAACGAAAGTGTTAACAGTCATGAAAAGTCACTACAGTCAATAAAAGCCACTACAATCAAGGAAACCCACAACTTTCAAGAATAGTCAATTTAAATCACAGCAGTTGTTCGGGGTTGGATCGAGATGAAGTTAAAGGAGATAAGAGATAGATTCAGTTTAAGATAAATAATTCACTGTATAATTGTCTGTTCCCACAAATATAAGATTAAGATTAATTTAACTAGGGTGAAAGGTGAACGATATTGGATTATGAGTCACGCGCACGGTATGTCGCTGAATTACGTACTGGCTTATTGCGGTGTAAGTGCAATAATATAAACGATGGAGGCATACAGAGCGAGTGGCGCAATAATGCTGACCCAGGTAAACTTACTGTACTGGTTGACTCGTACAGCAGTAAATTTAAAAAATAAAACGCCACAACAGATAAAAAAGCCACACCAGTTAAAAAGCCTCAACTGTCAAAAAATCCACAACAGTAAGAAAGTGACTACAGTCAGCCACAACAGTCATAAAAAGCGACAATAGTCACAAAAAGCCCCAAAATGTCACAAAGCCAGAACAGTAAAAAATCCACAACAGTAAGAAAGTGACTACAGTCAGCCACAACAGTCATAAAAAGCGACAATAGTCATAAAAAGCCCCAAAATGTCAAAAAGCCACAACAGTAAAAAAGCCACTACCATCAACAAAGCTAAAAACATCAAATTACCTGCACGGATACGGGTATGCATCAGGATTATTTCTAGCGGAGTATGGAGAATATTTGTCGAGCAACCAGATCATAAAGCCAGTCAGGACAAGTGCAGCCACGATGCTTAACCATACCTCTGTCCGGAGTACTGTCATAAATTTAAAGAGCGATGTTTTTCTTATGGGTTTTCGTATAACTGTGAAATGAAAGTAAATTATTATAACGCCTTTTTATCCCCGAAGGGAGAGAAGAGAGAAGGCTGAGGTGCACATTTCGGCACTTAATGCCACTGTACAATGTAACACCCACTTTTCACTATTTATGTTATGAGTCCCATGTAATAGGAAGTGAACCTATTGCCACATACCGGGCACAATTCCAGACTCCGTGCTACTACTGAGATTTTTAAAAACCCAGTAATACTTTGCCCGACCCGGGAATCGAACCCATGACCCCTTGCCCGGCAGTCGCACTTGCGACCACTCAGCCAACGAGGCAATCAGTTATTAATTATTGTACAGTTAATCTTCAAAACATGTGTGTTTTATGGGATAAGCCGGTAAACGAGCAGAAAAACGAGCTGATGGTAAGCAATCGACGCCGCCCTGACACCTGGAACACCAGAGGCGTTACAAGTGCGTTACCGGCCTTAGGGATTAGGAATTTGAAGATTGTTGTGGATTCAGGGAGTGGGGGTTTGGTAATTGGGCTAGTTTTGCCACGGGAAAAAACGAAATAGATTTTAAGGTGTATTGTCAGTAGGATGTACTTATAACTTTGAAAAAGACCCATTGGTACTTGTAAGGAGACGAACAAATACCCTTTTTTTAAGGGGGGAAAATCATCGAATGACTACTCCCGGAACAAATACCCTTAAGGTTTCGAAACTACGGAGAACCTAACGGGTAACCGGGGCTCCGGCTCGACGTGCAAGAGAAGGAACGGGGTGGTTTTTAGTCAGTAAGAGTATGACACTCCCTCCCTCCTCACCCAGGCGGGAGCAGTCATTCGATGATTTTGCCCCTTAACTCGTCGAGTACCGGTTTTATAGACACAATTAAAGAACAATAGGTCGCGGTCACCGGTGACCGCTTGGTGTTTGACAGTTTAAAAAAAAAGGTTTCGAAACTATCAGGGCCACCGTGCACTTAATAAATTCTGTAGGTACTTACCTATCAAAATCCCAGTTTGTTCAAAGTAGGGGGCCACAAAATCTATCACTTCCTCCCTTTCTGCTGTCATTGTAAGAGCTGAAATCGCTATATCTGTTTCCTGCAAAAACATAGCAAAAGATGATGGTAACCATGATAGACAAACGGTTAAAACACTACTCGAATAGCGTAGCGCGTCTGGATTAAATAATAGGGTACTTTTTATCCCGGAAAAATTGATATTCCCGAGGGAAAACAAAAGTATTGGTATAGATGGCGATGTGTGTATTGGTATATGTCACATAGGCTACTTTTTATCCTTTTGTGACGTGAGCGAAGCTGCGGGTAAAAGCTAGTAAGTCAATAAGTCATATAAAAATAACATAAACAGCCGAAGATAGTCCACTGCTGAAGTATGATGTAGTATAAATGTAATAGAGTAGTATATAGCTTGTTTTTTATATCAAGAATGGGTACTTACTCCTCTCATGAGATCCCCAACGACTCCATCCCACGTGCCATTCGGTAGTTTCTTTCCAAAATCACCAGTTTTTGGTGACACTATCTCATAATCAAAAGACATTGTCTGAAATAGAATTGGGATGATGACGGAGTATGAAAATTAAAAATGTAATTAGTCTATAAGTTAGGTAATGAAAAAATATTAGACACGTATTTTTTTATTTTGTCGTATAATAAAACAATACTTAGATAAAACGAATCAAAGTTTAGGAGTGGGGGCTAAAACGTCATTTCTACGTATAAAATGTACATAGAAGTGACGTCACGCGACATTTCAAATCAATATATCGTCGATAGTATTCGTTTCTGTAAGAAATTTAAAAATACGTGTCTAATTATTTAAAATAATCTACCAAACGGACATTAAAATAAAAATTAGGCATCTATAGTGAACTCATTTAATTCTGTGACTCGCCTAATAATTCGGTTTAGTAAATTTGGTAGAACTCTTAGGTTTCTAGAAAAAAATCTGATTATTTGTGCTAATATTCCTTATAAAAGACTGATTAAAACTCATGCGGAGACTGAATTAAATTAATTAATAATTTATTGGTATTTTATTACTCAAATGCCTTTGTCACGAAGTTAGATGAGTTCACCCTACTCTATTGTAATGAAGTTGAAGTCCAGACGGACTTCAACTTCATTACGACTGCCAATTATAAGTTTTTAAGTTCGATGTCAAGATCAGACAATGTAATAATGATGTGAGAACAATACCACAGGCTACCTCGTTAATCGAGTGATAGCTAGCACAAATATCAATCAAAAGGCAGGCAACGTACCTACTAGGATATATGCAATTTTTTTAATTATTGTTAGGTTTCTCGATATTCTAAAATTCTCGAACTCTTTAGGGGCCGTTCAAATATTACGTAAGTAGATTATTTACAATTATTAACCCCCCCCCTATCCCCCTTCTCAGCAAAAGTGAGCAAAGATCCCACCCCCTCCCCTTTTGCTTACGTAAACATTTTAAATTATATCTTTTTTATATTGTAATTTTAATATTCTCCAAGATACCATAATGTAATAAAATAATAAAAAATAATAAAAAGTGTTTATTGCAACAAAAACATTAGACACACAGTTTATGAATACTAACATCTAAACTAGGCCGAGCCTGTACCTTAGATGTTAGTTCCTTCCAATTGATACAGTATATTATTTACAATTTAAAGTTTGTAAATGTTTTATAATTACATTGATATCTAATGCACGAGTATGACAATACAATAAAACAACCTTGAGAGACAGGAGGGTACCTAATAAAAACATAGGTACTGTACACAATATCAAACTTTTTATGAATTACCCGCACAGAATGAATTCACTTAAGTATAGTTAAACCACTAAGACAATGAACTTAGATAAAAATAATAATATTAAGTATATATTTTTATAACTTTATTGTTTTATTTATTTATGTGTAAAGTGTAGTGTAAGGTGGTGTATGCATTAGTGTGATTAATGTTGATAAGATATTAAGTTTTATTTATATACATATTATAAATAGTGATTATTGAAGATTGTTTCTTTTTCCCGCAAATTGGATATTGGTTAAATTTACTTAGTAATTAGAGTGTGTTATTTATTTATTTAGTATTAATCTACATACTTTATTATAACTAGTAATACAAACATGCACAGTAGACCAAAATTGGAAACAACAACACACCAGATTCCTTTTATCCTTCACAACTAGTGTATCCAGTTATTATTACTGTTATATATGTATTTTTAACATGGTTACTGTAAAACAACAAACAAGTTTTCAATATCTTCATAGTTTTGTTTTTTTAACCAGACTGTTACAACTTTTTTGCAGCAATAACATGTTAATGGATATAGGTTAAGTTTTTTATTTAACTTATTGTAAAGCATGGGGCCAATATAGCACTGAAATTTCCTAATAAAGTAAGTGTTGTATGATTCGGTTATACATACTTTATGGTTTCGCCTTGACGTTATTGTTCCTTTAAAGGTAAGGTTCTGATGTTGTGACAATATGCTTTGCCTAACAAACAACTGCCGGACAGTTAAAACATCGCATTCAGTGTACAAATCAAATGTGGGATATCTGAAAGGTTTAGAGGTTATGACTTTAAGTAAGGACCGTTGTGCTCGTTCTACTTTAATAAGGTGGGTTTTACGTGCACCTCCCCAAGAAGTAATACAGTATGTTAAAATAGATTGTGCCAGAGCAAAATATACCGTTTTCAATAGCGCATGATCCGCCACGTGTCTTAGAATTTTAAAAACATACATGAGTTTTCTGGTTCTTTGTTCTAATAATTCTATGTATGGACGCCATGTGAGTGTTTCATCAAGAAGTATGCCAAGATATTTTATGGTTTCAGTACGCTCTAAATTAGTACATTTACATTTTTTATCATGCTTGTCACATGAATGTAATTGTATTGTAAAGTTTTTAACAGAAGTTAACACTCTTTTGGAATTGGCAAAAATCATAAATTTTGTTTTAGCCACGTTCAGGGAAAGGCGATTTTGATTAAGATAAGCCAATACAGTCTGTAGCCCTACTTCTACATGGTTCTGAACGTCTTCCCAACTTTTACCGTGGAAAATTAGAGCTGTGTCATCAGCAAAAGCAAATATTTGACAATTTTGTAGTTGTATATTACAAAGGTTATTTATATATATAAGGAATAAGGTCGGTCCGAGTACACTTCCTTGGGGCACGCCAATTGTTATAGGTGTGTCTTTACTGCAAAACTGGTTTATTTTTACCCTTTGTATGTAATTTCAATATGAGGGTTGCCATTCGTGTAAAAAAGTAAATAACTATCGATGACGTAATCATCATCTAGACTTCCCTACCCCTCATATCATCCAAAATAAGCAAAACAGAGACCCCACCCCCCCCATGGTGCTTACGTAATACTTGAATGGCCTCTTATTAACCTCACTCACACGACGAAACACAACGCAAACATTGTTTCACAACGGTCTTCTGCTCGGTCGTGGTATCACTTCGGTCGAGCCGGCCCATTCGTGCAGAAGCATGGCTCACCCACACAAATGCGGCCGCCTCAACTTGACCACGACCGCTCTGACAAGTGTGAAACGACAGAGAAAAAGACCTCAGTGTCCTTCTTCAATGAACTTAAAGGCGTCCTGTTTTAATTATTATACCTCAGACAATCTAGCGATGAGATCGATGCAGTATCCCTCGTACAATGGCTGGCCATCTTCGTTGTACATCTGTTCTCCAGTCTTAGGGTCTAACTTCATCAGGGTCCAGGGAACAGCCTGGTGGATAAACCAAGAATTACATATCATCACAATAAAAAAGGCAGACAGAAGACGTCCACAACTCTTATAAAAACGAGACAATAACAAATTGCGATATATTTATTTATTAATTTAAGTGTGGGAGAGCCATGCTTCGGCACGAATGGGCCGGCTAGAGAGGAATGATACCACGGCCTCACAGAAAACCGACGTGAAACAACGCTTGCGTCACGGTAATATTATCATATTACTGGCTTGCGTTGTGTTTCGTCGTGTGAGTGAGGTTACTGGAGACCCAAATTACTCCCCTCCTCTATTATGATATACTTTCAATATATTATAATAATAGCTTCTGCCCGCGACTTACTACACGCGGCCACACATCAATCTATACAAAACCAGTTTATACTGGTTATGTAAAGCTCGATGTGTAGCCGTGTGTACGCGCAATCCCGTTTCTCCCATTCCCGTAGGATTTTTAGGACTTATTTCTCCTGACAATAACAAACACAACAAAAAAAATCAGCCAAATCGGTCTAGCCGTTCTCAAGTTATGGCGTGACAACGAGAAACGGGTTTCATTTTTATATATGTATATAGATAATATCATAACTCACAGGTGCAGTTCCAATTCTAAAGAACATCCTCAGTGGTTCCAGTTCGATGCCAGGCAGAAGCTTGTAGTTTTCATCAGCAGACCAGGTCGCTATGACCTGCTGACCGTCTTCTGGTTTGTATGTGGAGAGTACGAAGCGGGAGCGGAGGAACAGACCAGACCTGTTTGGAAGAAGGTCGTTGGTTTTAAATTTAAAATGGTCTACTTAAAAGACTGCATAATTAGCAAAGTAACGGCCAAGAGGCTCATCAATGACGATTTGCTTTTCTCACAAAATTAAATACTTTCGACGATATATTAAATTGAAATATCGTGTGACGTCACAGCGTGCCACATTTTGTAGCACGTTATGACGTAACGACCTCCCACTCCTAAACTTAGCGCCATTTTATCTAAGTATTGCAACTTAATACGAGAAAATAAAAAAATACGTGTCTAATATTTTTTCATTATCTAACTGACGGACAAATTAGATTTTTAATTTTGATATTTTGGAAACTACCCAATTATTTGTGTGATCTACAGATAGTTGTTCCGGATCTGGGTGTGATGTGTGTGTGAAAATAACATAACATAATATCACGCCTTTTATCCCCGAAGGGGTAGGCAGAGGTGCATATTACGGCACTTAAAGCCACTGTGCAATGTAACACCCACTTTTCACTATTTATGTTATGAGTCCCATGTAATAGGGGGTGAGCCTATTGCCATGTACCGGGCACAATTCCAGACTCCGTGCTGTTACTGAGAGTTTTTTAAAACTCAATAATACTTTGCCTGACCCGGGAAACGAACCCGAGACCCCTTGCCCGGCAATCGCCCTTGCGACCACTCGGCCAACGAGGCAGGCAGCCGTTTTAATATGATACTTACCGATCACCATCCCAAAAGAATAAAGTCTCATTGCTGATCTCCGAGTCCTCAGCGAATTGCCTGAAGAGGCGATCCCTGGTGACGTTCATAGTGGACTGTGGTTCCTCGCATAGTATAGAGGATGTCGTGAGAGGCAGGTCTCCTTCTAATTTGGAGTACGTCTCTGATAGATAGAGTATTAAGGAGTTGATTATATGTTGTTTTCTCTGTAACAAATTAAATAAAATGGTTGAGATTGATACGACTGCCTCGTTGGCTGAGTGGTCGCAAGTGCGACTGCCGGGCTAGGGGTCTCGGGTCTGATTCTTGAGTTCTTTTTAATATATCTCAGTAGTAGCACGGAGTCTGGAATCTGAATATGGAGTTACTACTGAGAATTTTTTTAAAAACCCAGTAATACTTTGCCCGACCCGGGAATCGAACCCGCGACCACTCGGCCAACGAGGCAGTCAACAAATATTATCAAAATTATTACTTACCTGAAAATCAGATGGACAGTTGCACTCTTCCTTTTTCAGCAGCTTACAACACTCCACTGGATCTGACTGAAGGATTACAGTCGGTAGAACTAACTGACCGACCTCCACTGAAGAGTAGTCAGTCATGATCAGGTTCCAGCGGTAATTGCGCCGGACTAGCTTCTCTTTGACGGCCTGTTATGGGAAAACATAATAATTTCGACTACATCGGATACGCCGGATGACTACACGGATACGGACACGGTACGACTACACGGATTTTTATAACTATACTCCGTCTGTTTAGGTAGTTAACTATTTGTAAACAAACCATAAAAAGAGTTCTTTATAGTTGACATTTCCATGTTTCAAAATATTTTATAAGAAAATAAAATTGTTTCCCTTTTTACGACAGTTTTCTCTATGAAATGTTATGTTTCTGTTCCTTTTCACTTGTTTCTTAGTAAATATTATATATATCTGCTTGAGGATATTAATTTAATAACATTTATTAAATAATTTAATATTTCATTACAATAGACACCATAAAGAGCCTAAAATCCCAGGTATCCAAAACGTTTCTTTAAGAACGAAGCAAAATAATGTTGGCAAATTAAAGAGTACAACTAAGATGTAGCGCGACAATGAAAGTAGCGTGTATTACGTTTAGTCGGTTAATCAGGCGCCATTGACAGCTCTCTCGTCGTTTGCGCTCGCGTTCCTATTTTGTTGAATTTATCTTGTTTCTTTGTTTTGTTTTTGTTATTAAGTTATTTAAGTTTAGGTTATTCATCGTTTGTAATTAATCTGTTTAAATATATTGAAGAAACTTGGCCCAAAGACACATATCCGTACAAGAAAGAAATCCGTTCATCAGATTCAGAATAGTTTCTATTTAAACATGATAATGAAATAGACCCATAGGCTAGGCTCTTGTACGATTTAGGCATTTGTACTTGTATGTGTGTGTATGACAAATGAACGATTTTAAAGTGAATTTAGTTAAAATTAAAACACGAGAAATATTTGAAGTAATAGTAGGTTAAGTATCTCTGTGTCACGTGGTTTTCTTTGTTTACCTTTAGTTAATTACCTAAACAGATGGACTATAGTTATAATTCAATACGATTACACTGCCATCTAGTGGCGAATAGCGGAAACCAACCTACGGCGTGAACATCGTGCAATCAAACCGCGAATGGCAGCTCCATCGTAACTAACTTCACTTCACTTGACAAATTCAAGCAAATTTTATACGTATAATTTTTAAAGAACAAAAAAGTACTTCATTGAAGACATCCCTGCCCACCATCACATAGGGACTTAGGGAATATTTGAAGACTAGTCTAACTTAATAAAAATTACGAGTCAATTACGTAAATATACTGAGACAAGCTCTAATAGTTTCGAGTCACAGAGCGGCTCTTCCTCATGAGCAGCGTGCGCGGTCGCGGCGATGTCGCGCAGCCTACACGCAGTCTTTTCTCAATAGAGGTATATTTAAGTGTGGGAGAGCCATGCTTCGACACGAATGGGCCGGCTCGACCGGAGTGATACCACGGCCGAGCAGAATAACGACCGCATTGTGTTTCGTCGTGTGTGTGAGAACTCCTAATCCCCAAAAGGCCGGTAACGCACTTGAAACGCCTCTGGTGTTCCAGGTGTCCATGGGCGACGCCGATTGCTTACCATCAGGTTCATCCGTCTGCTCGTTTACCGGCTTATGACATAAAAAAAAATTATACCGCCCCCTTTCCCCAATCCCTGAATCCCCAACAATCCTCAAATTCCTAATCCCAAATGGCCAGTAACGCACTTGTAACACCTCTAGTGTTCCAGGTGTCCATGAGCGACGACAACAAGGTCACAAGGTCTGTATAATGTGGGAGCTGATTGCTTACCATCAGGTGATCTGTCTGCTTATTTTCCAGGCTATTCCATATAAATAATTTTAATTATACTTATACAGAACTCACATACCCGCCTATACGTATCCATAACAAATCCGTTTTCTCCTACGATGATGTAGAAGCTGGGCTCCGGTCGCATGGTCTTCAAGGACTTAGCAGAGTCTCTGGTCAGACCAGCGTGTACCCAGACCCTGATGTTTGATGCTCCTAGCAACTCGTACAGGGTGCGGTCCACGTCTGCAGGAGAAGATGGTTGAATAGCAAAACTCCTTTGTCTTGGGAGTCAATTAAATATTATTTTTTACCTTAGTTGAAAAAAGGCAAATATAATCCTTACTTCCTTACTTATATTATAAATCGGAAAGTGAGTTTGTTTGTTTGTTTGTTTGTTCCACTTTAACGCCGTAACTACTAAACCGATTGCTTTGAATTTTTGCAGATGTATAGTTAGAAGTCCGGATTAAAAAATAGGGTACTTTTTATCCCGGAAAAATTTGATATTCCCGAGGGAAAACAAAAGTATTGGTATAGATGGCGCTGTGTGTATTGGTATATGCCACATTGGCTTTTTATCCTTTTGTGACGCGAGCGAAGCCGTGGGTAAAAGCTAGTGTCATATAAAAATAATTGAAGCATCAAAATGTCAGTGTAATGGGCAAAAAAATATTAAACTCGCGTCAGGACACGTGAACCTGATCGAAAATTCGTAAGACTGATGGAGAGTAGACAGCTGGCGTGGTGTAGGACAGGGAGTATCCCCCTCTCTTTCTACGGCGCGGCAAAAATGTACTATGCCTTTTTTTAAGCGGGGAAAACATCGAATGACTGCTCCCACATGGGTGAGGCGGAAGGGAGTGTCGGACTCTTACTGACTAAATACCACCCCGTTCCTTCTCCTGCACGTCGAGCCGGAGCCCCGGTTACCCGTTAGGTTCTCCGCGACAAATGTACTATGCCTGCGCCGGCTGTTTCGTTTAGACGGCGGCATACGTTTCGCAGCAACCGGCTGCCCCGCAACATGTAGCGGGTTCGATTCCCGCAGGTAGCAAATCTTTGTGTGATCCACAAATTGTTGTTTTGGGTCTGGGTGTCATGTGTATGTGAACTTGTATGTTTGTAAATGCACCCGCGATACAGGAGACAATCCTAGTGTGGGGCAACGTTAAAAAAAAAGAAATATTCCACAAAGGCCCCGAATCACTGTGTGCCTACTGCCCAAGGCCCCACCATTGTCTAAGACGGCGCTAAAAACCTCCCCAAACAAAGTTACCTCTATTGTAAATAACCTTGTAGGGACACATGTATGCATGCGAGGCAGAGTGCAAGGTAAGAAAATTGTATGCGCGCGTGATGTATGCTTTGGACGACTAGTTACTGCGCACTGGTCAGGGCGAACGGTCCTCTGTCTCTGGGATCACGCGAAATATATTCGATTGACATAACCCGATTTTCATTGACTCCAGAACCCTGAGCCAGAAGCAGTGCTCAATTAGGGATTACCGTGAACATTACCCGTGTTATATAATCCCTAAAACCTCTCCCTCTTTCATCAGCCATAACTTACCACTCTCACTCTCCAGTATCAGAGCAGCATCAGTTGCGTTCCTGGACTCCAAGTAGTTGTCCAGTGCCTTCACCAGCTGCTGGGAGCCTAACAAAGTTCTGACCAATGGTATACCAGCTTCTGAAGCCAAATCTTCAGCCGTTTGCCATGGAGACCAGCTCAAATCTATGACCATGGATACTCCTTTTGATACGGCGGAGCATACTAAAAAGAATTATAATAAATAGCTAAGTTAACAGTTTATTTCATCACTTGGTTTAAGTGTGGGAGAGCCATGCTTCGGCACAAATGGGCCGGCTCGACTGGAGTGATACCACAGCCGAGCAGAAAGCCGACGTGAAATAACGGTTGTATTTTTGTGTTTCATAGCGTGAGTGAGGTTGCTCAATTACCCACCCGCCATGGGGACGGCCTTTTTGGATTAGGAATTTGAGGATTGTTGGGGGGTGAGGGCGTAATTGGGCCTCCGGTAACCTCACTAACACGACGAAACATAACGCAAGCGTTGTTTCAAGTCGATTTTCTATGAGGCCGTGGTTTCACTCCGGTCGAGCCGGCCCATTCGTGCCGAAGCATGGCTCTCCCACACTTAAAACACTCCACTCCGTCTGCTCGTACCTACCATAAAAAAGAATAAAAATCACTTACAGATCCTACTACTCTCTTCCTCATTTTCTCTATCAAGCAGAACGATGGCATCGTCAAGTTTGACATCAGGTCGTACAGTTTCAGACAACTTCAGAGCTCTCCCAATGTCACGGGTCAAATCTTGCTCTTGAGCCTCTATTATGAAAACTAAAATACAAACATAGAAATACGTCTTTTAGTGACTGTTATAACTTTTATGACTCGTATGACTGATATGACTATTGTGACATTCGTGACTGTTATGACTGCCTCGTTGGCCGAGTGGTCGCAAGTGCGATTGCCGGGCAAGGGGTCTCGGGTTCGATTCCCGGGTAGGGTAAAGTATTACTGGGTTTTTAAATATTCTCAGTAGTAGCACGGAGTCTGGAATTGTGCCCGGTATATGGCAATAGGCTCACCCCCTATTACATGGGACTCATAACATAAATAGTGAAAAGTGGGTGTTACATTGTACAGTGGTATAATGTGCACCTCTGCCTACCCCTTCGGGGATAAAAGGCGTGATGTTGTTATGACTGTTATGACTCGTACGATTATTGTGATTGTTATGACTCATGACTTTGGTGACAATTATGACTGTTATGACTCATATGACTTTGGTGACAATTATGACTGTTATGATTATTATGACATTTGAGACTGGTATGACTATAGAGGTAGTGACTGTTGTGTGTTATGACTATTCTGGCTTTTGTAACTATAATATTTTATCGTAAATAGAAAATCTATTAACTGATCGTCGAGTTACAAAAGCGACCAAAAGGTGACGTCATCTGGGTGAAATAATTCCCAGGTAAATTGAGGACACCAAAAATTATACTTCTAGGTGATATCTCCCAGGTGAACCGAGTGTAATAAACCATAACCAAGGTGTCTCGGGTTTCATTTCCAGTTCGGGTAAATCGTTATTGACTAGGTATTTTCTCTGTTACGCCTTTTGTGATTTAATTACTTACCTACCTAATTATAGTAAAAAAAATACTTACCAAACCGCAGACTCAGCTCCGATAAAACACAACCCACGTTAATAAAGAAAATCAACAAAAATAAATAATAAATTGACATTTTGATTTGATTTTTACATTTAAAATTGTTTAATACTAATAATTGCAATTTTTACAATTACAAGTTCTTATTTTATTTATCAAAATAGCTGAAATATATTCTTGTAGTAAATATGGGATAAAAAGAGCTAATAAAACGTAGAATATTATTCGTAATTTTTCAAACATTACTGAGCCGCCATTTTGATTTGTTACGAATGTATTTTTTCGTAACATAAAGTACTTTTTATATTATTTTGCTTTTTGTAGCTATACTATTTGTAATTATATTTATTACAGACTTAAATAGTAAGAAATACAGTTATCATTAATTATATTTTCTTTATTTAAATTACTGATCGAAAAAAATACTACTTTATTTCGTAATTTTAACTGTCAAACATTTTTTTAGGTTATGATTTTATTTTTTCGTATTTTTAACTCAAAGTCAATGTTTATCTGACTTGAACTTGACAATTTGACTGGATATTTAACTGCATTTACGGTTACCCTAAGCTATGGTTAAGAGAATACTTAATGCAATATGATTGACGTATAATTTGGTTACGAAGACAAATTATTCGTAAACAATAGAGAATATAGAATGTGTAGTTTCATGTCTTTAAAGCCTTTGGTACATGTGCGTACAAAACGGTGTGGAAAAAGAAAATATGAACGATATTTTTTACCTATAGCAAAATTATGTTGTTTTAAATATTTGTACGCCAAAACGGCATAACCTGTAGCTCCTAAATAACACCATTGCATGTACTCTTGTAATATTACTCATGTTAACGCAAATAAAAAATATCTTTATATTCAATGATATTATAAATAATAAAAAGAGGTAGATATCGCACTGGCACGCAAAAATTGTTGCGAACGAATTCAGACAATTGTCGTAATTTTATAATAGCTATCTCTTTTCTGTACCATACTTTCCGTATTATCTGTCGCACGTAGTTGAAAATGACATTTAAGTACATTTGTAATAAGAACGCAACAATTTTTGGACGCCGCTTAGTATGAACGTAGCGTATCTTCTTTATAATATCATTGTTTATATTTATCTATATCTTTATCTTTATCATGTTACCGTGATAATTAGTAGGTAGGTATGAAAGCCACTGTCAACTACACGTGAAGCTACACAAACTGTCGCATATTCTGTGTTGTATATGTCCCTTCAACTATTTTCTACACCTCTGTATTATACAGTAATATAGTTGATAATAATTAAATGTACACTAACCCAAGTGTTTTTTTTCTTTCAGCTACTAACAACTAAACACTACCACAAAGTTAATTTCGACGGTTCATTAAACTGCCGTCACCACTCGACACTGGCAGTATAGTCGACAAGATCGTTTTGAAGACTCGTTTGCCAAAGAAGCGAAAAAAAAACTGTCGCATATTTACCACCCAATGTGGGACTTATATGTTTCTTTTCTAACATTTCATTATAGGGTAGTTTCTTAATTTTTTTTAATGTCCAACCGGTACCGTACTATATATTAATTTGGTGTGACGTCACAGCGTTTTGTACTACATTTTGTAGCACCTTGTGACGTAACGACCTCCCGCTCCTGAACTTCAAACAATGTCGTATTGGCCCGGAGGTTTAAGACGCTGGCTTCTCATGCATGAGAATGCGGGTTCGGAACCTACCAACAGCAAGTACCAATATGATTTTTTTCGAGTTATATGTACTTTCTAAGATAATTTAGACATCACTGACAAACGGTGAAGGAAAACATCGTGAGGAAACCTGAGCTTATAATTTCTAATTATAAGTTTCAAATCGCCAACCCGCATTGAGCAAGCGTGGTGATTAATGCTCAAACCTTCTCCGTGTGAGAAGAGGCTTTGCTCAGCAGCAGTGCCATCAACAGCCTATAAATGTATAGGCTGTTGATGGCTCCTAAACTTAACGCCATTTTATTTCTAAGTATTGCAACTTTACACGAGAAAATAAAAAAAGGCTAATATTTTTCCACCTACACCTCTTATTTAATATACAAAGTATTTTATTTATTTATACAAAAGAAGGATAGGTAATTACAATCACAAAACTAAATAGTAGATACCTAACAGAAAATAGGCAAATGTAACTAAAACGCTGGAGACGGGCAGCCCTAACGCACGTTTACGTACCGCGCGGCTGTAGGTATTTAACTCTGTCATGTGGCCGAGTTACAATATTGTATGGTAATATTACCGTGCTCCTGGCGTCGGGGAACGGGTGAGATGATATCCGGCCACCATAAACACGGGCCTTCGGACGGCGACCATGGGTAGCTAACCGCCCGACCAGAACTAACCCAAGCGTACGGGGCGTCACGTTCCGCGCGAGCCTCAAAGAGCCAACAGACCACCACAGATGGGGCCCAATAAGGCTGATGCTGATGCTGAGAACGGTTAAAAGGTTACCGGGGCTCCGGCTCGAAGTGCAGAAGCAAGAATGGGGTGTTTTTTCCCCTTAAAAGGCTTTGTCAAACAGCCCCTAAAAACATAACACTTCTTTACTCGACAGTCCAAATCGATATATTATTCAGATGTAACCGCTTCACATAATTCACTGTGATTTTATAAGCGTGGGACTTTGTACACGCGGTGTCGCACACACGACATGCTTTAAACTAAACCTAGTTTGTGTTCCTGGATTTACTTGTAACGGGTTTTTTTAGGGGGGGAAATCATCGAATGACTGCTCCCGTCTGGGTGAGGCGGGAGGGAGTGTCAAACTCTTACTGACTAAAAACCACCCCGTTCCTTCTCCTGCACGTCGAGCTGGAGCCCCGGTTACCCGTTAGGTTCTCCGCGATGCTTGTAACGGGTTATTACTTGTATTTTTATAAGAACTACCACATTTTGTTCGACAAACAACAACAAATGTGGGAGAGCCATGCTTCAGTACGAATGGGCTGACTCGACCGGAGTGATACCACGGCCGAGTAGAAAACAGACGTGAAACGACGCTTGCGTTATGTTTCGTCTTATGAGTGAGGTTACCGGAAGCCCAATTACCCACCTCCTCAATCCCCGAATACTCAACAATGCTCAAATTCCTCTGGCGTTTCAGGTGTCCATAGGCGGCGCCTATTGCTTACCATCAGGTGCCGTCATAAAAATATTAAATCATTCTAGGTATCAAATTATAGGTATCTATGGGTACCGTCTACCGTCTGCAAATTCACCGACTTATTCATTAAAAAAAAACAAAACACTGGCAGGCCGTTGAGAAATCGTATGTTTTGACTGGTCACAGCTCTCAGTTTGGTTACTTTACTCCGGAAATCGAATCTGAGCCCCAAAGCGTATAATAAGTATAGGCCCTTGCTCAATATCGCACTTACGACTACTACTTATATCAACAGATAAAATAATAAAATAATAGTCAATATCCTCACCCCTTTCTAGATTAAAGCCCGAATTTACGAAATCCCTATAAAAGATTATTATCAAAATCGCTTAACAAGAGGCAGTGATGTGACGTCATAGTCATCAACTTCTCGTCATAAAATTATACAATAACGCCATCTATTTTCGACAAAAAGAATTAGCGTGGTAATAATTTTTATCTAGCTCATGACCGTCAAATAGTTAAAAAATTAGGTGGAAATTACCTATATTTTTAGCGTACCTACATTTAGCACAAATCGCAAAATAAATGACCTAATTTTTTTTAATTAGAATTGTGTGTGGCTTGGGGCGCCCCCAAAGAGTATAATAAGTATAGGGGTAGGCGCCCCTCAGATCATCTACGAACGAAACATGCACTCATAACAACCCGTTACTGGGCCTCCTACACGAGGGCACTGGGCATCAACCTGGCGTTCTAGCAGGCCTATACTACGCAGGCGTAGTATAGGCCAGGGCCTATAGTGTGTAGTTGTCCTTCTTACTCTTTTCTACTATCTTTCCTGACAGTACATACCTGATTATGATGGTACAAAAGCCAAGGCACGACGTAGCGGAATCTCGTCTTCATGTGAAACTTTTAACAACTGGAAAACTAACTATACCCAATAAATAACTCTACAAATTATCTATTTATGAAAGTTCTGTTCAGAACTCTTACACACGAGCATGTCGCTGCTAACGGCAGAGGTTACTGCAGCCGTCGATGCGTCGATATTTCAACTTCGAAGAACACTTTAGTGCCGCTATAGGTCGACTACTGTCGCGGAGAACCTAACGGGTAACCGGGGCTCCAGCTCGACGTGCAGAAGGAACGAGGTGGTTTTTGGTCAGTAAGTCTGACATTCCCTCCCGCCTCACCCAGGCGGGAGCAGTCATTCGATGATTTTCCCCCCTTAAAAAAAAAAATAGGTCGATTACTGCCGTCAACGCGTCAGCAGTTGCCTCTACCGTTGGCATCATACCACTCGTGTGTGTGCGTGTAGAGCTCTCATGGATAGCCAAGAAATCTTACCTTACTAATATTATAACTACAAAGTTCGTTTGTGTGTATGTTAGGTACTCACGTCAAAATGGATGAAGGGAACGGGTTGAAGAAAAGGGATAGCGACAGATTATTTTCTAGACTAGAATAACATCGGCTACTTTTTATCCCACGGGGACGCTGGCAAAGCAGTGGGCAGAAGCGAGTACCGTAAATAGGGGTGAATAGGGATCGAGAGGTGAATAAGGACAGAAGAGGGGTGAATCGACGCTATGAAGAATTTCCTTATATCTAAATTCACCCCTCTTCCTGTCTCTTTTCACCGCTCAATCCCTATTCACCCCATTTTACCTTTAATTCATAAAGAAATTGGTGTTGCATCAAAAATAAAACAAATATTATATTTTTTTAGAACTTTTTAATAATTATCCTTAGTTTATTCGTTCTCCTGGCTGCGAAGGCGGGCTGCAGAATTGGTGACCCTGATGCTGAGCTGTTGGGCGCGCTCTACAATGGTCTTGCGCTTCTTTGAGGAGACTCCGTGGGCGATCTCTGCGCAGTACTTCCTGTTCTGCATCATCAGGATCTCCAGCTCACGGACATTGTGTACAAGGACCTGGGAGAAAGAAAAACATATTATTAGTTATGTAAAAGACATATTTTATCTGGCCTGTGGTATGTTAACAGTACAGAGCAACCACCAAATACAATCTCGGTTGCCCAGCCACCACACCAACCGTGCAGTCGAAATGACTGCTCCCGCCCGGGTGAGGCGGGAGGGAGCGTCAGACTCTTACTGACTAAAAACCACCCCGTTCCTTCTACTACATGTCGAGCCGGAGCCCCGGTAACCCGGTAGGGCTACTATTTCTCAGCTATTTCACTACATAGTATAAAACAAAGTCGCTATCCGCCGTCTGTCTGTCCCTATGTATGCTTAGATCTTTAAAACTACGCAACGGATTTTAATGCGGTTTTTTTTAATAAAGTGGTTTTTAAGTAAGGTTTATATGTATAATACATGCATATTGCATCCGTGCGAAGCCGGGGCGGACCACTAGTATTTTATAAAATGTATCTACCACTATGACCATGTAGCCATGTGTAAGCTCACATAGAATAGGATTTGGTAGATTTATTATAGCAAGGTAACAAATTGTAATTATCATATTGAATGTATAACACAGAGTGCCCTTGCATTAGCGGTCCTATACAAAAAACATCAAGACATTTCAATTACAATAGAAAACCAAGTGTTTAAAAAAGTAGTTCCTTTCGGATGTTAAATAAAGCTAGATGCTACTGAACAACACTTCGTAATACTTTCATGTCCACCGTAGATTTTTACTACAACTAATGACATTAAGGAGGCCATACACGCTAGGTTATGCATGATGGTTATAACTGTGCATGCATAACTGAGCACTGATGCACCGATAACACAAAAACACAACCGACAGTTTCATCACATACACGCTAGGGCTTGCCTGTCAGTTATGATGCACGGCTAAAACCATCATGCAAAACCTAGCGTGCATGGCCTCCTTTATACACAATATCTGATTATTGAAACTTTATCAATAATTGACTCGTTGCCACTGCCGGGCAAGGAGTCTTGAGTTCGATTCCCATGGTAATCCCCATGGTAAGTACTACTGGTATTCTAAAAAAATCTCGTTACTAGCACAGTCTGGAATTGTGCCTGGTATATGGCAATAGGCTCGTCCCTTAGTTACAGGGGACTTATAACATAAATAGTGAAATGTGGGTTTTACATTATACAGTGGCATTAAGTACCATACCTAATGTGCACCTCTGCCTACCCCTTCGGAGGTAAAGGCGTAAAGTTATGTTATGAAACTCAATCAGTAATTGGAAAGACCCCATTTTAAAGACTAATTCTCGTTAGTAAGGACAAATTCTCTTTAACCCGTATATCCCCAAGCAGTCACCGGTGAATGTTCTCCACTGACTACATAATATGTATATATATAGACCTTATTTCCAATGTTTAGAGACTACTTTTGAATGAACAAATTTAGTGGATGATTTTCAACAATTTTCAATGGGTTAAGTTGCAATCTTATTTTTATTTACAGCATAGGTATATAAAAATCGTGTCAATCAGAATAAGAATTACTGTTTTAAAATTAAATATTTTTGGTTTATACCTAATTACACTGAGACTTAAAATAAGATCTATCAGTGAAAGAGGAAGTCAGAAACAAACTAAAGTCGTTTTCTTGTCGCCTAAGAAATCACCCCAACAAGCTTACTAGTGACAGTGAGCTTATGAAGTCTGTCAGCACCTTTAAGCACATTAAAAGGAGAGCTCCGTTAGGACCTTCTCCTGTCGTAACAACAACGAGGGATGCAATATTGGGTACCTGCCTTAATCAAAATTAAAGTATTTCGACTGTTCAATACAATGAAATATTAAAACACTTTCATTGACTTTATGACCAACTTAATCTTAGTATTTTTTCAGCAAATTTTTAAGAAATAAGTACGCTGTTTGACGCAAAAATAATGTGACATCATAATACACAATCTCATACAAAATTCATAGATAACTGTTGTTTCTGACAGTTCGAAAAAAGGTATTGAATTTGACTATTTGGCAAGTACCCAATTGGGTATACCGCTGGGTGTACACCGTGCATGTCACAATACATGAACATCTTAATCACCAGCTAAATGCCTAACTATGCAATTTGCAGAAACATAAGGACATTATATAAAAAAACTGATCTTTTACATACCTTACGGAAACCATTGGGTAGCATATGACGGGTCTTCTTATTTGATCCGTAACCAATGTTGGGCATCAAGTACTGGCCCTTGAAACGCCTGCGCACCCTGTTGTCAATACCTAGAAACGAAGATGGAGAAAATTGAATAATGACACACAATACATGTTAACGAAATGCGCGTCAGGTATGGCGAATTATGCCAGAACAATTTGGCATTATTTTGTGTCTGTCTACTGCAATGAGACAGGAGTTACAATATGTATATGTTAATGAAAATCTCAAACTAAAAGCAGTAACTAAGTGGTATTTGTAAATTGTCACAAGAAAATTACTTGCGAGAAATTGAAAAATAAATTTAAAAAAGCAATTTACAAATTGTTTCTTGTGAAATACCTCAAGTCTGGGGCTTGAATTCTTATAAGTTTCTCTTTCCATGAACAATTCACCAAATAAAATATGAAGTGAACGGTCAATACCTTTACCGAAATATTTTTTCAGGCTCTGATATCCAAGAAGTATTTAGTTTATTATATAAATGTATCTACCACTATGACCATGTAGCCATGTGCAAGCTCACATAGAATAGGATTTGGTAGATTTAATATAGCAAGGTAACAAATTGTAATTATCATATTGAATGTATAACACAGAGTGCCCTTGCATTAGTGGTACAAAGAAAAAAATAATAAATTGAAGTTATGGTCTTAGTTACTGGCTGGTTTTCTTATAAAAAAACTTAATCTTCCACATTCTATTTTAAAATTTTGCTGGGACAGGTGTTCATTGTCTTGTATCTTACAAAAATTGTGTAATATTCATATTATTGTTTTAATTAGGAATTGTGGGAGTTATTAAGTCTGCTGTAAAATTAAAATATCTCAAGTTCATCATGCCTGTTAGTAAGGTTATGGTCAGACGGACTGAGAATAAAAATATTGACAAACTGTATCCCCAGCTTTTGTTATACTCTTTCGAGTTTCCTCAATTATTCACAGCTGAAAGACTTGATAAATGCTATTTAGTATAAGGATTATTAGAAGCAATGATGAGAAAGTCCAAATATTTATAAAATGAAACCCTCGTTTCCGTGAGACATAACCTCACCAAAGGTGTGATTTTTATGTTTTCACTTTATTGTTTTAACATTAATATGCCCTTAAACATTCTCTAAAGCTATTATAACATCAATGGACAGCAAATTATTTATCTATATAAGGTTATCAAGGCAAGACAATGCCAAGAAGGAACATGCGTGCTTACCTCTGGGTTTACGCCAGTTACGCTTAAGTTTGTCATAGCGATCCGATTGATGGCGGATAAACCTTTTCGTCCTCTTTTTGACGATTGTCGGCCTGTATACAGGGCGGATTGCCATTTTGTATGTTTCTTATTGAAACACGGCTGTGAACCACGCGGTGACACGGCCGCACGAAAAGGAAGAAGGAATAGACAATTCGAGACATTGCTAGAGTTTCAGTCTGTTTTCGTTAAGTAAACAGTGGCGTTGGTGTGGAAAATAAAATGGATTTAGTCTATGGTTTATTAAATAAGGGAAATTTGCGTTTATGTTAATACTCTTTCATTATATGTAATACGAGATATCAATGGACATAGCATTGTAGATTTCGTTTTTAAGAACTAATCATTTCTTTCAAAGTAATTGGTACAAAGTAACAAGTTTAGTTCAGATGTTTACGGGGCCATTGAGACAAAAGTATCTATTGATAGGGAGTATAATTTATTTTGAAATTGAGATTTCTCTAAACAGATAGGTTTATTTAAAAAAGGTATGCAACTATACTATAAACTAATTTTAATAACTTTAATTCAGATCCGCATCCTCATGCATGAAAAACGGTAGCGGGTGCCTTAATCTCCGCGCTAGAGACGCAGAAGTTAAATTCGTCTTAATTTTAGAAGGAAGAAAAATCCAATACCTACCACTTTCTGCTCGACACAGAAATCGAAGCCGAATCATGTTGCATTGTAGTTGTACTGAATTGTACTTTAACTGATTAACCAGCCTAGTAGGTAGCAGATTACCCGTGTAGTTCTCATTTCCTTAAAATAAGTTTTTTTATAGGATATACAAGCAGGCATAATATTAATATACCTGACGGTACCTAAGTAAACAGTACAGCGTTGTACATGTACAAAATTACCCCATGGCCTATTAGGGATCACAAGTATTTGTTAAGAAAGTAATTTTTTGACGCAAACGAGCAGATGGATCACCTGATGGTAAGCGATCAGTGCCGCCTATGGATATCCGCAATACTATATGAGCTAAGGGTGCGTTGCCGCCCTTAAAAAAGGAAGACGTTCTTTTCTTGAAGGTTTTAAGGTCGTATCAGTATCATAATCATTGGGTACACCCTTAGGCTTAATTAGCAGTGTTAGTACCAGTCAGAGCCGTATTATCTCTAAGATACACTAGGGAAGTGCCTAGGGCGCCAGGTCATAAAAAGGAGCCGCAAGCCGCATGTGCCCAACAGTCCTTAAAGTGAATATGGCTCAAAAAAAAAATATTTTTATCAGGTCATTGCCTAGGGGCGCGGCGCTCTCTAGGTTTAATTCGCTCCTGGCTAGAGTATTGGATAATAATTATAAGGCCTTTGTAATGTAGTGTCATGATGATCTTAAAAAAAAATGTTTTGTTCATCGTGGTTTTTGTTCATGTAAATATTTATTATTTGGTTAGTTAAAAAGTACAACACGAAATGTTTTAATTGTTTTAAATATTTAATGAATATATAAAACAATTTTAGTTTATGTAAATAAATCTTACTATTTTACTAATTTATTAAAGTAGCAAACCAATTTGTCTATGAACAATATTTTTATCTGTACTAACCTAATAACATTTATTTTATGACAGCTACCTGCACGCCGAGAACAAACCTATTTCTCTATGCCACAGACGCCAAATGTCGCCATCGATCAATGACATTTTGTGTAGTTGAATTTATTGATATAAAGCGTTAATGTAAATAATAAACAATATCATCATAAAAGTCGGCTTCCAGTCGATATGTATGCCAAGGGCAAGGGCTCTACGGTGCCTTCGGACGCTCAGGCTCGCGAAAAATTGGCGCTCTATGTGTACGAATATTTGCTTCATGTCGGTGCGACCAAAGCGGCGCAAACATTTCTGTCTGAAATACGATGGGAGAAGAATATAACACTGGGCGAGCCGCCCGGGTTCCTTCACTCGTGGTGGTGCGTGTTCTGGGACCTATACTGTGCAGCGCCAGAACGGAGGGACACTTGTGAGCACTCGTCTGAAGCGAAGGCATTCCACGACTATGGTTTTGTCAATTCTGGTTACGGAGTCAACGGTATCGGACACAACGCCGGCCCAGCGCCGCCTAACGACGGTACGTGTGCTAAATACGCGAATAATCGCGGCTACATAGCTTCATTTTGTTTTTCGCTGCATGTTTGTAGGCCAACACTATTCTTATCGCTTATGCTAATAAAACTAAGATTTCCTGATTCTGAAGTCTATATTTACCTAACTGTTACCGTGTTGAGATAATTTCTCGCGTAATTTGTATGTTTTGATGTGATTTTTAGGTGTTTTTTTGGTATCAATATGTGTAACCCAAAAATGGTGTTTTCACGAAATTGGGTTGCTGGCCTTGTGTGATTAGCTATATAAACATAAACAAGTGACTGATAACTGAGATATCACTATTTGTGGCTTTAGTAATAGTTAAATATGCATTTACAAGAAATTTGGTATTTTCACCAAAATTGTTTTACGAGTACTCATAGACCTACATTCTGTAAATAGTACATTGTACTACATAGTTTAATAAGGCAGAGCTCTCAAAATGCTTTCACACAAATATACACTTAATATCCAATGCTATATGAGTGAAAATGACAAATACATGAAATACTAGTTTCATAATGCCATATAGCATTTCCTTCCAGTCCACATTTGAGTTAGTAGTAAGCCAGTAAAAATAGGCCTGTGTTACATACAGTAACAATAACAAACTTCTTCTGAGGTGAGACCACATTCGGCGCACTGATAGGTTGTTTCTTTGCAGTTGGCCAATCAGTGAATGCATTTCGATTACTTTTTAAACATAAAGCAAGCTCATACTAGACCTCTGATCGGCTACAGGATGATACAGAAAATATAGTTAGAGCAACATGTCTAAGCCTCTGCCCGCGACTTCGTATGCGCAATCCCGTTTTCTCCCGTTCCCATAGGATTTCGGGACTTTTTCTGTCATAAGAATCTTCTCCTGACAATAATAAACACAACAAAAAGAAAGTCAGCCAAATTGGTTTAGCCATTCTCAAGTTATGGCGTGAAACAAGTGAATTTATTTCTGCAAATAGACTACAGGGCAGCACTTTTACATGTCAATTTTATCAAGCGAACAATGAGGCCGTGACTGATTTTTAGTCAGTAATAGTCTGACACTCCCTCCCGCCTCACACAGGCGGGATTGATCATTCGATGATTTTCACCCCTTAAAAACAAGTCATGGATACTTTTCACCGGTGGGTAGCATCATTATATTCACCCATGCGTAAGGTGCATCGCGTTTCGCGTGTGCCTCTAAAAGCTATCAAACCACCACAGATGGGGCCCAGTAGGGCTGATGCCGATACAGAGCTGCAGAAGACCTGAAGGGTTGCCGGGGCTCTGGGGAGCAGGAGTAGGAACGGGGTGGGTTTTAGTCAGTAAGTGTCTGACACTCCCTCTCGCGGGAGAAGTCATTTGATGAGAAGAGGTGTTTGGTCAGCAGTGGCCACTTATAGGCTGTGACTATGACTTAGAAACTGAGTTTTGTTTTGACGTCGCGAACCCATTTCTATGTATCTTTGTCGAGATTCTAGAGAGAGCCAAGATGTCACAATCTTTGCAACTGTAAAAGACATAGTATATCATCACGCCTTTTTACTCCCGAAGGGATAGGTGGAGGTGCACATCACGGCACTTAATACCACTGTACAATGTAACACCCACCTATCACTATTTATGTTATGAGTCCCATGTAATAGGGGATATAGGAGATGAGCCTATTGCCATATACCGGGCACAATTCCAGCTTCCGTGCTACTACTGAGATTTAAAAAAAAACTGCCACTGAGACAGTCAAACAATATCTATAAGTTCAAAAATGACATAAAATGTAAATAAAAATGTGACAATTTGTTTCCAGGCATGGGCGGCGGTGGAATGCCCCCTGGTTTCTTCCCGAACTCCCCCCTACGACCGTCACCTCCCGCACCCCACCCCGGATCGCAACCCTCACCACATGGACCGCAACCACAGCTTATGGGCACTGGACAACCGTTTATAGGAGGACCCTGGTATTCTGGTGGAGGACCTCGAGGAGCCGTCAGGATGGGAATGGGCAATGACTTCAATGGACCTCCCGGTAAGATAATAATTATTCTTTGCTAATTTTAGGTTTTATTTGTACCTAATTTTTTTAAACAGTTTGCTCCGCGCTATGATTTTCTCGTGTGTCATTGGTGCGTTTACAAGCAACTCTGTGTGTTCCACAAATTGTTATTTCCGGTCTGGATGTCATGTATAAGTAAACTTGTATATTTGTAAACGCAGACACGAAACTGAAGAAAATCCTAGTGAGGGCAACGTTTTTGCAAAAAAAAAACAAACAAAAATAATGTTCTTTTTACAATAGTCACAATGTTCAACATAATTTCCAGGTCAGGGAATGATGGGCAACTCACTGGAGCGAGGAGGCGGCGGGGTGCTAGGCGGGCCGCGCATGACGCCCCCGCGGCCCGGCATGGGCCCCATGAGCCCCGGCGCCTACGCAGCAGGCATGCGCGGCCCACCGCCTCAGGGACCAGGTATGTTCCCAGTTTTTATAGTTTAACAACATTTATAGCACAGCGCCATCTATTGAAACAAGTTGGAGTTTTGCTATGACACAAATTTTTGGGATAACACAGTTTAATGCTCGAATACTGAAGCGCCACTCAATTATAAGTCGGGATTAAGTATAGTTCTGTCATTACACAGTAGCGAAACTACAGGGTGGCAAGTTGTCAAAATGCCACGGGCCCCCAGCTAGAAGGGGCCCCGTTCAGAGGTTTTCTTCTCTGTTTTATTGGGAACGAGGGCCCATTCGATGAATTTGCCATGGGCCCCGAACGGTATAGTTACGCCACTGTCACTACATATTTCTTGTAAAATGATAGAGATGCCACGATATTTAAGTACAACTTAAAATTGACTTAGCCTAGCCTTTCAGTACTCGAGTGTTAGATAGTTATAACTTTTTCACTTTTAAAAAGAAACTGTCGAATGGTTGTCGTAACCGTGAAAAGTTTGACTGTTGGGTCGTGGGAATAGGGTAGACGACTAATTTTTATTTTAATGTCCGTCTGATAGATTATTTAAAAACATTAGACACGTATTTTTTATTTTCTCACAGAAACGAATAGTTTCGAAGATATATTGATTTGAAATGTCGCGTGACGTCACTTCTCAGTACATTTTATACTAAGAAATGACGTTTTAGCCCCCACTCCTAAACTTTGATTCGTTTTGTCTAAGTATTGTTTTATTATACGACAAAATAAAAAAATACGTGTCTAATATTTTTTCATTACCTAACTGACGGACTAATTATATTTTTAATTTTCATACCCTGTCATCATCCTCATTGGTCTTTCAACTTTTGAAGTTTTGAGATGTAACCTTCTTTGGGCAAATACTATTTGTCACCACTTTTACAGGTGTAACAACTTCCAGGTGGGAGTGTAAATAAAACCTGGACACCTAGGAATATGTAAGCTTAATGTGGGTGTTACAATGTTCAGATCAATAGTTCGGTCTTCATCCTCAACTTTCTGCAATCAATCCCCTTATTTTATTTTAGACCAGTGGTTCTCAACCGGTGGTCCATGAACCACTGTTGGTGCCCACAAGCCAAAATATGGTCAACGAAATGATAAAATACACAAATCTTCACTTCTTCCGAGGGAAGTGGAAACTATCGTTTTTTCTTCTCTTATATCTTCTGATTCACTTCGTAGTGGGAACCAAGACAGTTATTCATGTCCCTGGGACGCGCCGGACTTCAATGTTCCGGTGTTTTCATGGTTGTATCTACTGTAAATCCTGGCTTACAGGAGTTGCAGCGGTTTTGGAAGGTTGTGGCGGGCTTGTCCCATTAAAAGAAAGATACTTCGGTCAAAATATGCAGGAATAAAATAGGAACAAACTACAATAATAAAAAAATCTCAGTTTTTAAGATGACGATCCCTATCACACTATAATGTTATGTCACGTGGGGCCCCTTACAAGTAATTTTATAATAGTGGTCCCTATCCTAACAACAATGATATAAAAATGATTGGTCAACGTTTGACCATTGTCTCGGCTGGTGGTTAGCGATAAACCGGTCTACAATGGAGCACGTCGTCCCATAAGCAACCTATTCACTCGTGCTTTGAAGACACCCAGATTTTATCCTTTAAGAAATACAGACTGACAAAAAATTCCACTCCTTAGCACAAGGAAGCTTCAAATTCTAGTTTAGACAGTCAAGGAGGCCATACACGCTAGGTTATGTATGATGGTTATAACTGTGCATGCATAACCGACAAGCATAACCGAGCACCGATGCACCGATAACTGTACAGTTTAATCACACACAAGCTAGGGCTTGCCTGTCGCCTGTCGGTTATGATGCACGGCTAAAACCATCATGCAAGACCTTGCGTGTATGGCCTCCTTAACACAGAGTCTGGATATTAGTGTAGATTTGATATTAGTGATTGATTATATAGATTGTGGATATTAGTGTTAAACACGTCTATCTACAACCTCATTTCCTGTGATTTTTACAAATTGTCTATTTTTATCGCTCTTTTTTAAATTTGGAAACAATTTTATGAATGTTATTTTTGTGCTCTCAAACAGAGGTTATAATAGACACGATACGGCGATAAAATGGCATGAAAGTTATGTCGAATTAATGTTATATAGGTATGCCACCAATGGGTATGGGCCCACGGGGCGCTTGGGCCGGCGGCAGCGGTGGCGGCGGGGGCGGGGGTGCCGCGCCGCTGAACTACTCCGGGGGCTCACCAGGGGCGTACGGGGCCCCTCCGGGGAGCAATGGGCCTCCGGGCCCCCCGACACCGATAATGCCCAGCCCACAAGATTCGTCTAATTCAGGTGAGTGTCATGAGTGGGCGAAGGTGGCGGGGTGAGGGAGTGGGATACGAGTCTTTTTTACATTATAATAGTTAGGAACTTAATTAATTCATTAGGTAGTTTTTTAAGTACTTAAAGTAATACACCGTCGTTTGAAAGCGTTAGAATTTATCTTGCCTAAAAAAAAATTAGTATTTTTTTAAACAACACCAAACAATTGTGCTGTTGAAATTAAATTAAAACAAAAAAATACTCAGTACCCATTCGTCGCTTCATGTGTTAACCGTCCTAAGCGAAAATAGGTTGACATAGTTTTGAACCTTTTTTGAATAAAAATCAGAATGTCTTTGTCAACCTTTTCTCGCCAAATCTCGCCTACGCCATTAATTTTTCAGTTCAATGTTAAAGGATATTTACTCAGTATTCAACTAAAATGTTTTATAATTACAATTTAACAAGATATATATATATCAGATCAAGATAAAGGTCAGTTGGTTAATTTGATCAAGGTATTTTAATGTCACTCTTCATTTTTCTATGACGTACATTGGCGTAAATATAACATATAGCTGTATGAAGCTCAAAATCTAGATTAGAAAGAGATTATTTTCACATATTTTGGATTATTGTTATTTATTGGGACCCCCTAAGTTGTGGGCCCCTAATAGTTTGGGGGCCCGTGGCAATCATTGCCTGCCTTATATTACGCCATTGATAACGTGGAATACATCTTGTCCGATCCGTAAAAGAATTGTTAGTATAAACTCTATTGGCGTTAACCTTTTTTGAACAGCATTTTTGGATGCAAAACTTAAGAATAGGATCTTTTTTGTTTAGTTTGACGAAGTATTTAAGTATTGTCTTTGGCCACTGGATCGGACAAGGTTTTAGAAACACTGTCTGTTTAATATTTTTATGTTAGGAGATGAGTTTACATTAATTGACAAACAGTTGCTATTTTGAGATCTGTTGAATGGACTATGTTAGTTAAAAAACAATAAACTAATATATATTTGTTTTCTAACCCAGTAAAGTCGTATTATGATAATATCGGTGGCACTCAAATTGCTAGATATCAAATTCAGATATCGAAATTATTGATTTTAGACGAAGTGTGAAAACGCGCCCGGGTTTTAGGTTAATTGGCCGGTCACAATGTTATGTTGTCTATCTACCCCTTCCGGGTATACACGACATTTTGAGAAACACAGGGTAGGCCCTCCAGTAACACCGAGTCGACCGCCGTTCAAAAGGTAAACGTAGAATGTTTTTATGCGTTAATGTATGCTCATCTTCACCCGATGCGATCTAAAAAACTTACTAAAAGATCCATCACATTTCTCTCATGTAATTAATTTCATTTCTCACTCTGCTTGCTTCATTCTCGCATAACTTCGTTAGCTTGGTTCACATCTGTACAACGCTTTTTATGTTATTTTTGTTACTTCAAACTGTCCTCTTTTTTTGTTCTTTTGTGTCTGTATAAATTCTTCTTTTAGTTTTAGTTGTTATTGCATTCTCAATTAGGGATTTATTTTGCTGAAAAGCGGCTAGCTAGCCGTGTTTTCAGGTCCCCACTGGGGCCCCGTAACCGTGTGATAATTAATGTTTGTATATAAGTCGGGGGCCCTTGTAATTTTTTTTATACAGGGTCTCGTATAACGAAAATAGTTTTTTGAATCGATATTTTCTAATTGAGAATATTTTGGATATTATTATTAGAAGTCACGAGGCTTCTAGTACTAATTTTCCAATAATGATCATGTATGTAGTTCTTAGTTAATTTCTCATAGACAAAATTGTTTGATTTAAGGCTGATTTTACCAACGCCAGATAAATTTTACCAGAGGAATAACATTGAATATTTGACAATACTTCCATACCAAAAACAATCAAATGTCAATTTTATTCTACAGTTAAGAATTATCTGTTGATTGAAAAATCAGCCCTTGTAAGCATTGATTCTCATTACTTTTTTTTATATCTTTTTTTTTGTTTTGCTAAATAAAACCATCGTAAACGAAAATCACTTTCGCATTTTTTTTTTTATTCGCTTGCCATTGCGTGAAAAGAAACCCCAAAAAATAATTTTGTCTATGACACGATGCGAATGAAATAGAGGTGGAAAAGTATCGATATCGAGAAATAAATCGATTAAAATGGGATGAGATATAGTCACGCATAATGTGCGCGGCAGGGGGAGACAACATGTACACGCTGATGAAGCCGGTGGGCCCCGGAGCGCTGGGGGCCGAGTTCCCCCTGACAGGCGACCACGGGCCGGCGCCGCAGCACCTATCCCAGCCGCCCGCCGCTGAAGGTGGGCCTTGGACTCAAAAATCAAACCTTTTATATCAAAATCCTCACGCCAGTGTCTAAAAGTGGCTCCTGTACTCTATGGCCAATGTTGAACAGTCCATTAATTACGTGGTTAAAGCTGGGGGTGAATCTCACATTAAATCACGTGGGGTCCGCCGAAACTCGCTTAGTCTCACATGGGGTCAGCCGAAACTCACATAATCTCACATGGGGTCAGTCGAAACTTACATAATCTTACATGGGATCAGCCGAAACTCACATAATATCACATGGGGTCTACCAAAATTCACATAGTCTCACATGGGGTCTGCCGAAACTCACATAATATCATATGGGGTCTGCCAAAATTCACATAGTCTCACATGGGGTCTGCCAAATTTTACGTAACTTATCTAAAAATGGGTTTTTGAATCTGGTGTCGAAAATGTTCTGAGAATCTACGGTTATTTGGTAACTGTTTCTTATACTTGTTTATCACCTCGGTGGTATAAAAACGTTAGCCCACCATTTGAGACCACACTTTGCAGTATGCTTTTCGATATATCATATGAGATTGAGGCAAGATTGGCCTTTTTGGAGGGGGAAAATTCCTCCAATGACATCTCCTGCCTTAGGTGAGGCGAGAGGGAGTGTCAGACTCTTACTGACTAAACACCACCACGTTCCTATTCCCGCTTCAAGGCCCGGTAATCTTTCCTATCGTCCGCAGCAGGGAAAATTGAACCTAATTTCATGTTTTATCAAGAGTCAAAATTCACGTAATTAATGGACTAAACTCAAATATAATAAAATAGCCTATTTCAAAGCCAACATAGCCAAATGTGTACAGAAGCCTAAAGGGCTCTGACACTAGCGCTTTAAAAATAAAATAAAAAAAGTATTTAACAATGAGTTTGGTTGAGGGGTGTGCGGCGTCGTATCGTGTAGCTTGTCGGTTAAAGTTGTATGCTTTTGTTTGTTCATTAGGCGCTTCGAAGCGTGTCAGAGCCCTGCTTGTAGTTGACCTTTTGACCTTCATTGTCATAATTTTTGTTCATGCGAATATTTGCAACAGTTGTGTACATTTAAAAGCCTTTTTTGGATTTTTATACACTCAACAAGATATTAAAACTATAACCTAGATTATTTATTTTGAATAAAGTATAATATTTCAGGTTTTTATATATTCAATTCGCTTGGTGGTAAGCGATGATGTGACCAACGATGAAACCTAGCCTAGGATTCGCATAAACAAAAATAATACTGTTGTATAATACACAACAAATAAAAAAATCCCAACTATGGTAGCATCTGTGTTTAGACACATTTTTTAACGCAAATAATGCCTTACAACAGTCTATTTTGTTTATTTATTTTATGAAATCGTGTAACTGCGTTCTAACTAATATAAAGTGATTCGCGTTTTAAAATACACAGTAAGATGATGAAAAATTTATAAAATCTACGTTTCTTTATTTTGGGCCTTAAGCCTCTTACGCACTAGCGGTTGACCGCCTAGGCGGTACTTGTCGACAGACACGGTTGCCATAGCGGTTTCATATTTAATTGAAAAAGAGGACAACGACATGGAGGTGTTAGCCACACGGTTCTAGTGCGAAAGGGAGCTTAGAGCCGAGGGCAGGCTGTTTCTTACTTGCCATGATGGTCAAAAGGTTAATGCTGATTTTTGGGAGTCTCCCAATCTTATACATAGTTTATTAGGAGTAAGAACTTCATCGTGTTTTAAAAATATATCTGATGGAATACTTCAGATGGCGTTGATGTACCAAATTGGTCATATTTTATACGTCAAAAACGGCTGGACAGGTTTTCATATTGTTTTATATGTGTTTCTTATTTGCAATATTAGCAGGATAGCTAAAGATTGAGAAATGTCACTGTAATAGTGACATTTAAGAAGGAAATTAATTTTCTTCAAGTTCGACTTGGTAATGGTACATTGAATTATAAATCTTCATGCTTAAATAATACGGTATGGTAAATAAGACCTTTTATGAAAATGAAGCAAGCATAGTTTAATAAAGAAACTGTATTTTTAGTACATATCTTGGTATGTAGGTACTGCAAAATAATTATTATCAATTTTAAAAATAACAGACCTAATTGTATTGAAAATTAAAAAATAATTATCTCCTAGCTTAAGCTTACATTATGTTTGTGTTTAGATTTAGACTGTAATGGGTAGATATCACTGTCTCTCTCGCACAACCACATGAATGGCTATGACGTCACAATTCATCTTTTTTTTAAAATCGTTCGTCGATAAACGTGGGCTTGTCAAACAAGAGTTAACAATGCCCGATCATATTTTTTTCAATTTTATTTAGGAACTTTTATACAAATGTACGTGTCAGTCCCATCGGAGCTTATAAATATAATGAATAGAGTAGTTTCCTAAATTTTATTTTAATGTCCGTCTGGTAGATTGTTTTAAATCATTAGACATTATTTTTTCAACATTATTTTTTCTTTTCTCACAAAACTAAATGCTTTCGACGATATATTAATTTGAAATGTCGTGTGACGTCACAGCGTGCTACAAAATGTAGCACGTTGTGACGTAACTACCACCCACTCCTAAACTTAACTCCATTTTATCTAAGTATTGTAACTTTATACGAGAAAATAAAAAAATACGTGTCTAATATTTTTTCATTACCTAACTAACGGACTAATTAGATTTTTAATTTTCTTACCCTTGCAACTACCCTATTATATAACTACAATTAATAAACTATACACTAAATTGCAATATAACAAACTTAATTAAGTTATGCGCACCCTTAGAGTTAGGCGTTAACAAAATATGATGGAACATTCCAACAATATATACTTATTTGTCACGAGTTCCCTAAGACTTCTCTTGCAGATTGAAATCGAACACATTCCGTCAATAGATTCATAATATACTGTACCGCACTCCTCACAATTGGGATGATGACAGTTTATGAACATTAAAAATCTAATTAGTCCGTAATTTAGGTAATGAAAAAATATTAGACACGTATTTTTTTATTTTGTCCTATAATAAAATAATACTTAGATAAATCGAATCAAAGTTTAGGAGTGGGGGCTAAAACGTCATTTCTACGTATAAAATGTACATAGAAGTGACGTCACGCGACATTTCAAATCAATATATCGTCGAAAGTATTCGTTTCTAATGATTTAAAATAATCTACCAGACGGACATTAAAATAAAAATTAGGCATCTACCCTATTCGGTGAATTATTTTTTTTCATTAAAAATCCTTAATTATTGAGTGGCATGTGTCCCGATATGAATCTGTGCTGCTGTCACAAATGCCCGATCATAAATTACATTTTATTTTAAATTTACTAGCTTTTGTCAGCAACTTCGCCTGCGATCCTGTGGGAGAAAAAGTAGTATGTATATTATATATGTCTATATATATAAAATAAAGTCGTGTCAGTTACACCACTTATAACTCAAGAACGATCAAATAGATTTGGCTGAAAATTGGTAGGGAGGTAGCTTAGAGCCAGGAGACCGACATAGGATACTTTTTAACCAATTTTTTTTTACTTTTTACCGAAAATCACGAACGGGGACGGGAAAAAATGAGATTACGTGTACGATGTCGCGGTCAGAAACTAGTTATATATATATATGTGTGTGTTAATTCAAACCAAAACCTACCTCTGTTCCAAATTTCATCCCGATCCATTAAGCTGTTTTGTCGTAATTAAGTTACAAACATATACACGAAATACTCAAACGTCACAACATTTTAAGTCGCGCTTAAGAATTTGCGACCCCTCGGCCAACTAGGCAGTCTAGTGCCAATAGAATAGAAATTACTTCAAATTAAGCATTTGCTGCTTAGCCCAAAAAGCTAGTACAGGTAGGTGCACATCACGGCACTTAATGCAATGTAACACCCACATTTCACAATTATGTTTTGAGTCCCATGTAATAGGGGGTGAGCCTATTGCCATATACCGGGCGAGCCTATTGCCATATACCGGGCGAGCCTATTGCCATATACCGGGCGAGCCTATTGCTATATATCGGGCGAGCCTATTGCCATATACTGGGCGAGCCTATTGCCATATACCGGGCGAGCCTATTGCCATATACCGGGCGAGCCTATTGCCATATACCGGGGAGCCTATTGCCATATACTGGGCGAGCCTATTGCCATATAATCGGCGAGGCTATTGCCATATACCGGGCGAGCCTATTGCCATATACCGGCCGAGCCTATTGCCATATACTGGGCACAAGTCACAACCATACGAATTTAGAATATTAGTAAGATATGAACAACAGTTTTAATTTCATAATATGTAAATACGATTTTATTCCCGGAATCGTAAGCAGAGATGCACTATGTGATAGAGGGACCTCATTCATAGTTCCATAATAGGGATGATGACAGGGTATGAAAATTAAAAATATAATTAGTCCGTAAGTTAGGTAATGAAAAAATATTAGATACGTATTTTTTTTATTTTGTCGTATAAGTAAACAATACTTAGATAAAATCAAAGTTTAGGAGTGGGAGGTAGCTACGTCATTTTAGAGTATAAATCGTACTCAAAAATGACGTCATGCGATATTTAAAATCAATATATCTTCGAAACTATTTGTTTACATAAGAAAATAAAAAATACGTGTCTAATGTCTTTAAATAATGCACCACACGGACATATAACTAAAAATTAGTCATCTACCCTATTCATTATATGCCATCATCTGACTGCGCAGTTGCCGCGGTGGCTGGGCAACCGACTGCCGCGCAACGTGTCAATTCTGTGTGATCCACAGATTGTTTGTTCCTGGGTGTCATGTGTATGTGAAATTGTATGTTTGTAAATGCACCCACCACACAGGAAATGAAAATCATAGTGTGGCATAACGTTAAAAAAAGTCTTCTTAGTATCCCGCTGCCAAGCAAATATCTCTTCTGACACGGAGAAGGAATGAGCATTAATCACAGGGGCGTAGCTAGCGCCGTATCTGCCGTATCAATTATACGGGGCCCCCGAACTACAGGGGCCCCCAACGTGCCTAAGCAAAAATTTATAAAAACTTCCCAATTTTTATTATATTTCAGTAATCACAAAAGTCAAAATAAACGTTTTTTTTCCACGGAAATCATGCATTCAAAGGTTGGCAGAAACTTAAGAAAAATAAAAGTAATTAAGGTCCGCTAATTAGGGCAGAGGGAGTTGCCTGAAAAGATTTTTGGTTTTCACACAAATTATAAATATTTTATGTAAAAAAAATGTCTTGTGAGTAATGTTTACCCTCCTAAACAATTTTTTATACGGGGCCCCCAAGGCACGCTACGCCACTGATTAGTCACCACGGTTACTCAATGAGTTTGTTTGATATTTAAAGTCATCGACACGTTTATAAATGACGTTTGGCGCTCTGATTGGACTGCTCCAGTGAACCAACCACAAGGCTAGACGTGGTAGCCTTTCGATCTCGGATTCAAATATATTCCATAGCCATTTTAAGGTAAAAGTGCGAGAGAGAGATGCCTATACAAATTACCGCTATCCCTTTCGTTATGAAGTTGAATTTAATCCAAAGTTGTATATTGTCCCAGGACTTGGAGGAGTTGACGGGATGAAATCATCTCCTGGAGGAGTGGGAGGAGGAGGGCCGGGCACTCCTCGGGAAGATTCGGGATCAGGAATGGGAGATTACAACTTAAGTAAGTATTAATACGTTTTTTAATATTGAGATTTTGTTTGAGATTAGTTCCGGTAGGGTGGCGCTGAGATCGATTCTTAGTGTGTGCGTGTTTTGCAATTTTTTTGATTTTTTTAGTGATGAGCTTGATATCACAAAGGCTAATTTGTCTGTGTTTGCTAGTTCAGATATCTGAAATTACTGAACTTATTTAGATGTTTTTTGATGATAAACAATTGTTTAACTGAAATATAGGCTTAGTTCCTTTGAAACCCAGTAAATAAGTTATAAAAATCTAAGAAACTAGCACTGTTTCCTTCGGCTATCAAAATTCCTGAGTCTGAAACGTAAATTATAATTGACTTTGTACATACAACCCATGTCTACATAAAGACCTACCTCCTTTCACTTTAGCACTTGTTTACGTATTACATATCGTCAGTACATGTCCCCTAATATCAGCTAGACTAACAAAACCCCCACTATTACAATAGAATAAAATTGCACAGTAATAACCGTCGACAGTCATAAATAGTTTATTTTTGAAAAATAGGTTTCGGTGGCCCCGGGGGCGACCAGAATGATCAGACAGAGTCCGCGGCGATACTGAAAATTAAGGAAAGCATGCAAGAGGAGGCGAAGAGATTCGAGAAAGACCCGGAACACCCCGACTACTTTATGCAATAAAGGTTTTTATTTTTTGTCAAAATACTATTTTTGATTCGCGCCCCCAACTTGCCAGAGATTTGATTTTTTTTCGTAAATGTCTACCGAATTTTTGGTAGATGTTACCGATTTTGTGATTCGTCTACCGATTGGTTGATGTTACTAAATTTGTGATTTGTCTACCGAATTTCTGGTAGATGTTACCAGTTTTGTGATTTGTCCTCCTACCTTTTGTAGGCAGTGAATTTTTTATGCTACATGCATTACAAGTTATTTAATTCGATCAGTGAAACATTGATACTACTGAGGATCCAATGAAAAAAAAAAATACCGATGCGTTTTGTGTTCATTTTATTCGATAATTTAAATATGTTGTTTAGTTTTTTATAGTCTCATGTAATATTAAAATTATTTGAATATGGTCATCCATTAAAAAAATTGGTACAACACGTCTCTGCTCTGAATCGCGATCTCAAATTTTTTGAAAAATCTGTGGTAAGTTGGCAGCGCGTAGCACAACGTTCCAACGTTATGATCGTGAAAAAAAATGTATTTTTAATTTTTCTTTCTTTTTTGAAAATCTATCATATTTTTTTCTCGTGTCGATTTATGTTGCACAATTTTTATCTTTTATTTATTTATAATGATAATTTTAACCCGGTGTAGTAATATTTCTTCGATTTTTTCTTCATTTTTTTTCTTTTCATTTTGACAATTTCATTGAATGTTTCTGTCTATGTCTACACTTATACACATTTCAACGTATGTATGTACTTATTAATTATAATAAATATGTATTATCTGTCCTCGTTGACTTTGTTGTCTACCCGGGAATCGAACCATACAGTTCGCAGCTATAAAACTTCAGTTCCTAACTGACATTTAATGAAACTGTCAAAAAATTAAAATAAATGCACTTGTTAATGACGGCGTCATTAATTTTTCAATCGTGTGTCATTCAATGACGGTCGCGTCATTAAACTTCTTTTGACACAGTCATTAAAGACTTTAATTTATTGTCATTCAAAAATGTTTTGACGTATATTTTGTACAGAAAATTGTTAATCGTTTTTTAACATTTTTGAATGACATTTTTTTATGACATGGCCGTTATTTTTTGACGATTTAAAATTGTTTAGTGATTAGGAAAGATGGTGTCCTCTTTACACACTGCTTGGGCTGGGTATCTGGTACCGGATTTCTAATACCAAATATTCAATGCTGTAGCGCTTGTCTACTTGTAGAGTAGAAAACTAAATTATATGGGATTGACGTAAAATTTTGACAGTTGTCAGTGTCATCCCCATACATTTAGTTTTATACTCTCTCTGTAGACAAGCGCTGAAGTGGCGTTTGGCTAAAGGCACAGGTAAAATAATAAATATTGATTCAGTACAGAGATAGTAACTATTGGTTGGCTACTGAACAGACCAATGGTTGCAGAAGACGTTGAAGAATCTACTGTCTCTGTATTGAATCAATCTTTTTTTATTACCTGCATATTAAATAGCCATGTCACCTATAAGACAGCTTGGCTATCTTCGCCATTGGGTATCAGACACCGGCTACCCAAAAGCAGGTTTGTGAAAAAGTTATCGGATAAGGAAAGGTTTTAGTAAAAACAAAATTGTGGTTAAAATAATGAAGTTTGTTGTATCTTTTTTTTGGGATAAGCCGGTAAACGAGTAGATGTATCACCTGATGGTAAGCATTCAGCGTCGTCATGGACACGTTGTTTTGGGGGTTGGAAATTTGATGATTGTTGGGGTGTCAGGGATTTAGGAGATTATGGAGGAGGGGGGGGGGGGTAATTGGGCCACCGGTAACTTCACTCACACGACGAAACACAACGCAAATCTTGTTTCACGTCGATTTTCTGCTCGGCCGTGGTATCGCTCCGGTCGAACCGGCCCATTCGTGCCGAAGCATGGCGCTCGCACACTTAAAATCTCTTTCAATCTATGTAATTTGTATTTATTTTGTAAATTCATAATGTGATGTGCTTTTTTTAATTGTGTCGTTTCGTCATAACAAGTGCGTTATCAATGTTAAGTTGTATTTTAATGGTTTTTTTTATTTTATTATTAAATATAATAATGATTATAATTTCTAAATAAAATAATTATGTATGTATGTACTAGTAGTATTAATGTGTTTATTTTATATAAAAAATATAATTTTTTGACTATGAATTTTTATGGGATTATGTTTTGGTCGCCAATTGAACTGGAAGATTAGTTTGGATTAATGGAATTGATGAAATGATTTGAACTTTCATAAATAAATTTACCCTATTATATGGGACTCATAACGCAATTGGTAAAATTTCTATTTAAATTATGTGCACTTAAAAAAGGCACCTTGCTTAATTTTCCTGTGTGGATTCCGTACGGAACAATAAGGTAATTTCCTAAATTTTATTTTAATGCCCATCTGGTAGATTAGTTTAAAACATTAGACACGTATTTTTTCTTTTCTCACAAAATTCGATACTTTCGACGATATATTGATTTGAAATATCGTGTGACGTCACAGCGTGCCACATTTTGTAGCACGTTGTGACGTTTCGACCTCCCACTCCTAAACTTAACGCCATTTTATCTAAGCATTGTGACTTTATACGAGAAAATAAAGAAATACGTGTCTAATATTTTTTTTATTTTCTAACTGATGGACTAATTAGATTTTTAATATTCATACCCTGACAACTACCCTATTCTTTGTTTGAACGACATATGACTGGTCCAGAATTCCTGGTCTAGGAGAATTTATGTGTTCAGTGACGCACCCATGACACAGGAGAAAGTTCCAGTATAAATCCATGTACACACCGGCCATACATCAATCTATACAAAACCAGTTTATCCTGGTGTCGCGTCGCATCATCTTTCCGCACATTTAACGTTCAGTTTATACTGGTTATGTAAAGCTCGATGTGTAGCCGTGTGTGCTATCCACCATGAAATAACCATGTCTTCTAAAGCGATATATTGACTAAAGTAAAATTTCATGAATCTGACCTAATAAGTGTTCAGTTCATATCGACCGAAGCAGTTTTGTTTTTTAAGATAAAAACGCACCGATATTTTTATCTTCCGAAGTGCGTTTATGTGACATCTTACACTTTGTATGAGAGTGACGTAGTTGACATTTTTAATATTAAAGTCGAATTCAAAGGTAATATCATTTATTTATTTAAACTAGACCATCAAGCCACTTTGAACGTCAATAAAAAAAGTGAATATATTTGGTTAGATTCCTATAGAGAAGAACGAGCAAGAAACTCTATAGGTTACTCTTTTTCAATTCTTTTCACAATACAATTTTCTGTGACATAGTCTTGTTGGTTCAATTGAATTACTATCACTGCATATCTTTATATATTATAATTCTTCTGTGAGTGTGTATGTCACTGAACTTCTCTCAAACGACTGGATTTTGATGAGTTTTTTGTGTGTGTTCAAGGGGATCTGGGAATGATTTAGATTCACAAATCAGGCCGGCAGATGGCACTGCAGTCGTTGTTTATATACTGTATAAAACAAAGTCCTTTTCCGTTGTCTGTCCCTATGTATGACGTGGTCGTTAATGTCAATGCCTTCAAAATAAAAAATGTCAACTACGTCACTATCGAAAAAAATATATAATTTCCACATTTTTTTTAAATTAAATAAATTAATAACATTTTTAGCATTATGTTTTGTTTTAAGCTCTTAATGTTCCTAGATAATTTTTTCGTATTTATAAGAATTTTAAAGAGTTTTCTGGACATCTGTACGTATCGGCTAAGGGTTTAGGGAGTGGGTAGCTCTAAGGACTTGCCTTCAACTATTGACAATCAAAATTATCAAGAGACAATTAAAATATTAAAACTGTAAGACATACTAAATTAATTATTACGTTTTCGGCTTACTCTCGTAACTGGACGAGGAACTCGACTAGTTTCAAGCCGTGCTAGAGGCTCATATTCATGAGCAGCATTCCGCGACGTGCGACCCGCGACGTGGCGACTGTTGCGCTGCTATTTAGATTCGGAGGCTGCGTGAGTAAGTCGAAATAATTAATTCAAATATTGATTTAAAGATTTTAAATTGCACCAAAAAGAGTATAATAAAATAATAACGTTCATCTCTATTTAGTGTAATGATTGTGAATTATTATTTCATAGAATTTGGACAAAAATGAATCTAAATTGACTTGCAACTGGCCTTTCGACATTGAATTATTGATTACAGGTCAAAAGCAACCTTTTGCAATTGCATTTAAAACACAATTTCGGATAAATTAATGTTAAACTCCCTCAAACCTTTTTGTCGACGCGTTTTTTTTTTTTGTTTTCAAAGTTCCGAAGTGCGATCGGATTGCGAAAAGTTATCGAGTATCGATAAATTCGTCTCACTTCGGATGTGGCATTTATTCAGGTTTAAATTATAACGATTTTACATAAAATGACGCGGTAACCATTATCTAGTACTAACAGGGTAGGGACGCGCGATAATATCGATATCGACATAAAAATGAGACCACATTTTTAGTTTTTACAGAAAAATAAAATTCATATCGATGCTTTTGCTCATCCCTAACCGATTTTTATGCGGATTTTTTTACCGTGAGCTAGTAAGGTGTTGTAGTTTTTTTTTTATTTCTGGTATTTTTCATTCATCTAGCATAGGTATTATTTTTTTGGGGTGTGTGGAAATCTGTATAAATTAGATTTTACTAGAGATTTTTTGGAGAGGTAGTTATTAAGTTATATGGGGCATCGCCCTGTCCATAGTTCTAGGCAGGTTTGGGCCCATTTAGTGTTCGCGTTATGAATCTAACATTTACACCATTTTGAATCTCGACTCTAGCAAAATTTGGACCCAAAAACACGTTTAATCAAGACAGACGAAAATGTGTAAATAAAATCGACATTTTTCAAAAAAAAAGTTTTATCGATATTTTTTTTTAGTTTTTTTTTTGTTTTTTTCTCGACACTAAAAGGTCCCAAGCGTTGTATATTATGCAGCGTTGAATTAACTAGAATTAAGAACTTAGTGTTAACGCAGAAATAGATTTCAACAATGCAAGAAAAAAAAAGTTTTTTAAAATTTTTATTACATATTAATTAATTAATTATGATTATTATTATTTTTTGGTTAATAATATTAATTAATTCATGTAGTGTGAGGTTGTATTGTTTACAGTTAAGGCATAATTTTATTATTTCCCTAGATAAATAAATACATATTTTTTTCTTATAATATTGATGTAATGTTTGTATACATAAATAGTTATTATATATTAAAGACATTGCTTGTTTTATTTCTATATATTAGATCCCCTTCATCCATCATTCATCATCAACAGCCTACAAGTCCACTGCTGACAAACACCTCTTCTCACACGGATAACGTTTGAGCATTAATCACCACGCTCGCTCAATGCGGGTTGCCGATTACAAACTTATAATTAGAAATTATGAGCCCAGGTTTCCTCGCGATGTTTTTCTTCATATCCTTCATATGACATTCCCTCATTCCCGGGTCGGGCAAAGTATTACTAGGTTTTGTAAAAACATCTCGGTTGTAGCACGGAGTCTGGAACTTTGCCCGGTATATGGCAATAGGGTCACCTATTACATGGGACTCATAACATAAATAGTGAAAAGTGGGTGTTATATTGTACAGTGGCATAATGTGTACCTCTGCCTACCCTCGGGTATGAAAGCCATGATGTTGTTATGTTATGTTTTCAAGTATTTTCGGTTATCAAAACTAAAAAAAAGGTGGCTTTTTTTTAAGGGGGAAAAATCATCGAATGACTGCTCCCGCCTGGGTGAGGCGGGAGGGAGTGTCAGACTCTTACTGACTAAAACTAACCCCGTTCCTTCTCCTGCACGTCGAGCCGGAGCCCCGGTTACACGTTAGGTTCTCCGCGACAAAAAAAATGGTGGCTGGATCTGTGTCATACATACACGGCAATAGGATCATCCTCTATTGGTCCATCATCTACATGTCACAACATACTGTTAAATGTTAAGTAGAAGATGTTCGCGCAGGGCCGTCTTTAAACTACGCTGGGGCCCATGTGTACTTGCCAACTAGTCAAATTCAATACTTTTTTCGAACTGTCAAAAACGACAGCTTTCTATGAATTTTGTACGAGATAGTGTATTGTGACGTCACGTTTTTTAACGTCAAACAGCTATTTCTTAAAAAATGTTGGAAACATACTAAAATTAAGTCTGCCATAAAATTAATTTATGAAAGTGTGATTGATTATGTTTTAATATTTTATTGTGCTCATCAGTCGAAATTATTTATTTTTGATATAGGTAGGCACGTAGGTACTCAATTCGGAGCCCTTTGGGAATGTTTCTTTTAACGTTGCCCCACACTAGGATGTTCTCCTGTGTCGTGTATGCGTTTACAAACATACAAGTTCACATACACATCACACCCAGACACGGAACAACAATCTGTGGATCAGGTGACCGGCCAACGCGAAACAACGCAAGCATTGTTTCACGTTGGTCTTCTGCGTGGCCGTGGTATCACTCCGGTCGTGCCGGCTTATTCGTGCCGAAGCATGACTCTCCCACACTTGATAGATAGATAGATAGATAGATATTTTAAGGGACAAGCCCGCCAATACCTCCCAAAACCGCTGCAACTGCTGTAAGCCAGGAACTACAGTAGATACAACCATGAAAACACCGGAACACTGAAGTCCGGCGCGTCCCAGGGACATGAATAACTGTCTTGGTTCCCGCAACGAAGTGAATCAGAAGATATTATAAGAGGAGAAGAAAAAAACGATAGTTTCTACTTCCCTCGGTGAATTACTGCAGAAGACAGAATGAAATATAAGTATAAGGGCACCTCTGCCTATCCCTTCCCTGACTGAAAGGCGTAATATTACGTTATTCCAAATGTTACATGATTACGTAACTCCGTCATCAGTATATCTATGTGTGCGTGTCGCCAAATCGCGTGCTTGCTGCTACTATTTCGTGCTTCGGAGCTGTCGCCGAATGGGACCGCGGTATGTGGTACATTACCAAGGTTTTAATTATTCAGTAATGGCCCTGGTTCGTCCTTTGCCATGTTTCAATTTTCTGTTCCTTTTTGAGAGGGGGGGGGGGTCATGTAATGACATCTCCCGTCTTGGGTGAGGCGAGATTCAGACTCTTACTGACTAAACACCACCCCGTTCCTACATTTTCAACGAGCCGGAGGCCGGTTGTCCGTAGCCCCGGTATCCTGGCCTATTACGGCTTCTTGTATTTTCATAACGATTTAGATTATTTTATTTTAAAAGAAACTTGGAACAAAATGAAGAACAGACACCCAAGTTTTTAAATTTGGGGAGAGCTAGACTTTAATGGTTCAGTTCAACCGGAGTGATACCACGGCCTCACAGAAAACTGGCGTGAAACAACGCCTGCGTTTTGTTTCGCTTGTAATAGGAAAATCGGGAAATATAAATCGTAAGGAAACAACTCAATCAAAACTATGTCCTAGTAAAAGTACCAACTGGATTTGATTATACATACTTACATAACTTCACGCCTGTCTCCCATGGGGGTAGGCAGAGACTAGGGAACGCCAATTACTACGATTCCTACATCCCTCTTTCGCTTCATCGACAGTCATCAATCTTTTCATGCATGCACTTCTTTAATATATCGCCAATCTGATCAGTATATGTCCGTCTAGGGCGCCCTCTACCGACGGCCCCATTTATGGATATGAAATTTGAATACAGAGCGGGTGCTCTATATACTTCTTTCGTTACTCTACTTTCATCCATCCTTTCTACACGTCCCTTTCTTGTATTCATCATCTCACATATTTCTAACATCTTGCCTTCTACGCCTCCACACACTTTCAGTGTAGTCATCAATCATCAACAGTCATCAATCTTTTCATGCATGCTCGTCGGTTAATGCTTGATTATAAAAATCATAATTTCTTGGCTACAATGGGACAACGCCATCCATAATGGCAGATCATTGGCAAAGCTCGGGTTATGATAATATTTTTATGATGCACGCCTCTTCGTACCAAGTACGGCTTGTTAGGAACTACGGGGTGCTCTCAAAATGTACCTATAAACAAAAAAAACACAAACATGCTTCTTACCTTTTTATATAAAACTAGCGGACCCGACTGACGTTCTCCTGCATATCCACTTGAATGTATAAACAAAAATTCATTCAAATTAGTTCAGCCGTTTAGGGTAACTAACCTAGAAAACGACTGCAGCGCCATCTGCCGGGCTGATTTGTGATACTCAAACGCGTACAGAAAAATTCATTTAAATCGGTCAAGCCGTTTAGGAGGACTTCAATGATACTTTTTACCCCTAGGAACGTGGGCGAAGCCGCTGGCAGAAGCTAGTCCCATATAAAAATTTTGGAAATAAAAATTTGTAGAAATATTTCGTAAAAAATAAAACAGCCTGTATTGTTATATATCAAAACTGCGCTTCTTGGCGACATAGCGAATTATTTCCGCGGAATTCGGTCAAAATATTCGCGATCAGTATACGGTGCAAACGTATAGTGATTTAGAGTATAAGTTTAGTGATTTTCTATTCTAGAACAAGATGGTTTAATGAAGCGCACATCTACAATTTTAGAAAGGGGTAAGTAGGTATCTAAGTGCTGATTTAATTGGTTTATTATTGTCTAAAATATAATTGTTATCAACCGGTGTGAAGATAGACCAGATAGACTGCACGTTTGGTGCATTTGATGAGCCGACTGTTGCGCTGCTTGTGGCGGGTGCGATTCCCGTTCAAAACAAAAGGGTAGTTTTCCAAATTTTATTTTAATGTCCGTCTGGTACATTAATTTAAAACTTTAGACACGTATTTTTTCTTTTCTCACAAAATTAAATACTTTCGACGATATATTAATTTGACTGTACGGTTGGTGCGGTGGCTGGGCAACCGGCTGCCGTGCAACGTGTCGCGGGTTCGATTCCCGCACAGAACAACACTTTGTGTGATCCACAAATTGTTGTTTCGGGTCTGGGTGTCATTGTATATGTGAACTTGTATGTTTGTAAACGCATCCACGACACAGGAGAAAATTCTAGTGTGGGACAATTGTTTTTTTTAGAAAAAAAAAAATATCGTGTGACGTCACAGCGTGCCACATTTTGTAGCACGTTATGACGTAACGACCTCCCACTCCTAAACTTAGCGCTATTTTATCTAAGTATTGCAACTTAATAAAAGAAAATAAAAAAAAATACGTGTCTAATATTTTTTCATTATCTAACTGACGGACTAATTAGATTTTTAATTTTGATACCCTGGAAAACTACCCAATTGTTTGTGTAGTATGAGTGTAAATTTGACTTATGTTAAATTACTTATCGGAGTGTGGAGGACACATTTTTATGATTAAGATTAACGCTTACCTGATTACGTAAAGTTTTAAAGAGTGCCCGTATTGTTTCGAGTCACACTGGGGCTCTTAATTTTGCGCTGTTAAACTATTCGAGTGTACCACTGATGGAGCCCAATAGGGCTGTTGCCGATTCGGAGTCGCGGAGAACCTAACGGGTAACCGGGGCTCCGGCTCGACGTGCAGGAGAAGGAACGGGGTGATTTTTAGTCAGTAAGAGTCTGACACTCCCTTCCGCCTCACCCAGGCGGGAGCAGTCATTCGATGATTTTCCCCCCTTAAAATAAAAAAAAACTATTCGAGTGTTTTTGAACTATAAATATTTATCTTAATGTAGTAATGTTAATACATATTATTAATTACTAAACAAAAATAGCGCAAGATTTATTTTTCAGATGGCATAAGAGCGATATAGAAAATCTTCAAAGATGGTTCATCCAGGCAAGACCAGGAGCACCCATCACACGGTCAGATTCACAGGAGACGAGATGCCGAAGTATAAGCCTATTGTTAGCGTAAGTGGCTACTTGATTCTTTTTTTAATAACTATCATGAAACGTACTATAACATATTTTTATTCTTCTCCTCTTATAATATCTTCTGATTCACTTCGTTGCGGGAACCAAGACAGTTACTCATGTCCTTGAGACGTTGGACTTCAGTGTTCCGGTGTTTTCATGGTTGTATCTACTGTTGATCCTGGCTTACAGGAGTTGCAGCGGTTTAGGGAGGTTGTGGCGGGCTTGTCACATAAAAAAAAATACTATAACATAACATAAAATCACGCCGTTTTATCCTAAACTTTAATTCGTTTCATGTAAGTATTGTTTTCTTATTTGAAAAAATAAAAACGTAAATAAATACGTGTCTAATATTTTTTCGTTACCTAACTGATGGACTAATTAGATTTTTAATTTATATACCCTGTCATCATCCCTATTGTTCGATCGTCAGTCTGTCAGTAAAGCTAGGCGCGCGTTCCAAAGTGTAGTTTCGAATGGAGAAGAACGAGCAAGAAACTCTATCGTTACTCTTTTAAAAACTGTTTTTACAGTCTCATTGATACATTATCTGATAATCTATTTATCGAGGACGATGCTATAAAACATCTCGCTATGGTAAACAGGGGCCGAATAGTTGAGTTGACACCTAAAGACTGACTACTTTGTACGGTTGGCGCAATGCCTTGGTCAGTTGCACAAGAACAGTGGCGCAGTGCTGAACAAGCATGCTAGCCACAGATATATTAAAGAAATGGTGTGAAGTCAAAAATGTACGCAAAACCGGTGAAGCCACAACTGCCCCTCCATAGAACTAATTTTACACACACAGTTCTGATAAAACAATACTACGAATAAATGCACACACGCGGCATCGATAAGCGACAGCGCACATTCTCCTATGATTTACTCACACAAAAACAATTGATGCTTGATAAATGCCTGGGTCAGTTAACAAGAACAGTGGCGCAAGCGAAAGAGAGGTAGCGGGTAGCCTGGGGGAACAGACCTCCTCATGCCCCAGCCGTTGCAGGAGACACTCTGACCATTACCATAACTGCGGGTCTGCGGACGGCGAGCAAGGGTAGCTTGTCATCCGACCACAACCAGACCCGTGCGTACGGCGCGTCGCGTTCCGCACCTCAAAGAGCCATCAGACCACTACAGATGGGGCCCAGTAGGGCTGATGCCCGATACGGAGCCGCGGAAGGCCTAACGGGTTGCCGGGGCTCCGACTCGAAGAGCAGAAGTAGCAACGGGGTTGTTTTTACCCAAGGTGGGAGAAGTCATTGGATGATTTTCCCCCCTTAAAAAAGTGCTGTACAAGCGCACAATGTGTCGCTCGATTCCCGCAAGAAATAACTCTTTGTGTGGTTCATACATTGTTGTTCTGAGTCTGTGAGTGATAGTGATAGTAAAGGCGTCCATGACACAAGAGAAAATAATAGAGTGGCCACGTTTATGAAAAAAAAAGAAAAAGAGGAAGAAAAATAATATACTCGTCACCAGGCATGAACCGCCAAAAGCGCCCCTAATTTTCCCAATTCCTAATTGTCTCATGGTTAACAGAGAACCGCCGGCAGCGCCCTCTGATAAACCTGATCGTTTTAGCTGCGATCTCCAGTCCGCCTGGCCAGGGGGCATACTCTTGAATTGGTTCCGATCGATCGACACAGGTGTATATATATAATACTTAACATATTTTCATATACAAATATAAACTGCCTCATTGGCCGAGTGGTCGCAAGTGCGACTACCGGGCAAGGGGTCTCGGGTTCGATTCCCGGGTCGGGCAAAGTATTACTGGGTTTTTAAAAATCTCAGTAGTAGCACGGAGTCTGGAAAAATGTGCCCGGTATATGGCAATTGGCTCACCCCCTATTACATGGGACTCATAACATAAATAGTGAAAAGTGGGTGTTACATTGTACAGTGGCATTAAGTGCCGAAATGTGCACCTCTGCCTACCCCTTCGGGGATAAAAAGGCATGATGTTATGTTATGTTATAAATATAAAATAACATTGAAAAACATATTTAAAAAACAACAAACAAATAAAATAACTTTATAAAACAGCAGCAAAAAACAACGATAGCCAAAGATTATAAAAAAAGTAAAATAAAAGAGCAACAACATTTTTTTTAAAAAAAAGACTGTTCGTAGAAATCAATATATCATTTTTAATATCAAAGATATAAGAAAACAAATTATAAGTAGATACGCGCAGATAACAAATGTCCCAATTTTACAGTTCAATCTCCTTGACCTACTTCCAATAGACAATTGTTCTACATTCAAAGACGATACCACAGACTATACATAATAAAATAACATAGATATATTAAAATAATGATCCCTTTGCATGATAACACGCAACTTGGAGAATTCTAAAAAAAGCTGAAGCGCCCGTCATAATGTCGGGGTTCCGTAATAAAGATAATTTGCTTTCTAGCTACATAGTGGATAACTGTCCCATGTAATAGGGGGTGAGCCTATTGCCATATACCGGAAACAATTCCAGACTCCGTGTTACTGTCGCGGAGAACCTAACGGGTAACCGGGGCTCCGGCTCCACGTGCAGGAGGAGGAACGGGGTGGTTTTTAGTCAGTAAGAGTCTGACACTCTTGTCACTGTTTAGTCAGTAAGTGTTACATTGTACAGTGGCATTAAGTGCCGTAATTTGGGCCTTCGGGTGTAAAAAGGCGTGATGTTATTTTTTGTCTACCCCTTCAGGAGTGAAAGGCGTGATTGTCATGTTTTTAAAAATCTCACTACGGAATCCTAAAAAAAGTATTGCAGATACAATATATTTTTGTCAATTTTATTTCTTTTATAGCTGAAATGTATTGATTTTTGGCTAAGTCTTAGATGTAGTGGAATTTTGTCTATCTAGGTAGAGATGTTCAGAATTTTCAGTATTATATGTCTGTCTTCGAGTATTTGTGCCTTAACTCGTTGAGTACCGTCATTATAGACACAATTAAAGAACAATAGGTTGCGGTCACCGGTGACCGCTCGGTGTTTGACAGTTTAATTTGAACTTCAGTAAAAAAAGGTTTTAAGTTATGTTTTTAAACTGCGTATATCGTTCGATGGTGAAAAAATAGTCACCAAGCCAAAATTACTATATGAAAGTTATGTGACCATGTAGCTTGCTTGTGGTGTGTATTAGTGCACCGAGGATTTTGCTAATTTCTTAAGGAGATCGTGAGAAAATAGGATTAATTACCTATTTCAAAATGTTCATGGAAATATTGAAAATCATGTTCCCGCATTGCAGTGATTCGCTTTCAATTGTAAGTATTTTGTGGTCAGTAATAATCTGACATAAACGATTCAGGGCAGAAGCTAATTTTGACACTCCTTACCTAAATAACATCCTTACTTATCCTTACTAATATTATAAATCTGAAAGTGAGTTTGTTTGTTGCGCTTTCACGCCGTAACTACTAAACCGATTGCTTTGAATTTTTGCAGACGTAAAGTTAGAAGTCTGGATTAAATAGGTAATAGGGTACTTATTATCCCGGAAAAATTTGATATTCCCAAGGGAAAACAAAAGTATTGATATAGATGGCGCTGTGTGTATTGGTATATATCACATAGGCTACTTTTATCCTTTTGTGACGCGAGTGAAGCAGCGGGTAAAAGCTAGTATTATTATAAAGAAGGTTTTGTATATTCTGTGCTCTTACCTAACTATGCCAAGAAGTAGGAAATATACAAAATAAAAACATCTTAACTTTAACAAAACAAAATTATCTAATTATTATGGTCTTCGGCTTACTCACGTAATTATTTTACGAGAAACTCGACTCATATTCGATCAGTAGCGCTCATATTCGATGAGCCTCTAGCATGGCTTGAAACTAGTCGAGTTCCTCGTCAAATAATTACGTAAGTAAGCTGAAAAATATCATTTAGTATGTCTCACGAAAGTTATAATATAAATATACAAAAAATATCGCTAATACCGAGTTTAAAATACCATTTTACTTTGTACCCAGGACTCCACGGACTCACCCAACTATGTGAGCTCACAATCATACCCTGGGCAGGACTCTGGAGCTCCCAGTCCAGAGGCCTTCAGTTTCCAGCCAGCTGCCCAGAGATATCGGCATAATGAACAACGTAAGTTACATACTATCCAGTCAACTGATGGTAGCGAGGTTCACTGTCTAGTGACACACGTACGCTGTTATCGTCATGAGCTAATGTTCACATGTAAACAGTGACTCGTGTAGTGTAGATGTCCAGTCAACTGATGGTAGCGAGGTTCACTGTCCAGTGACACACGTACGCTGGTATCGTCATGAGCTAATGTTCTCATGTAAACAGTGACTCGTGTAGTGTAGATGTCCAGTCAACTGATGGTAGCGAGGTTCACTGTCCAGTGACACACGTACGCTGGTATCGTCATGAGCTAATGTTCACATGTAAACAGTGACTCGTGTAGTGTAGATGTCCAGTCAACTGATCGTAGCGAGGTTCACTGTTCAGTGACACACGTACGCTGGTATCGTCATGAGCTAATGTTCTCATGTAAACAGTGACTCGTGTAGTGTAGATGTCCAGTCAACTGATGGTAGCGAGGTTCACTGTCCAGTGACACACGTACGCTGGTATCGTCATGAGCTAATGTTCACATGTAAACAGTGACTCGTGTAGTGTAGATGTCCAGTCAACTGATCGTAGCGAGGTTGACTGTCCAGTGACACACGTACGCTGGTATAATCATGAGCTAATGTTCACGTATGTAAACAGTGACTCGTGTAGACTGTAGATGTCCAATCAACTGATGGCAGCGAGGTTCACTGTCCAGTGACACACGTACGCTGGTATCGTCATGAGCTAATGTTCACATGTAAACAGTGACTCGTGAAGTGTAGATGTCCAATGAACTGATGGTACCGAGGTTCACTGTCTAGTGACACACGTACGCTGGTATCGTCATGAGCTAATGTTCAGATGTAAACAGTGACTCGTGTAGTGTAGATGTCCAGTCAACTGATGGTAGCGAGGTTCACTGTCCAGTGACACACGTACGCTGGTATCGTCATGAGCTAATGTTCACATGTAAACAGTGACTCGTGTAGTGTAGATGTCCAGTCAACTGATCGTAGCGAGGTTCACTGTCCAGTGACACACGTACGCTGGTATCGTCATGAGCTAATGTTCACATGTAAACAGTGACTCGTGTAGTGTAGATGCCCAGTCAACTGATGGTACCGAGGTTCACTGTCCAGTGACACACGTACGCTGGTATCGTCATGAGCTAATGTTCACATGTAAACAGTGACTCGTGTAGTGTAGATGTCCAGTCAACTGATGGTATTTCTTTGCACAGGAATCAAACTATTGACTTCGATCAACCAGATTGTGCAACAGCGGGCTGATCTAGAAGCGAATCGGGTTACTCTTTCAAATCTTCTGGATGAATTAAGAAGAAAGTTGAAGAGAAGAATCGATGAATGCCATTTGGAGAAGAAAGAACGGATGAAAGTAAGCACCTAAGGTCTTTCTTAATGTAGGTAGATAAGTAACTCCTGAATAACGGCGGTATTTCCGAACCGATACGACCTTCAAACCTTCAAGAAAAGAGCGTACTCCTTTTTAAAGGGCCGGCAACGGACCTGTGACTCCTCTGGTGTTGCGGGTGTCCATGGTCGGCGCTGATCACTTACCATCAGGTGATCCGTCTGCTCGTTTGCCTTCTATTCCACAAAAAAAAAATAGGGTAATTTCCTAAATTTTATTTTAATGTCCGTCTGGTACATTAATTTGAAACTTTAGACACGTATTTTTTCTTTTCTCACAAAATCGTGTGACGTCACAGCGTGCCACATTTTGTAGAGTGGTTTACACTTATGAATGCATTGGCACTCTTCTGGGGATTAGGGATTTTAGGATAGGGAATTTGGGGACTGAGGAGATTGGGTAGGGGAGGAATTGTGTCTCCGGTAACCACAATTACATGGCGAAATGCAACGCAAGCGTGGTTGCATGCCCTTTTCTTTGTGGCCGTGGTATCAGTCCGGTCGAACCGACCCAATTGTGCAAACATGACTGTCCCATCTCCCATGCGAGTATCAGATATTTAACATATATTTTTACGACTGTCTTTTAGAGGGTACATGTATGAATGAATGATATAAAAGTTCGGAATATTGCAGGCTCTAAAACAGGCTAACCAAAGGCTTGAGAAGGAGAAATTTAGCATAGTATCTGAGATTGAACATCTAAAGAGACATTTGGAGAAGGAGGAGGCTCATCATCTGCAGCATGCTAGGAGTGCTGTCGCTCAGGTAAGGAGTCTTCATCATCATCATCATCATCATTAGGTAAAATGCGTTCATGATCATCTCATAGCTGTTCCTGACCGTATAATTTGTTCGTGAACATAAATTTTTAATTAAAAATGAGTGTTTCATTGGCATTAAGTGCCGTAATGTGCACCTCTGCCTACCTCTTCGGCCTCGGGGATAAAAGGCATGATGTTAAATAATATGTAATCGTAAGATGTGTAGCCTACATTAATTGGCTCTTAGGAAGAGCAGGGATGGTCACAAAAATAATCTATTGTACTGTCACTATAATGCAGCTATTATCATCGTCCATCATCACAAGTAACCGCTAGATCCAAGACAGGTGTTCATATCGCTGCGACGCCGGACTTCAGTGTTTCGGTGTTTGCATGGTTATATCCTGAATCCTAAAAAGAAGAACCTTCTTTAAATGTTCTGTGGTTGTATCTACTGTAGATCCTGGCGCACAGAAGTTGCAGTGGTTTGGGGAGGTTGAGGCGCGCTTGTTCCATTTAAGAGAAAAATGCCTACCATAATTATTATTATCATTTGATTTATTGCATTGCGGTAACCAACATGTTAGGATGCGCCGGACTTCAGTGTTTCGGTGTTTTCATGATTGTATCTACTGCAGATCCTGGCGCAGCTGCTTCCTTGTGCGTACTGCTAAGGAGTGGAATACTTTTACTACTTTTTTACGAATGACGTCTGTGTTTCCTGCAGGATATAACCTGGGTGCCTTCAAGGCCCGAGTGAATAGGTTGCTTATGGGTCGACGTGCTCCATCGTAGACCGCATCATCGCTTACCACCAGGCGAGATAGTGGTCAAACGTCGCCCCATCAAATATATAAAATATTATTTTGTATTTTTTTTCTCTCCAGGCAATTCAAGGGATGGTGACGAAATGTCCGGTGTCAGATAGCATGTTCACCCAGTGTTCAGTTGCAGATTTACCAAATGTGGTCAGTAGGAGTGTTGCTAAAAATGCACCGTCTAGAAATGTGAGTTCTAGGGTTACGGACATAAGGTTCAGATTCCGTGTCAAATTGTTAATTGCAATATGAACTAGAACTTTTTGAAGCACGCTTTGTAAAATGTATATTACTTATTGGGTTATAAATCCATGGGAACTGGACCTTACAAGGATTATGATAACGAAGGAGCAGAGGCTTTCTCTTGATGATTTATGTAGGTAGCACTTTATGCCAAGTTGTGTTATGAGTCCCATGTAATGGGGGTTGTGCGCCGAGTAATTTAGGGGCAGACTTTTAAATAATATTCGTGTTCAATAGTACAACTTGTAATCGACTTGTTCTTAAAAGTGTAACCGCCCCCTATACTATACTATAGATTTGGAAAATTCTTTCTACACTTGATCGCATTGTTCTTAAAGAAAATTATAGTCTATTTATTATCACGTTAGGTCGCTTAAGAACAAGGCACAAGTGTCAAACATAAATCTACTATATAATAAAAATAAGTCGGATTTTCCTTCCTGACTCCAGAACGCACGAACCGATTTCCACGGTTTTGCATTCGTTGGAAAGGTCTCTGGCTCCGTGAGGTTTATAAAATACTAGCGGGTCTAACAGACGTTGTCCTGCATATCCACTTCAATGTATAAACAAAAATTCATTCAAATAGTTCAGCTGTTTAGGATAAATAACCTAAACATCGACTGCAGCGTCATCTGCCGGGCTGATTTGTGAATCTAAACCATTCCCAGATCCCCTTGAAAACACACAAAAAATTTCATCAAAATCGGTCCAGTTGTTTGAGAGAAGTTCAGTGACATACATACTGACAGAAGAATTATATATATATAATAAAGATAAAACAAAAAAATCTTCATCTTTTTATCACCAAACGAAATCCTATCCTTACTAATATTATAAATCAGAAAGTGAGTTTGTTTGTTTGTTCCGCTTTCACGCCGTAACTACTAAACCGATTGCTTTGAATTTTTGCAGACGTAAAGTTAGAAGTCCGGATTAAAAAATAGGGTACTTTTTATCCCAGAAAAAATTGATATTCCCGAGGGAAAACAAAAGTGTTGGTATAGATGGCGCTGTGTATATGGGTATATGTCACATAGGCTATGTTTTATCCTTTTGTGATGCGAGCGAAGCCACGGGTAAAAGCTTGTCTTACATAAAACGAAGCCATCTGGTGGCAAAACGGAGTTCGCCGGGTTTTATAAACCACTTTTAAAAAGTCATACTTCAACCCCCTCTGTCTTTTAAAGTCGGTTAATTAATATACTAAAACCTGCTCCTAAGAGTGACAAAAACTGTAATGAAAACCGCATCAAAATTGGTGCGGCCAAGCTTGAGAAAATCACGCACATACATACATACAGGTCAAAATAAGAACCTCCTTCTTTTGAAGTCAGTTAAAAATATGAAGAATAGTTAAAGATATTTTCTTTCAGGCTGACAACAAATTGGCTGCAGCTCGTCTGATGAGGGACATCGCAGAATTGAGACAACGAGTCGCTCAAGTTGAGGCACGACTTGCTAACGAACTAAAGGTAGACAGATCTATCCATTTTTTATGTAGACAGCTGATATTGTCCAGTCTGATGGTAGCGAGGTTCACTGTCCAGTGACACACGTACGCTGGTATCGTCATGAGCTAATGTTCACATGTAAACAGTGACTCGTGTAGTGTAGATGTCCAATCAACTGATGGTAGCGAGGTTCACTGTCCAGTGACACACGTACGCTGGTATCGTCATGAGCCAATGTTCACATGTAAACAGTGACTCGTGTAGTGTAGATGTCCAGTCAACTGATGGTAGCGAGGTTCTCTGTCCAGTGACACACGTACGCTGGTATCGTCATGAGCTAATGTTCACATGTAAACAGTGACTCGTGTAGTGTAGATGTCCAGTCAACTGATGGTAGCGAGGTTCACTGTCCACTGACACACGTACGCCGGTATCGTCATGAGCTAATGTTCACATGTAAACAGTGACTCGTGTAGTGTAGATGTCCAGTCAACTGATGGTAGCGAGGTTCACTGTCCAGTGACACACGTACGCCGGTATCATCATGAGCTAATGTTCACATGTAAACAGTGACTCGTGTAGTGTAGATGTCCAGTCAACTGATGGTAGCGAGGTTCACTGTCCAGTGACACACGTACGCTAATGTCGTCATGAGCTAATGTTCACATGTAAACAGTGACTCGTGTAGTGTAGACGTCCAGTCAACTGATGGTAGCGAGGTTCACTGTCCAGTGACACACGTACGCCGGTATCGTCATGAGCTAATGTTCACATGTAAACAGTGACTCGTGTAGTGTAGATGTCCAGTCAACTGATGGTAGCGAGGTTCACTGTCCAGTGACACACGTACGCTGGTATCGTCATGAGCTAATGTTCACATGTAAACAGTGACTCGTGTAGTGTAGATGTCCAGTCAACTGATGGTAGCGAGGTTCACTGTCCAGTGACACACGTACGCCGGTATCGTCATGAGCTAATGTTCACATGTAAACAGTGACTCGTGTAGTGTAGATGTCCAGTCAACTGATGGTAGCGAGAGTCACTCTTGGTATCGTCATGAGCTAATATAGTAGACATGTAAGTACTTATGGCTGAAGAACGGTCTTCTGGTTACAGCGTAAAAGGCAAGCTGAACTGGACATCATACGTCTTCGGAAGGAGTTGTCTAGCACCAAGAGTTTCGTGGCCTCCCTGAGGATGCCACCTCCACCACTTCGGAAGCAATGCTCAAAATTCGCGTAGATTTTAACCCTCATCACCATCATACTAGTCCCAAAAATATGTACTTAACTTGTTGACAAATACATAAAAAACTGTGAATTAATAAAGATGTCCCGTAAAATATTTTTGTCTTTTGATTCTTCGATGCGGAACCCTGCGTCAGAGAGCGAGGAAACGTGTGATGAGTTCAATTCCCGCACGGAAAAACAGATTTTCTGATCCACATATTGTTGTTCCAAGTCTGTCATGTTTTATGGGTATAGTACAGCGGGTAGAACTTAACACATGTATGTATGCCTAGTAGGCGCGTAAGCGGCAGACTGGTGACGCGAGCGCCGCGGTCTCCGAGGTTGCGACAGAAAGAGCCGCTAAGATATGTCTATCTTATTCAACATATCATAGTGGCATATATGACCGCGCGGCGTCTAAAACTGGACGCAACAAAGCGTGCCTAGTATCTCAACTCGCGCGAAATACGCGTGACTTAGACTGGTGTAGTGGACGCGATTAAGACCTTGTCCACAAAGAGCGAATTCGCCGCAAAACGATTCGCGCGTTAGTGAGATACATCGCGTACACAAGCATCGCGCGAATTTAAAATACGTGCGTAGGTAAATTGCGTGCACTACGCCAGACTCTCGACTCGCGCATGACCTATCGTTCAAATTGAATAATTAATTATCTTTAAGCTGGATAAAGACGTCGAAGAAAGGCGAACGTAATGTAATTTAGAAATGATTATAGCACCAAAAGTCCAGTCAGTGGTGTATTCATGTGTGCGTGTACTTGCAACACCGTAATGTTACCTATATATAAAAATACCGGAGTGATACCACGGCCTCACAGAAAACCGACGTGAACCAACGCTTGCGTTGTGTTTCGTCGTGTGAGTGAGGTTACCGGAGGTCCAATTATCCTCCCCTTCCCCATCTCCCCAATCCCTGAATCCCCAACGATCCTCAAACTCCTAATCCCCAAAAAGCCGGTAACGCAGTTGTAACGCCTCTGGTGTACCGTGTCGTCCATGGGCGACGCTGATTGCTTACCATCAGGTGATCCGTCTGCTTGTTTACCGGCTTATGCCAAAAAATAAATATGAAGTGTAACGACGGGCCATGTCACGCGACAGATGTCCTTCGTGAAGGGCCGGATTTAGGGGGGGGGCAACCGGGGCGAAAGCCCCGGGGCCTCCACAAGCAGGGGGCCTCCACAATAGATACTTCAGAAAAAAAAAATCTTTCAAATTTCAACTAGTAAACCTAGTAAACATCTTTTCTTTGATATTTTTTTTTTCGCTTTTACCTTAAACTACAGCCTAAAGTACTTTATACATACATGATTATTTGACTATATTAATTCTAAATATTAACAGAAACAGAAATCATTGATCTATATTTGTTCACTCCAATCAGGCAATCAGTGAAATATCAAAATCTCAAATGGCTCTGATAAGCACTTCCAATTTACTACCCATCTTGAGGGAGTACCCCAATGGCTCAATGGCTCAGTGGGATGGTACTTGCCCGCAACCTCGGAGGTTGGCCTTTCGATTCCGTGTCTCGACCATTAAAAAAATTAACTCGTCGAGTACCGTATTTATAGACACAATTAAAGAACAATAGGTTGCGGTCACCGGTGACCGCTTGGTGTTTGACAGTTTAATTGCAGCATGTGAACAATTGGTATTCTTCAATTCTTAAACTCGAAGTCTGTCGAGCGTCCTCGAAATCTATCGAGCATCCTCGATCGTTTTCGAGCGTCCTCGATTGTTTTCGAGCGTCCTCGAAATCTATCGAGAGTCCTCGATCGTTTTCGAGCGTCCTCGAAATCTATCGAACGTCCTCGAAATCAATCAAGCGTCCTCGATTGTTTTCGAGGGTCCTCGAAATCTATCGAGAGTTCTCGATCGTTTTCGAGCGTCCTCGACCGTTTTCGAGCGTCCTCGATCGTTTTCGAGCGTCCTCGAAATCTATCGGGCGTCCTCGAAATCTATCGAGAGTTCTCGATCGTGTTCGAGCGTCCTCGATCGTTTTCGAGCGTCCTCGATTGTTTTCGAGCGTCCTCGAAATCCATAGGGCGTCCTCGATCGTTTTCGAGCATCTTCGATTGTTTTCGAGCGTCCTCGAAATCTATCGGGCGTCCTCGAAATCTATCGAGCGTCCTCGAAATCAATCGAGCGTCCTCGATTGTTTTCGAGCGTCCTCGAAATCTATCGAGAGTCCTCGATCGTTTTCGAGCGTCCTCGAAATCTATCGGGCGTCCTCGAAATCTATCGAGAGTCCTCGATCGTTTTCGAGCGTCCTCGAAATCAAACGAGCGTGCTCGATTGTTTTCGAGCGTCCTCGAAATCTATCGAGAGTTCTCGATCGTTTTCGAGCGTCCTCGATCGTTTTCGAGCATCCTCGATTGTTTTCGAGCGTCCTCGAAATCAATCGAGCGTCCTCGATCGTTTTCGAGCGTCCTCCATTGCTTTCGAGCGTTCTCGAAATCTATCGAGAGTCCTCGATTGTTTTCGAGCGTCCTCGAAATCTATCGAGAGTCCTCGATCGTTTTCGAGCGTCCTCGAAATCTATCGGGCGTCCTCGAAATCTATCGAGCGTCCTCGATCGTTTTCGAGCGTCCTCGAAATCAAGCGAGCGTCCTCGATCTCAATCTGGAAAATAATTTGGAGCAAGGGGGCCTCCACTCCTTTTTTTGCCCCGAGGCCTCTGGACCCCTAAATCCGGCCCTGCCTTCGTGTCAATGTGTGTGTGTTCTGCGTGTAAGTCTATAGTAGCCAGGTGCCACAGACATTGTTTTAAGAGACTATGTCCACTGTTTTTTAACCTCTTTGATTGGATAATCCAACACGCGAAGGAAGACTTTGAAACATCACGCTACGGTCAATAGAAGCCGACCAGTAATAAAACCGCACTGAAAAGGCTGGCTACATAATAAAACAAAAATAGAACATATGTATAAAAGTATAATTTGACAATATTATATTTAGCTGGACGTGGACGTAGACTTGATGTGATGACTAGTACCGTGGGCTACAAGAGCCTGCTTGTTCTTGAAGATCAGGAGACACTCGTAGCACTGGTGCGGACTGCTGTGGGTCGCGAGGTGACACTCCAACTTCTCCCTCGTTATCATATTTTGCCCACAAACTGATGACAAAAAATAAATTCACGAAGTCATATCAACTACAATATGTTCAGTGTTGAAATGTTCTTGAACATAATTGTTTACGAAAAATGTAATAAACCTTTTATTCTATATTTTTTTTTATAAGTGTGGGAGAGCCATGCTCCGGCACGAATGGGCCGGCTCGACCGGAGTGATACCACGGCCAAGCAGAAAACCGACGTGAAACAACGCTTGCGTTGTGTCTCGTTGTGTGAGTGAGTTTACCGGATTTCCATAAATTACATAAAATAAATAATAGTCTATCAGATAGGTCCGTCAGTGAAGCAAGAAAAACCGAATCAGCAACGCGAGCGTCAATAGTAGGTACCGTTGAATCTCAAGGTCTCATCATCGGTTTTTTGAGTCCAAAAGCCGCAACTTTATTTATAAATATACCTCTAAACTCACTTCAATATTCTAGAACTTACCAGAGCACAATGTATCAAGACTATCCCCGTGCGCGTTCCTCACGTGTAACACCAGATTTCTAGCCATTGCATACTTCTTCGGACAACGGGTACATTGGAACTTCTGAGCTCTCTGCTTTGTCGTACTGTTCACTGATAACAGTGTAGACTTTTTGGCCTGTTGGAGTCTGAAAACATAAATTAAAATGATTGTTGAGGAACCTAGCTGCTATATGCAACCTAATACGGTAGTTGACAGGTAGTCAAATTCAATACTATTATTGAAATGTCAAAAACGATACTTTTTTATTTATTTTGTAGGTACTAGCTTCTGCCCGCGACTTCGTACGCGCAATCCCGTTTTCTCCCGTTCCCGTAGGATCTACAGGATTTTTTTCTATCATAAAAACCTTCTCCTGACAATATTAAACACAACAAAAAAAAATTAGCCAAATCGGTCTAGCCGTTCTCAAGTTATGGCGTGACAACGAGAAACGGGTTTCATTTTTATAAATTGGATCGCAACTTATGACGTCATCATATTTCTGCGTCAAATAGCATATTTATTTCCTTAAAATTAGCGAGATAAAATTTGTACGATTATTTTTAAATTATTTATTGCATTGAAAAGTTGAAACAATTTATTTTAAACCTATGAAACTACCGAATTGTTCAACCATCTCGCCTGATGGTAAGCGACGATGCGGCCTAGGATGGAACACGAATGTCTCTAAGCAATGTATTGTATTGACTTGTTTTATGGCATAAGCCGGTAAACGAGCAGACGGATCACCTGATGGTAAGCAATCGGCGTCGCCCATGGACACCTGAAACACCAAAGGCGTTACAAGTGCGTTACCGGCCTTTTGGTGATTAGGAGTTTAAGGATCCTTGGGCTGTCAGGAATTGCGGAGATTGGGGAAGGGGAGGGTAATTGGGCCTCCGGTAACCTCACTCACACGACGGAACACAACGCAAGCGTTGCTTCACGTCGGTTTTCTGTGAGGCCGTGGTATCACTCCGGTCGAGCCGGCCCATTCGTGACGAAGCATGGCTCTCACACACTTAAACTATTGTATGTTCTGTTGGAATTAGCCAAGCAACGTAGCAAGAGCTAAGGCGTCATGCACACATACATGTACAGTCGGTGGCGCTGTGTGTTGGGTTGTTCCGTTCCCAATAAACAGTAATCTTTTTCGGACCAATTACTGACACACGTCATACTCGTGAACGGGTGCCTTCTGCTGGGTCAAGTCAGCTCTCCGTACAGATGTAAACAGATGTAAATGTAAACGTCCAAACAGATGTAAATGATGTGGTTAATTGTAGTAGTGTGGGAGAGCCATGCTTCGGCACGAATGGGCCGGCTCGACCGGAGTGATACTACGGCCTCACAGAAAACAGACGTGAAACAACGCTTGCGTTATGTTTCGTCGTGTGAGTGAGGTTACCGAAGGCCCAATTACCCCCTTCCCCAGTCTCCCCAATCCCCGAATCCCCCACAATCCTCAAACTCCTAATCCCCAAAAGGCCGGTAACGCACTTGTAACGCCTCTGGTGTCCCAGGTGTCCATGGGTGACTTCGATTGCTTACCATCAGGTGATCCGTCTGCTCGCTTACCAGCTTATGCCATAAAAAATGAATGATTTTCCCCCCTTAAAAAAAGCCTAGTTTCTATCAATTGTAGAATAAAATGGTACTTACCTGGCTTTGCCCCTAAGTTGTGCTTTTGCGTGTAAATCTAGATGTTCCTTTAACATATTTGAAGGCATCATTATATTACACTTCCTACAAAGAGCACCTCCTTTTATTTCGTCATTCTTCTTGCAACGGGAACAGACGAAGGTTTTCCTTTCGTCGCTTGAAATTAGCATTGGGTACCTACAGAAAAATTAATGAATTTATCAAATTCTTCGATAAGGTATTTGTCATGTGGTCGCGGGGTCGTTTCCTAAATTTTAATGTCCGTCTGGTAGATTAATTTAAAACTTTAGACAAGTATTTATTCTTTTCTCACAAAATTCAATACTTTTGACGATAAATTAATTTGAAATATCGTGTGACGTCACAGCTTGTCACATTTTGTAGCACTTTAACGTAACAACCTCCCACTCCTAAACTTAGCGCCAATTAAACTTAACCGAGAAAATAACAATATTTTTTCATTATCTAACTGTCGGACTAATTAGATTTTTAATTTTGATACCCTGGCAACTACCCAATCCTCTTGTCAAATTTGGGCATGCTATCGTATCTAATCTTAACGTTACACGTATTTAACTCCCAAAGGGGTAGGCAGAGGGGATTATTATTAATAGTTATGATGTAATCGGGAGTCAGCCTAGTGTTGCCACACACATCTATACTGGCTATACTCCTAACCTATTCTGTACATAGCGAGAATGCGATCGAGCTCGCTTCGAGAAATCGAATTTACTTCTTACAGAATAGCCTTCTTACATAATAAAGCCTGAAACTGTCTAGCTGATGGCCAGTTTCAGGCCCCATGTACTACTGAGGCATCGAGAAATGAAAAAAAAAACAACAAAAGATACCAGGACGGGAATCAAACCCGTGTTGCCCCAGTCCTCTTGTTCGGCAATCATACTTAGAACAAGTAGCGACATCTACAGAGTTCTTTTAAAAAGTTTGGCAGAATACAACACGTACCTTTGCTTACAAACGTCACATGGGATATTTATCCTTTTAGCTTTGACGCCGTTCGCAAATAACCTCTTTCTAGCCTCTCGTCTTTTAGCCACTTCACATTTTGGTTTTAACTTCTGCTCTTTTTCTTGTTTTATGGACGTGGCGTCGTTTTTAGTGCTCATAGATATCAATGTAGCACTTGACGATACTGTAACAATACCAATATTATTGTAGTGTTACGCTGAAATTACCTACGCTGAAACACTTAAACGTTACTAAATTTTAAGTCGCACCTAAGTATAGTTCTGTCACTACAAATTGATTTGTAAAATGACAGAGACGGCATTATAAATAAGTACAACTTAAAATTACGTAACCTTTAAATATTCTGGCGTTAGTCTCCTATTATTAGTGAGTGAGTTTCTAATGGTCATGACTTTTGGATAGACCGATTGGACGCGGCCTGTCTCTTTTTAATCTAGCAACTCTGACTATTACCAGTTATGATAGTCTATACCTTTCACTTCAAAAGATCGAAATGAACTCGATCGCGGTCCACCATGGCATTGGTTGTGAGATATAATCTCGACCAAAGACGGGAAAGAATGCGATTGAGCTCATTTCGAAAGTTCAAATTACTGGTTACAGAATGGCTTAGCTATTTACTGACTATCTCGGCTTATTTGTAACGAAAAGTTGTCATTTTTTAATACATAAAAGAAAATAAACTTGCCATCGCTCGGACGATGGTCGAAAGCCGCATGCACGAGAACACGAAACCGTTCCGTGTTCCTCAAAGCACGAACACACCACTCACAGATCATGCAATCTGCTGGAGTCACCTAAAAAAATAAAAAATAAATCTTCAAGTTCAATTTTCAATCACAGAATGCTGCGCTGTTGGACTGTTTAGTCTATTAGCCTCTCCGTAATAACAGTGTTTGTCATATTTTCCACGTTTGGGCTAATCTGACAGCACAGAATACTGCTGTATTATCCCTAAAGCTAACTAGGCAAGTGCCTAAGGCACCCGGTTACAAAGGGGTTCTACTTATCACGTATACTCAACTGCCCATATAGTGGCGGCGACGCCAAACTTTTTTGGAACTGTCATAAACGACAGTTTTCTATGAATTTTGTACGAGATTATGTATTGTGACGTCACGTTTTGTTAGCGTCAAACAGCGTACTTATTTCTTAAAAATTTGCTGGAAAAATGCTAAAATTAAGTTGGTCATAAAATCAATTTAATAAAAATGTGATAATGTTTTAATATTTTATTGTATTGAACAGTCGAAATAATTTATTTTTGATTACGGAAAGTACCCAATTAGGTACAACTTTGAGGTGCTAGCCTAGGAAGATTATTAGGGTTAATCCGCTTCTGAGCTAATAACAAATGCTTTCTACTCCACCGTCATCAAACGGCTCATAAACTTAGACAAATTCTTTAACTCAATTAAAACAGTTATCAGGAACTTTCTTCCTTTTCTCACCTTCACACCAAAGCAGTCAAACAAGAGCTGGTCGTATCTCTCTTCAACCCCTTCCCAGACGTATGTGTCTCCGAAGTAGCGGAGGTTGGTATCACCTCCGCACAGTCGACAACACCGCCCAGGGACACCATCTCCATCACCTGATGCGTTCGCGTGGACTGGTAGGTGATCCTGGAGAAAAATTGTGACTTTCATTTCTTTGTTGGTAGACTATCAAATTCAACTGCTGGGCGGAAGGTCTTGGTTCTTAGTTTTGATTTTTTTATGGAATAGGAGGCAAACAAGCGGACTGATCACCTGATGTCCACCTGCCCATGGACACCCGCAATACCAGAGGAATCACAGGTGCGTAGCCGGCCTTTTAAAAATAAATACGCTGTTTTCTTGAAGGTTTGAAGGTCATTGCGGTTCGGAAATACCGCCGACAACAGATCATTCCACATTTTTGCTATGCGAGGCAGAAAGCTACGTGAGAAGTGCACAGTAGCCTGCCAACCATCCCCATCATATTGATTCTATATGATGGGGATGTATATGATTTACTAATACGCGGGTAGGTTGGAGAGCAGTTTAAAGTTTTAGAAGAAAGAAAAGTAATCTGAGAGTGTTGTCTCATTAAAATTTAAATAAACTAAGACCCATAGGAAGAGGTAATGCGAAATATATTCTACTCTGCTGTTATGTACCATGCCGCAGGTCAGGGTTTTAAATCTACAGTTGAAGTTAGTACTTCATTATAATAGTTTATATTACAATACACATAGATATGGGCATAATAGATACTCACATCAAAAAATAATTCCAGTAACTTTTGAGATGTGTACAAAATATTCATTTTTTGATTTGCCAATTTAAGTTGCGTATCAGACATAAACAAGAATTTTAAAGGACCGAAAGAAACTCATAATTTTGTCACTTAACTTTAATTTTTCTGTACAGTGTACTCAAATATTACCTATTTCTATGGAAAAATGGGATAATGATGAAATCACAATCACAGTTTCATAATTTATTTCGAAAATGGCGCCATCTTTTTTTATTGATGTCATTACCGTCATTACTTGACAATTTTTGGTGGCACGTTGAAAGTTTTGGATTGTATGATTCAAGAACTTTTTGGTGTGAATATGAATTAATAATTTACATGACTTTTTATTTTATAATTAATTAAATAAAAAACTTAAATTGTGTATCAGATAAAAAAATAAAGCATTATTAGAGATAACGAATTTGAATACTCTAAAGAATTTGAAATTTTGAATATTTCGGAACGCATCGTAGTGAATAAAACGTCAGACGTCATTTCATTTTTATTACCTGTGCGTGGTGTCAAGTTGGTTGTGTTGCGTTGTTTACTCGCAATTTACGTAAACATTTTGTGCTTAAAAATTGTGTAATATCTACAAACCACATAAAATCTGTCTCATATCATCTCAAAAACCTTTAAAAACTAATATAATGTTGCTATAACGTCCAATTTGTAAAGTTACAAGAGACAAAACTTTTCATTGTGTAACATCGAAAATTTATCAAAAAAATGGGTGGAAAAGCTGAAAAAGGTACTCCAAAGTACATTGCGAACAAGATAAAGGCTAAGGGCTTGCAGAAATTGCGATGGTACTGCCAGATGTGTCAGAAACAGTGCCGAGACGAGAACGGATTCAAGTGCCATACCATGTCGGAGTCTCATCAAAGGCAGCTGCTGTTATTTGCTGATAACGCCAACAAGTACATAGACGAGTTCTCCAAGGAGTTCGCTGATGGATATTTAGAACTCCTTCATCGTCAGTTCGGTACAAAGAGAGTTAATGCCAATAAAGTTTATCAAGAGTATATTTCACATAGGTAAGTTGTATTTATAGATGTAGAAACATGTATTATTGGTATTTAAAGGCGAATGAATGAAATAATAAAAATGTTCATCTTAGAAGCCACTTTAAGCTGTGTAAAAGTTTATCGAAAATTAACCCTCACAGACTTCCTAATTAATCGCATGGTCAGAGCATGGAACATGCTACCAGAAGATGTAATCGCTACACAGTATGTTAACCAGTTCAAACCAAATCAGACATTTTTTAAATCCCACACTGGGATTTTCTCCCTTGTAGACACACTACCATGTTTACAAACATACAAGTTCACATACACATGATACCCAGACCCAAAATAACACAGAGTTGTTCCGTGCGGGAACCGGCAGCTGGTTGCCCAGCCACCGCACCAACCGTGCCCATTTGACAGATACATGACATCAAATTAACCACTGATAGAAAAATATGACACGGGCATGTATCAGTTGTCTGAACTGCCTGTCTGAATTAAATAAATAATAGTGTTGGCAAGATTATTCAGCTGCTGTAATTCCTAATTTGATTACATGTCAATAATGATACCAGGGGCTTACTCTTGAATCCAATTCCGATCGATCGACATTGGTATTGTGAAATTTGTAATCTCAAGTTGCAACAATAGCGCCCAATGCACCCATATTGCGTGGATATTGAATGAATTAAATGGTATAGAGTTTGGCTTTATATTCCATACTCTGTATGCTATTTCAACAGCTACGGTAGGGGTTGTATAGTTTTGACATTGAATAAATATTGAGATTTTAGTGGATTGAAATTGCATTGACATTGAAATTGGTTTCTAGAGTAAGCACCCAGTATTTGATTTTATTCCAATTATTGTTGTATACTTATCTTGACTAATAGACAGACTGACAAACAAATGTATTAAAACATTTCATGGATTTATTAAAATAAATGCTTTTACAAAGTGAATGTCAATGCATTTATTTCAATTATCAGGTACTTCAGGCACTTTTGTTACGTGAACAAAATCCTTACTTATATTATAAATCAGAAAGTGAGTTTGTTTGTTTGTTCCGCCATCACGCCGTAACTTCTAGACCGATTGCTTTGAAATTTTGCAGACGTAAACTTAGACTTTTTATCCCGGAAAAATTGATATTTCCTAGGAAAAACAAAAATATTGGTATAGATGGCGCTGTATGTACTGGTATAGATGGCGTTGTATGTCATTTAAAATCAGTCAACGAATTACCTACTATGTAATTGGAAAAATCTAAATAGCGCGATATAACCGAATTCCACGCGAGCGGAAAGCTATTAGTTTGTTTGCCTGTCTTAAACGGCAGAACGGAGGTACTAATTTAAGGAAGGAAGGTAGTTGAACGGATGGATAGTCACATAGGCTTCTTTTTATCCGAGCGAAGCCGCGGGTAAAAGCTAGTACAAAATAAATAATAGTAATTCCCCGGGCCCGGTCGGTGAGTTGGCGAGTCTCCGCCTGCCATTTTGATGTGTAATAATTACTACATTGTTTCGGTAGGTGCCATAGTCATCTATAGTTCCCAATTTACCAGTCCACAGCAACCCATCCATAGCCCTACTTTTTTTTCCATTACCTATTTACAATACTGCCTGCACTGATTGACCATTGACTGCACGGTTGGTGCGGTGGCTGGGCAACCGGCTGCCGTGCAACGTGTCGCGGGTTCGATTCCCGCACGGGACAACACTTTGTGTGATCCACAAATTGTTGTTTCAGGTCTGGCTGTCATTGTGTATGTGAACTTGTATGTTTGTAAACGCACCCACGACACAGGAGAAAATCCTAAGTGTGGGGCAACGTTTATTAAAAAAAAAAAAAAAATAGTCTACACTAATTGGGGTGCATTTCCATAGTGCATACAGGGATAGTCGCCGGTTTATGTGTCCATTACATTTATATTAAAGTTGTCTAAAGGGCCTATGCGCTGTTGGCTTCGGCTCCTCGTACGCCTCCCAAATGACCAAGACCCTGTGGTCCCGTGAATGGTAAAGACATACATAATAATTATTACTCCAATCGTTACTCTTTTTAAATGTATGTTCCACAATGTCTCTGATACATATTCCAATACTGTATGTATATGTGAGAACAATGCAAAGACACGCTTGACGCATTATACTAATTAGAAAACTTATTAAAATACAAAAATAAAAAACAAAACAAAAAAATCTTATAGTCTAACATGGTGCTCACATATGCATACTGACAATCCATAAAAGTAGTGCTTCTATACAAGGAAAAAGAAACTCTTTGTTGCAATAAAGAAAGAAATACTTGATGCCATAAGGAAACTAAATTATCTTACTATAACCTAATGTTGTGAACTTCCAATAGGGTAGATGCCAGGAAATGAAAATTAAAAATCTAATTATTAGTCCGTCAGTTAGATAATGAAAAAATATTAAACACGTATTTTTTTATTTTCTCATAAAAAGCTACAATACTTAAATAAAATGGAGTTAAGTTTTGGAGTAGTTAGGGAGGTCGTTACGTCACAAAGTGCTACAAAATTTAGGACATAGTGACGTCACACGATATTTCAGATTAATATATCGTCGAAAGTATTTAATTTTGTGAGAAAAGAAAAAATACGTGTCTAATCTTTTGAATTAATTTACCAGACGGACATTAAAATAACATTTAGGCAAATACCCTATTAAAATGCTTTATTTATTTCAGAGACCATCTCCACATGAACGCTACGCAATGGGAGACGTTAACGGAGTTCGTGAAATGGTTGGGTCGTGAAGGCAAGTGTGTAGTCGATGAAACAGAGAAGGGGTGGTTTGTGGCATACATCGATAGGGATCCGGCTGCGATAGCCGCATTGGAGGCCAAGGCGAAAAAGGAGAAGATGGATAAAGATGATCAGGTATTTAATAAAAATTTACACATACATAACATCATGCCTTTTATCCCCGAAGAGGTAGGCCGAGGCTACAGTACAATATAACACTCACTTTTTACTATTTATGTTATGAGCCCCATGTAATAGGGGGTGAGCCTATTACCATGGTCAAGCAATAACTGCCTCATCTTAAATCCATCCAAAACAAAATTCATGCTTTTCGGAACAAAGACGCAACTTTACAAGACTCCTAGTAATATTAACGTTCTCTTGAGGGGTCAAATCATTGAGCGTGTCGATGAAGCGCGAAATTTGGGTCTGATAATGGATCAAGGTCTTAGGTTTGAATCTCACATCTCAAACTGCGTCAGAAACTGTTTTTACCGCCTGAAGATACTATACAGAATGCGTCCGTATCTAAGTGAGGAGTTGCGTGTGCGGCTGGTTGAGTCGTTGGTTTTATCCAAGCTAAACTACGCTGACGCGGTTATTGGACCTAGACTGTTTTCACGCACTGAGCGATTGATACAGAGGGTTCAGAATGCCTGCGCGCGTTTTTGTTTTAAAATTCCACCTAGGAGTCACATAACACCTTACTTAAACAAGTATAATCTTTTAAAAATGAAGTCCCGACGTAAGCTCCACCTGGCATGTCTCCTCTTTGGTGTGATTAAGTATAAGTGTCCAGTATACCTCTACTCGAAGCTCTCGTGGGTGAATGCTCATCGGCAGCGGAGGGTAGGCGGTGTGCACAACAGCTGGCTATACCGCAACACAAATCGGCTGCTTTTCGGGGTAGTTTCCGATATGCAGCTTCTAAGTGCTGGAACAATATACCTCCGCCAATCAGGAACCTGCAAAGCCCATTCACTTTTAAACGAAAACTCAAGGAGTTTATTATTAATTCTCAAATTGAGAATGAATCTATAAATATTGACATTTCGTTTATTTAATCTAACACTTATCTTTCTTATATATATTTTATTTTTTTTTTCTTTTTTGTTTAACTGGGTACACAAATTATGTTTTCACATTTTCATATTGATTTATTTATATAATTATTTATTAACTTCAGTATTATTGTAATGTAGCATATCTCGAAAACTCACCCTTGGGCCCCTTGTTGCCGCAGTGCTGGCGAAATACCGACCTGTCTCTCGCTTCAACTTCGCGCAATGAGTGTCGGGGTGCGCGATGGCTTCACGACATACCCACACTAATTTTATTGTCGTGATACAGTTTATAAATTTATTTTATTTTTATTATTTTTTTCCTTCGGTGACGGTACACGTTACACTTGTTTATGTATGCATACTCATTTTTATTCATTTATTTATCGCACAATGTACATACTTAGAGGTCTGTTTTTATTCTTCCTTTTATTTTATTATTATCATTATATTTTTTAACATGTGTCTTATGTAACTATTTTATTTTCCTTAAAATTATTCTTCGTTGCTTCCGTCCGTGCGTCACTGCAGGGGTGCCAACTGAAAACCAGTGTTGGGTACTTACTGTGCCCAGCTTAAACTGTCAAATACCAAGCGGTCACCGGTGACCGCGACCTATTGTTCTTTAATTGTGTCTATAAAACCGGTACTCGACGAGTTAAACTGAGTTGGTGAGCCCTTTTGTCGCGGACATGCTGCCACCCTGCCTTAATTGTTGTTTTATTTTTTACTGCTGTTTTTTTTATGTTATTATTGTTTTGTTCTTATTGTTTTTTATTTTATTTTATTTTTTTTTTTTTGTTTTTCAATGTTATTTTGTTATTATTTTGTGTATTATTCGGTGGTCCATGTCGGTGGCGAATAAATTATTTTTCTTTCTTTCTTTCTCTTTCATATATCGGGCACAATTCTATTCGTGCTACTAGTGAGTAATTTTAAAAAACCCAGTAATACTTTGCCCGGCCCGGGAATCGAACCCGAGACCCCTAGCCCGGCAGTCGCACTTGCGACCACTCAATTGAAATGCTATTGCATTTCAGTATGAATTCGGGTGTTAATGCCACTGTACAATGTAACACCGACTTATCACTATTTATGACTATGAGTAATAGGGGGTGAACCTATTGTTACCTACCGGGCACAATTCCAGACTCCGTGCTACTACTGTGAATTTTTTGAAAAACCCAGTAATACTTTGCCCGACCCGGGATTTCAGTATGAATTCGGGTGTTAATGCCACTGTACAATGTAACACCCACTTTTCACTATTTATGTTATTACTAGCTTCTGCCCGCGACTTCGTACGCTTAATCCCATTTTTTCCCGTCCCCGATCGTGATTTTCGGTAAAAAGTAAAAAAAAAGTATTGGTTAAAAAGTATCCTATGTCGGTCTCCTGGCTCTAAGCTACCTCCCTACCAATTTTCAGCCAAATGTATTCTGCCGTTCTTGAGTTATAAGTGGTGTAACTAACACGACTTTCTTTTACATATATAGATGTATGTCCCAAAAATATGTACTTTTTATTACATTTTCTCGAACCATTGCACATGTTTAACCTGGGGGCTTACTCTTGAATCCAATTCCGATCGATCGACATTGGTATTGTGAAATTTCGTACTCTTGAGTTGCAACAGTAACGCCCATTGCATCCGTATTGCGTGGATATTTAGTGAACTAAACGTTATTGAGTTAGGCTGTATATTTGATACTCTGAATGCTATTTTAATAGCTACGATAAGGGTTGTATGGTCTTGACATAGAATAAGTATTGAGATTTTATTGGATTGAAATTGCATTGACATTGAGATTGGTTTCAAAAGTAAGCACCCTGAACTTTGTTGCAGGAAAGGATGTTAGAGTTCATACAGAAGCAGGTGGAACGTGGGAAGAAGCAGGGGGCTTCAGACGGACCATCGTACTCGGAGTTCAAGAGAGAGAGCAGCCAGGAGAAGGTGGTGCTCAGTTTGAAGCGGAAGGCTGAAGGTGAGGTTCCAAAGTTAATATGTTGATATTATATCAAACTCAGAATTTCTTCATTCAAAAGTAGTCTTTAAACGTCGGGAATAAGGTCTATAATGGAGTTAGTGGAGAGTGGTTAGCGGTGAATGAATGAATGAACGAATGAATGATATGAATGAATGAATGATATGAATGAATGAATGAATGTCATTTATTTCTCAGTACATGGTGCACACAGATCTTAAAATTAACAGAGTTCCACACATACTACCGTTACCGGTGTAGAAATATAAAATTGTATTAACAGTATTAATTTATGTCTAATTAAAGAACAATTATATTGAAATTAGTATTATTATTATATTGGAAACAATTCAAATAAATTAAAACAGTTTACCTGTCAGAAAATATATTAGAAATGTCATAAAATTAAGATGTGTGTGACTGCTTGGGGATTGAACAGTTAAAGTTAATTTGGATATAGTATAACATAACATCACGCCTTTTATTCTTGAAGGGGTAGGCAGAGGTGCACATTATGCCACTGTAAAACGTAACATCCACTTTTCACTTTTTATGTTATGAGTCCCATGTACAACGCAACACCCACTTTTCACTATTTATGTCATGAGTCCCATGTAATAGGGGGTGAGCCTATTGCCATATACCGGACACAAGTCCAGACTCCGTTAAGATTTTAACCGCTATCCTAACTTTTAACTTTACAGAAAAGAAAACAGAGCCGCTGCCAGTTTCAGCACTCAAACTAAAAGATAGTTCTAAAAAAGAAGAAAGTTCTAAAAAGCAGAGAATAGAAGAGAACAGAAACAAACAGTCTGCTCTCGATGAGATCATGAAGATGCAGGAACAAGCTAAAGAGAGGGCTAATAGGTGAGAAATTAAGAGCTGATTTTTGAATCATCAGTTAGGTCAGAAATGAGGAGTAACTTTGAATATCTAATTAGTCCGTCAGTTAGATAATGAGAAAATATTAGACACGTATTTTTTTTATTTTTAAAGTTAAAGTTGCAATACTTAGATAAAATGGCGCTAAGTTTAGGAGTGAGAGGTCGGTACGTCATAACGTGGTACAAAATGTGGCACGCTGTGACGTCACACGATATTTCAAATTAATTTATAGTCGAAAGTATTTAATTTTGTGTGAAAAGAAAAATACGTGTTTAAAGTTTTAAATCATTATACTAGACGGACATTAAAATAAAATTTAGGAAACTACCCTATTACCCCATACTAAAAACTGTCAAATGTCGATTTTATTCTACAGTTGAGAATTAACTGATGATTAAACAACCTAGGAATATAAGAAAGAACAGACATACAACTGAATATTAATATTTTTATATGTTTTTTGTAGAAAAGACTACTGGCTCTGCGAAGGGATTGTAGTGAAGATCACTACAAAATCACTTGGCGATAAGTTTTACAAGAAGAAGGCGATCGTTGAGAGAGTAGTCGACAAATACTGCGCGCATGTTAAACTTACTGATGAAAATACTAGAATTAAACTGGATCAGGTAAGGATTAGCTTACGGTCGTTCCCAATATTCTATCTATCCCTTGTTTTGCCCTACTGGAGATAGAAATATCTATCTATCTTTAAATTTTCTGTCTCAATAAACTTACTGGCGATAGGCAAACTAATCTATGGTTGTCATTACCTGTGGGAGAACGGATAGGTTATCTACAGATTGCTTTTACTATGAAATTGACAGTTCACGCGTCCCAATAATAACAAAGGTGCTATCTGTCAGTAGCTTTGGTTATCCCTAGTAGGTTATAGCTCTATCGCAGGATTTTGATGGATAGGAGTATAGTTATTAGTGAAGACCAGTAACATATCTTTTCTATTTCTTAAAAATACATATAAGTAGGAGTACCTATAGTTATCAGTGAAGATCAGTAACATATCTTTTCTATTTCTTAAAAATACATCAGATTTAAACAAAAAATCATGTCGGTCTCCAGTTCAAGTAGTAGTTCAAGTGCTATTGATATTTTGGAACAAATAAGGAACTGGGAATCTGACGAGGACGATGTGCTCACCACACCACAACACGATCATATCAAGGGCGTGTTAATTACATGTACAGATATGACGATTACGAGTTTGTGTTTTATTTTATTTAATTTTTTTTGTTACAAAAGTCGTTGCCCCACACTAGGAATCTCTCCCGGGTGTCATTACTGCGAGGACCGCCCTTTTCCAAACATATGATTTTTTATGGGATAAGCCAGTAAACGAGCAGACGGGTCACCTGATGGTAAGCAATCGGCGTCGCCCATAGACATTTGGAACACCAGATGCATTACAACTTATATTCAGGATTCAGGAATTGGAGAAAAGGGGGAGGGGGGGCGTTGGGTCTCCGGTAACCTCACTCACACGATGAAACATAATGCAAGCGTTGGTGTGTAGGTATACATATATCCGGCCCGAGAATCGAACTTGAAATTCCTACCTCGAAAGGTCACTCCACGAACGAGGCAGTCTACCTAATTGAAAACAAACAAACAGACACACACTTTTAATTTCTTTCTTTGTTAAATTTATTTTTAAATCAAAAATCAAATCAAATCATTTATTCATTTGCGAACATGGGTACAAAAAAAAGATCTTATACAAACTGCCGGGATCTTATACGACTGCCTCGTTGGCCGAGTGGTCGTAAGTGCGACTGCCGGGCAAGGGGTCTCGGGTTCGATTCCCGGGTCGGACAAAGTATTACTGGGTTTTTAAATATTCTCTTTAGTAGCACGGAGTCTGGAATTGTGCCCGGTATATGGCAATAGGCTCACCCCCTATTACATGGGACTCATAACATAAATAGTGAAAAGTGTCTGTTACATTGTACAGTGGTATAATGTACACCTCTGCCTAATAAAAAGGCGTGATGTTATGTTATCTTATACAAAATAGTGTCCATTAACCATATTCTACCTTAAAGGCATGCAAATTTAAAAGAAAGATACAATAACACATATATTATCAATAATGTTAACTTTTTACAGAATCACCTAGAAACAGTGATCCCGTCGACGGGTCGATCCGTCCGCTTCGTGAACGGCGCGTACCGTGGATCCACCGGACAACTCAGAGATATAGATATAGATAATTATTGCTGCGATGTCGAGGTTTGTGAATAGAATAGAACGTCATTTATTTCCAAATATATGGTACATTGAGGTTTTATATTAATTACTAGCTTTTACCCGCGGCTTCGCTCGCGTCACAAAAGGATAAAAAATAGCCTATGTGACATATACCAATACATACAGCGCCATCTATACCAATACTTTTGTTTTTCCTCGAGAATATCATTTTTTCCGGGATAAAAAGTACCCTATTATTTAATCTGGACTTCTAACTTACGTCTGCAAAAATTCAAAGGAATCGGTTGAGTAGTTATGGCGTGAAGGTGGAACAAACAAACAAACAAACTCACTTTCAGATTTATAATATTAGTAAGGATTGTTTCACATACACTACCATTGCTGGTGTAGAAATATTATGTTAACCATGCTTTATAAAATGAAATTAAAAAAATAACTAGTAATTACAATAATACCAAGTAAATTGAATCACACATTATTGGTACATGACAGTAAATAGAAGTAACAATGTTATTTCCATCAAAATGTTAAAATATTTCATATAATGTTTAAATGCTAAAAACAATGTCATTGTTTTTGGCATTATTTTTGTATTTTTATAGCACTAGCTTCTGCCCGCGACTTCGTACGCGTAATCCCATTTTTTCCCGTCCCCGTTCGTGATTTTCGGTAAAAAGTAAAAAAAAAATAGGTTAAAAAGTATGTCCTATGTCGGTCTCCTGGCTTTAAGCTACCTCCCTACCAATTTTCAGTCAAATCTATTCGATCATTCTTGAGTTATAAGTGGTGTAACTAACACGACTATCTTTTATATATATAGATTTAAAGGGTCGGCAGAAGATGTTACAATCCAAGTTATGAGTCCCATGTAATAAGGGTGATGACAGGATATGAAAATTAAAAATCTAATTAGTCCGTAAGTTAGGTTGTATTACGTAATGGGCACCTCTGCCTACCCCTTCGTGGATAAAAAGGCGTTTTGTTATGTGTCTAATGTTTTAAAATAATGTACAAAACGGATAATTGATAATTTTAATTATGTTTTCAGATTTCAGAAGGCCCTCTAACCGGGCGCGTTGTGAAAGGAGTTCAATATGAAGATATCAGCAAGTTGGCGACGTGACAAGACTCATAAATTAATAAATTAACTAAAATCGCGGGTTACTCACGTGAATATACTGAGAAAAGCTCAATCAAGCATCAAACGCGCGGTCGCGTGCCCTGCTCATGAGGAAGAACCCCTCTGTGGTTCGAAACTAGTAGAGCTTTTCTCAGTATATTCACTTGATGTCTCACGATACCTATTATAAAAACACAAATTCTAGTATAATTATTACTTTAGCTCCTAAAGGCAGTAGAGTGGTTTAAAAACCACGTTGAATGACAGTAACATCCACTTTTTACTCGACTTCCAAAAAAGGAGGTTCTAAAATTGACAAGTATGTATGTATGTTTGTGCGCAATTATCTCGGTATCGGCTGACCCAATTTTGATGTGGTTTTCAGAAAAATGTTTGTTACACAGAAGGTTTTAGTATATTAATTAACCGACTTCAAAAGAAGGAGGTATGAAGTCCGGACTCAGAGATTGGGAAAGGCGGGGAGGGGTAATTGGGCCTTCGGTAACCTCACTCACACGAGGTTGTCTGCTCGGCCGTGGTATCACTCCGGTCGAGCCGGCCTATTCGTGCTGAAGCATGGCTCTCACACACTTTCGATTCGGGAATAAAACCTTGAGACCTTTGTAATTAGTCGTCCGTGAGAATGCATTCTGACTATACTTTTGTAAATCGACTCAAAAACTAGACAATAAGGTATTTTATAGTTATTTTAATAAAATGATTGTACAATTTATATTTCATATTGTTTTTTTTTTGTATAGTAAGTACTTAACATTACGCCTTTTATCCCCGACATTCTCCCAAAAGGGTAGGCAGAAGTGCACATTGCAGCACTTAATACCACTGTACAATTTAACACCCACTTTTCACTACGGCTCTAGACAGACGGATTGCATTTCAACCGCAAATTTGCAGTTCGGATGCAGTTTGAATGCAGTTGACACCACTGCAATAAAACTACAAACCAACCGAGCAATTCGATTGCAGTGTGCAGCTTACACGATTGCACGCCGACTGCATAGAATCAGTCGTAGAAATAAGGTTTTTTTTTTGTAAGGGGGGAAAATCATCGAATGACTGCTCCCGCCTGAGTGAGGCGGGAGGGAGTGTCAGACTCTTACTGACTAAAAACCACCCCGTTCCTTCTCCTGCACGTCGAGCCGGAGCCCCGGTTACCCGTTAGGTTCTCCGCGAATCGGCATCGGCCCTATTGGGCCATGGGGCCCTGTGGTAGAAATAAGGTTAGAATGAACGCGCGGGGGGGCCGGAGCGTTAAAGTCGTTGGTAGCGCAGGCAGAGTATGTAACAGTTTGAATGCAGTTGACACGATTGCATTATAACTGCCAACCAACCGCGCAGTTCAAAGTCAGTCGGCGTGCAGTCGTGTGAACTGCACACCAACTGCATCCGAACTGCAAATTTGCAGTTATGGATTGCAGTTGAAATGCAGTCCGTCTGTCTAGAGCCTACGAGCGGGCAGCGCGCTTACTCCTTTTTTATATTGACGTTGTGAAATATGTCGTACCTATGGCATACAATTTAAAGTTCATGTTTAAATGACAAGTTAATTGCTGGGTTAGAGCTGTGCTTGTTAGGTTTGCGATGACCTTGACGCGTATTTTTGACGTGACAACGTCTTATAAATTGGTTTGCCGGGTGACACTTCAAGAAACTGCGTTACGCTCCGCTCACGTTATGCACTCACAATGAGAGCGAGTGAGAGGCACGCGTCCCTTCCACTCGGGCTTGGTTAGCCCGCCTAAGAGCGAGAGAGACAGACATAAAAAGTGAAAGGCACGCGTCCCTTCCACTCGAGCACAGTTAGCCCGCCTAAGAGCGAGAGAGAGAGTGAGAGAGATAGGCAAATTATTTTACCACTCAAAGTCGTTGTCACGTAAAACTTTCGCCCGTATACCGACTTTACAGGCAACCAATTTTTTTCACATTCATGAAATCGTTTCTCAGTGGTCTCCCAACACTACGCAAAGAAAGTAAATAATTATGGCAAACGACTCTATTATTATTCAAAATTTAATTTGCCGTTAGATCAGGCCATTAAAACCGAGGGATTTTTAATAAGGCAAGAGGAGATAAGGTGCAGCATAGGTACCATCAATTCGATTAAAAAATAAGCTTAAGAACAGCGCCATCTATCGTTGCCTTAATCTAACTTCTTGTTCTAAACACAAGTTGTCTCCAAGACTAATGTGAGTTAGTAAGTTCTGCTGCATTTCATTTGTGTTTTATTTAAAAGGTATATTAAGGGATGGCACTGAAAAGTAAACTACAATAAAACTTACTACACAAAGTTCGTCAATGTTCAAACACTGCACGGTTAGTGCGGTGGCTGGGCAACCGGCTGCCGTGCAACTTGTCGCGCGTGTAAACGTACCCACGACACAGGAGAAAATCCTAATGTGGAGAAACGTTTTTTAAAAAAAAAGTGCCAAGAGATGTCGCTAATAAATTATTTTTCGGTAAGTACTATTACGTGTACATTTGTATACAGGTGTATTAAATATTCGCCAGTTATGTTATAAATTCCACGTAATCTATTATGTGGAACAAACTTTAGAATTAGGCTCGCTGTAGATAGAATTTGGTTTTGAAAACCCGAAAATCCACATCATGCCTTTTATCGCCAAAGGTGCAGCAGAGGTGCACATTACGCCACTTATAGCCACTGTATATTGTAACACCCATTTTTCACTATTTATGTTATGAATCCCATGTAATAGGGGTGAGCCTATTTTCATATACCGGGCACAATTCCAGACTCCGTGTTTTTTGTTGAAAATCCCAGTAATACTTTGCTCGACCCGGGAATCGAACCCGAGACCCCTTGCCTAGCAGTCGCACTTGCGACCACTCAGCCAACGAGACAGTCTACTTACCTAATATTGTACATGTATAATTAAAATAGATAATAAATGCGCTGTCATGGTGGCGACGTCCGCTTCTCATACTTGAGGGTGCGAGCTCGAGACCTATAATTTCTAAAAGTTTGAAATCGCCAACCCGCATTGAGCAAGCGCGGTGATTAATGCTCAAATCTTCTCCTTGTCAGAAGAGGCTTCGCTCAGCAGGGGACATTTATAGGCTGTTGATGATGATGATGATGATGATGAATGCGCTAAATAGATCATTTTAAAAAACGACTTAAACAAATGAACGTAGACACTAATGTACCTACACTTCCTTCAGCATAACCCCTGTAATATCATGTAAACTAAACACATTGTTAATAAACATACCTACCTACATAAAATAATAAAAATTGTAGATAGCAGATAGACACATACTATATATATAAAATAAATGAAATAAATTTATTTTCAAACATAATAGCTAGTCTAGAAATATACAGTTTTGCTTAAAGCTAGGTATATAAAGTTCACAATATTTTTATTTATTTTATTTTAAAAGACTTCATGCACATACTATTGTACAAGGTGGGCTTAATGCCTAGGGCATTCTCCTCCAGCCAGACCTTTGGGTGATGCAGAGACAAAAACAGTGGTCGATGCAAGAAGCAAGCGTATTTAAGACTCAACAGAAATGCATAAAAAAAGGATAGTATAGACTTACATAAAATAAATTCCTATATAAACTTACATGTATATGACATAACAATAAACCTACATAATTATATTACATATACTACTTAGACGTAACATAACTATACATAGTATATTGATAGTTACGACTCTGCCAACCTCTTCAAAAGTAGCTCCCGCACCTTCCGCTTGAATGACAAACGACTGGGCACCATCCTGATATCGGGAGGGAGCGCATTCCACAGAAGAATAGACTGAATAAAAAAGGAGGAATGAAGAAATTTAGTACGATGTGTTGGACATTGGAAGAGGCGATTATTAGAAGAGCGAAGATATTTGCTGTGGTTTGCGCATGTATATTGGAAGTGAAAGGACAGATAATGAGGCGAATGAGTTGAGTCAAGAACAGAGAAAAGAGTGGTTAGCGCCCTTAGTTCCCTGCGCTGTCGTATGGGCAACCACTTTAATTGCAATCGGTATGCAGAAACATGATCATATCTACGCAGGTTGAAAACGAATCGAATGCAGTTATTCAGAAGTCGGTCAAGTTTATTGAGGAGATCTGCATTCAGGTCATAATAACACACATCAGCATAATCAATAATAGGGAACAACAGGGCCTGTACCAGCATTGCCTTGGTGTCGGACGGGAGCAAGTTTTTAACGCGATAAAGAGCCCGCAGCGATCCAGTCACCTTTTTGCTCACACTAATGACCTGTGCATGCCAGTTAAGATTGCTGTCAATATGTAAACCGAGGTCTTTGACGTCGCTAGTAAACGGAACGATCGCACCGTCGAAAAGGACAGCGGGTAGAGATGCAACGTCAACCTTACTCAGAGAACGAGAACTTCCTATCACAATCGCCTGACACTTCTTGGGGTTTACCGAAATGCCGAACCTTACCGACCAATTATTAATAGCGGATAAGTCGTTGTTAATTTTTGAGATGGCATACGGCAATCCGTCGAAGCTGGTCTGACAGTAAATCTGCAAGTCATCCGCATATAGATGGTACGCACACCGAAGCTCGGAAGTGATGAGATTAATAAAGATGGAAAATAAGAGAGGTGACAGTATACCGCCTTGAGGAACGCCAGCCTTTAATTCGCGCCAGTTAGATGAATTATCACCGAGCTTGACCACCTGCTGACGCTCCCGAAGATAAGAAGAGAACCATTCCAGTGACTCGCCCGAGACCATAAGGTGGGATAGGATAGCCAACAGGATGTCGTGACTGACCATATAGAAGGACTGACAATATAAGGTGCCTGAACTAGGACATCCTGTGTTTCAGGCAAGGTTTGGGAAAAAATAATAAACATTGTTATAATAATCACTAGCGGCTTCGTCCGCGATCCCAGGCAGGGGTAAAATGCTTACCTATGTGACTTCAGACTATAACCTACCTCTGTTCCAAATACCATCCCGATCCCTTCAGCTGTTT